TTTTCGTCACGTCTGAGCCAGAGAATGCCAACGCGAGCGCCTCCTAACCGCCAGCCATGTCTAGGTCGCCTCTAGTTCGTTCATAATGGTGGTGTCCAAGAGAGACTAGTAGCTACACACGTTAGCTCCTCGAACGCCCAAACCTGCTTCGGAAGCTACCTCACCGTGTTGTTCCCGTCATCGGTCAATCCGAACAGGAGGACAGCAGCATGTGCCAGAAACTGAGCGAGAGACAGATATTCCCGCCGACCAGTCTCCTTTGTTCGTGATAGCGACGGTATTCATCCCATTCGACTCACGCAGCATGCAGCAGATCTCCCGCACTCTACAGGATCTAATCTCGATCACCAACATCGGGGTGCCCACAGCCATCTGCCCAACGCCTCCGCCTCTCGAACAAGTATTCACCTGGCGGCTCTCCAACGACATGCTGTGTCGGCATCGAGGCAGTGGAAGTTCACATGCATGGATACCTGACTTTACGTATTGCAGTGCGGCTTTTGCAAGCTTGCGTGTGTCATGTCGCTAGGCAGGCAGCTCGAGCATACCGAAGAGGATGATCGACGGGTTGCAGCGGTCGTCTAATCGCCGCTCCCTGGCACCTCACCACCAAGACGACCTCGTCTCCGTACAACCGGGAGACGTCTATCCAATTGCCGAACATGTGGGTATGGAGTTGGTCAAGCGTCAGCGATGTGTTCTCGGAACAGGCCAGAACGAGGTACGGTCGCAATGAATCCTCCGTCCGAAAGACGTGCATCATGATGGATCTGCCGGGCTCTAGAAACGAAGTTGGTGGGTGCATCGCTTGCGCCTCTCAAGCGCGAAAGTAAGCATGGTGTCACAAGCCCGCATGCACCCCTTTCCTAGGAATCCAGGTCAGGGCATCACCTTCTGATCCTGCAGTTTGCCAAACAAACGCAGTCTGGCTCTGCGACTGTATTACACCTTCTTTGGGCCTGTATCGGTCGATGCTGCCATAGCCCGAGTCTCGACCGTCAGCATTTCCTCCTACGGATGTGGCACGGTAGGTGGCCAATGAATCTGATTCGGCTAGCGGCCGCGGCGTGTGAAAGACAGCCTTGTCGGGTGACACAAGCTGTATTTCGGAGGTTATCAAGTACGACTTGTCAGATCTCAAACATGGTCTCTGCTTATGGAACTCCCTTATCATGGCCAGTCTTGAGTAATCAACCGTCCATGACACATCCGCACCGAAGCGGCCGACTGTTTCCGATCCTCCTCCGGCAGGGCAGCAGCAGATGACGAGTATGGTCGGTTTCCTCTGCGGCAACCCAATATGATGGTGGCGCATTCTTGCCCTGGATCAGTTCAGTCACCCGTCCACTTGACCCGGCAGGTGATCTATCACCACGACGCCTTGACGACACCTCTCCCCTGATTTGTGGGTTACACCATCTAATCGACCATGTATCTTTGCACTGGCGTCTTTCATGTGAAGCTAGTAGCTCACCATCAACATGGCTTCGCGGGGATCCAGCCTGCGACGTCGTCCGCCGCGCAGCTTGTTTCTGTTTATGAGACGCGGTCGACGCCTTCAGACCTGTCAGCCAACAACCGGCCGCCGGCGACGAGGCAGCCCCAAGGCGATGGGTCACTGCAGCTCTGAGACATCAGCACACACATGCGCCTAGCTCAAAGTCTGATGTTCCGTCGCCCTGGATGTGCGAAGCGGTTTTCGACACCCTTGGACGGGTGGCGTTCACGTCGGGATTGGAGAAGGTCTGGACGTGACGATTGGCGGCATTTCGCAGGCGGGCGAGAATCACCTCCGTCGGGTGCCGGTGCCGTGATACTCCGGAGGCCGTCATCGAAAGTCGATTACCTACATGCTCGTTTTCTTGCTTTTTCTTCTCCCCAGTATGCGCACATAGTGGCGTGCGACCCCAGAACCTTGCCGAGCAGCACAAACACATGCCCCCTGCGTCCTTGTTTCTCTGAAGCAGCTAATCATTTCTTATTCCAGTCTCTCCTTCGTCCTGTTTGAACAGTCTCAACATCGTGCCGCGGGAAACCGCAGCCATCTCGACGTTTTCGTCCGCCGACATGCTGTCTCATCAGCACGACCGGGGGTTCGACATTGAAAAGTAGGGACATGGAGATCCTGGGGAAAGTGGATGAGCGTTGATCACAACCTCATGTCGCCAGCCGTTGTCCTGCGGCGCGCGGGCTGGGCTTGGCTGTGCTTCACCGGTCTTCCAGGTCGGGAGAGGCTTGCATCTGAGCGGCGCCGGTGAGGCGTCGGGAGCTGGTATGCCAGCGTCTGGGATACATGACCGAATGCTGGGAGAGACTGGTCCAGGCTGGGCCAGAGGTGAATAGCGTCGTTTCTCGCCATGTCTGGTCTTGCGGGGTTGATGGTATCATGAGGCGGGGGGGACAAGTCAGGCCTGGCGTGATCTTCTCTGCCATGTGCGGTTGCGACGGGCCGCGGTCTGGCGTCGGGACGATGATGACATTTTTTCTTTTGGCCCTATCGGCCTTGGAATCCCTGGCTATCATCTATCTGGCGATAGCCGTTTCGCTCTCGACCTGGGTCTTGGCGGTTCGTCCGTCGTCCACTGCCCTGGAAGACGAATGGATGGATTACCAGTCTTCCACGAGCAGGGCAGATGGCGTTTAGCTTCGGGTTTAGGGTGAGGTCTGAGCTCCCCCAAGCAGAAACGGATTTGCGGCATCCACGCCGTCGGGACTGGGGGACGAACGAACGCTCCTGTAGGGAGGGCCAAGTGGCGCGGCGTGGCGTGGGATGAACCAAGCTCCGCTTCGTCGTGTTTTCTTGCTTCTTACGGCTACTGGGCTGGGTTTTCTTTCCCTGCGGTCTTGACGAGGGTTTACTTCTAACTCCGACGATCGTGGAAAGCTTCTGGATCTGCTCGGCTTCAGCCGCATACTGCATGCAATGCCGCAGTGCCGCACACACACCATCTTCACCCCACACAGCCCTCCTCACCAGTGTATTGGAACAGGGAGAGAGAGTTTGGTTCAGCTGATTTATCAGCCGGCATATGCAAGTCAGTAAGCATACTGATGGGGGGTTGCAAGACGTCATTTTTTCTCGACGCAACTTGGGACGCGAGCAGAAACTGAAAGGGGCTGGGGGAAGGAACGAAACGTTATCGGCATCTGCTGCTCTGGGACTCGTAAGGATTACGGGTGGAAGGGATGGGATGTTGCAAAAAGCCAAGCTACGAACGCGAACCGGCCATGGGGCTAAGAGAAGCGCCGTCTTGTTCCTTTTGGCGTTCTCTGGTGGCTGGGTGGAGGCTTTTTTTCCGCCCACGACGTCGGACGGAACGGTCGTTGAAGGGATGGGCTTGCGGGTTTGTGTGGCTTTGGGCGTTGGACACGTGGATGGGATGAAAATGTCTGTGCTCTGTGCTTCTCCCCGACCCTTCCTCTCGGCCTTTTTTCGAGAGAAAGAGGTCAGGATTTGAAATTCTGACGGGAGTTCTGGAACGTTTTGGAGGTTGGTGGTGGTGGTGGGGTCACTGGGGTGGGTGCTGGTGGCATGTGAGGATGACTTCATTCCCCCTTTTTTCCTCATGTTTATTGGGTTTTGGGTTTTGGGTTTTAGGGGGGTTGTTTGACGGGTTGAGTGAGGCTAGGAAGGGAAGGGGAGCGAGGGCCTCGGGTGTCGTGGTTGTGGTGATGGGTTCTGAGGTGGGAGGGTTGGGAGGTGTGGTGGTGGGTGATGGGAGATGGGAGGAGATGTAGGGACGTTGTGTATGAGATGTTTAGGAGTTTGTGTAGTTGATGATGTGAGACGTTGCTACCTGTGCCTGTTCGGCGTTGAGGTATGTTGATGGTTGCGAACGCTTTTACGAAGAACTTGAGGCTGCGGTGTGATATGGGTCTATGGTATGGTACGTGGACTTGACAGCCTCGAGAATATCGGGTTCGTGATACATGCCGTGAATTGATATCTCAAAGACCGTTTCTAACCGGAATTAAGAGATTTCGCAAAAGATGCCAAGCAGACTATGTTTTATTACCCAGTCGAGGCTGCGGTCGTGATCGAGAGACCACACCAGAAGACAGCAGTTGATTTAAACTAAAGAGTTCCATAGCCAGCTGTATGTCATGATGTTTGGTAAACTAAGCCCTGCCTTGTGAAGAATGAATACTGTCTCTGCACAAACGGTTTGGTGAACTCATTACGGTACGGGTGGGCTAGAATGGAAAGCCAAGCTTTGAAAATGCGATAATTCCTGCACACTGTTGGGTGGATTTTGCAAGAACTTCCAGTGGCGTAACCTGAATGATCCAGCTGGGCAGTAATGCATGATGCGATGCATATTCAACACGCAGCTGCATGTTTCCGAAGCTGTCTTCTGCTAGGTGCGGGGTCAGAGAAGATATTGATCCCAGTGCATATCCGTGTTCTCTCAAGAGCTATCCTCCATCCATGTGTTCTTTCGTTGAACAAACCATTTTCTTCCTTCCATTTGTCGTTACTCACCAGAGACCATCGCAGGTGCCAGACTTCAATATCCATTCTGCCCGTCGGAAACACCTCGCAGTATCGATAACGTCGACCTTCTTGTCTCCATCACCAACTTCCACCCAACTCGGCTTCGGTTTCGGCAATAACAGCATCACAAGATCCGCAAAAGGATTGCTCGGGGCTGTGTACCCGCCTCTAGCGGTACATGATGGACGTTCCAAACAGAGCTGGGGATGGCATCGCTAGACTACCTGAAAATCAGGATACTGACATACAAGCGCCATTATCGTCAACGTCTCAAGAAGATCAGTCCGGTAGAGAATCGACAGAAGAACACCCTGTCGGCTTACCACTAGTTCAAAAGCCTAAAGGCTCGAATACGAGCATCACCCAGCCCCAAGGATCCAACAAAGAAGACAAAACTCACCGTCCCACCGACCGCAGTTTCCCTGAAATAAAAGACAATCCTTCAGAATCGACACTACACAGAATTGCAAGGAACGGCACGAATAGAGAGCTTGATTTGGCCGTTATGGGCAGTTCCACTCGCGAGAGAAATGAGGTTGATTCAGCCAACAGGTCGCTACTCTTCGTTGCCGTCGAAGAAAACAAGCTCGAAGCAGCCAACCACCTCATTGCCTTTGGTGCAGAGTTGGATACTGTGAGCGGGAACAAAACGGCTCTCGGTATCGCCGCAATGAAATCCGGGTCAACCAGGGGAACGGCGCCTTTCGCTCATCAGATGTTGGAAAAGGGTGCGTCACCCAAGGCAGGTATGAACCAGGAGGTATTCAGTCTGTTATGCGCCTCCGCCGCTGGCGATTTCAGCAAAGTAGAAGCCCTCTTAAAGAACAACACCAAGGACAGCTCTTCATTCTCTCTGGTTAACGGCACGGATCAGCTGGGACACACGGCCCTTCACGTAGCTGCATGCTTTGGTCGATACGAAGTCGCAAGCCTGCTTATTGCTTCTGGTGCCAAGACTGACGCAGAGGTCGCCCTTGGAGGCCAAGGGGCTATTCATATGACAGTCTTGGAACGTCCACTTTGTCTCTACTTGGACGCAGATCATCAGAGTCACTTACCAAAGTACCAGCAGCTGACACAGGATCACGCGACTACCATGAACCTTCTGTTGGAGCACAACGCTTCGCTCAGACACAAGCGAGATGGCAATGCATACACCGTTGAAGCATTGATCTCTGAAAGAGTCCAAGATTCAAGGGGGTTGAACACATTTGAGATGTCGATTTTCCAGCAGATGCTTATGATCCTGGAGTACCACTCCCACAAGACCGAAGAAAATGATGACGCCGTTCTTCACGGCGGCGGCGATGTTCAACTGGACTTCAGTCGCATAAAGATCCAGCATTACACGCCAAATGGCGAACGTCCAATTCCGGGAGATAAGAGACTTAGAACTCTAATGGAGAGTCTTCAAGAGTCTAGCCAAAATTTTGAGAATGGGAGCTGGAGGTGGATTCACCTGTTCGAGAACGTAAGTCAAACAGCGCATCTGTGTCGCTGAATTCAGAAGCTGATCATTAATAGAGCACATGGTTTGAGGTAAACAGTTTGGACTTGACCGATCTTTCAGGGAGTAACAATACATGTTTCGTCCCCCTAGAACACTATCGAGGCCTTGGGATGCTTTCGGTTCAACGCACTTCAAGCAAACTCCACCTGCGGGAATGATTTCGGCGCCAGCGCTTGTTGGGCATACTGGAGGGGATGCGCTGTATTTTTGAACAGGGCAGTTGAAGACATACATGGACTCAATCCAAGAAACGGGACGGCGGAGCCTTCGGCACTTTTCCCCCATAAATCTCACGATAATATGTTTTCAATTGTGGTAAGTAATTCCAATCTGGTTATTTCTCATGAAAGGCAGTCCAAACCTAACGGGCTTCATACGTGTACAAATGTAGATTCCGTTCATCGACACATATGATCATGCACCTCCGCTCGTGAGGGACACCGAATACAGGCACCGCAATGCAACAGCAAAAACCGCGACCCAGGAAGGGCTACTAGAATTCTCGAAGAGACTCTGGATCTTTAAGCTTGACTGTGGTGCGTTACTCGCTCACTGAGCTAATACCGTGCACACGTAGTTTAGCGACTTGATTTCACTTACTTATGGTGTCCCAGAGACGATTATCACAGCATTTCTTGACCCTCATGAACATCACGAGAAAAGGACGACGGAACTAGTCTTGGACGATCTGTCCAAAGCCTTAGGAATAAATACGCCATCTCGTATCAACTCCATAATTGCATAAATGATACACCCCTCCGCAGTTATTATTCCTAATCGAATACTTCAGGGGTAACACCGGATATCAAGGAGAACGCTAGAGCTAATAGCAGCAAGGATAGGACCAGAGGTAGCGAGAAGTAGTTGCAAGGGAAAAATACATAACCGTGGAGGACTGTACAAGAAGCAAATGGTTTTGCTGCTTCAGGAAGAACAAATCGATCTGGACAAGACATCCTCACGACCTTCGAGGGTTTGATCTTCGGCCTGGTGAGTAACCCGCGCAGCATGAAAGAACATGAAAGTGGACAGGAACAGAACACAAATGAGATTGACTGAAAAGAAAGAAAGAAAGAAACGGAAACAAAGTCTTACGAAAGCCTGGAGACATTGAACCAGATGGGCGATAAATCGCAGGCCGAAGATGAATCATACATTACGAAACTGGAGACCGAAGGGCTGCGCCAGATTAGAAGTATCCAGCATGAGTTGAGGAAGATTACGAGATATTACACATCTCAGAAAAGAATATGTCAAGACGGTCAACGCCATGGTGAGGTAGGTGGAGAATGGGAGGATCTGTCGGAGAACATAGTTGCACAAATATCCAAAGTCACAAAGCTACTTCGAGCTGCACGCATGATAGAGGAATCGGTAGGTCTTGACTTGAATCTTAGCCCCCCTTAGTCTTGTTACAAATAACTTACTTGGTAACCATTTTTAATTTAGCTCAAGTTTCTTCTGGAAATCAAGCATACACGAAATAATTTGAAGATCGCGGAGCGGGCAGAGGCGCGAGCCCGGGCCGGTGAAAGTGAAAAACGGCTCCTGTTCATTCTCACTTTTATCACAGTCGTCTTTGTAAGTTTGACCAGAACTTGACTATGTACGATACCCATGTTGATCTTCTAAGACGCCGCTGTCATTCGTCTGTGGTTGACTTGCTGTACCCAGTCGTGATTTCCCCACTGATGAGGAGGGGAATGGCTCATGAAGCGTGACGCAAATAGTGGTTGCTAGTGGTAAGTTCGACGTCTCGCGACTCCTCATATCCGCTATATGCTTATTTGAATGATATGAAGTGGCCACGGAAGCTGCTACTATGCTAGTCATTGCAGTGTACTGGTTTACCATGAAAGATGTCGAGAAATTCAAGAAGTGGATAGCGAGAAAATTTCTAGGGAACAATGTGTTTGGAAATGGGAATAGCCAGGCATAACGGCGGAAACTGTCTTCGCCCGCAGCTGGCTAAAACACAACTTAAACCCACGAGATATTCAGGCAGATTGGTCTCCACGATCGGTGGAATCTCGCCACCGGGCGGTTAAGCTATGAGCTGTTGGTGAATTGGCAATATATCGTCCTTGCTGTTTAGTTGCTTTTGGATGGTCCTCACTGGGTGCGAGGAATGACGTTTCGGTTGTGCCCTAAGCATTCTATCTTATCTTTGAGGTCAGAAACGTTCAAAGTACTTGATTTTCCAGGGACGAAATCGTTGCAGAGTATCAATTTTCTCAGCTCACTGGGACCGAGATTGGCTGATGTACTTTCAGGTCTAGTTTGTGTGTGCCTAAGATCGAGATGAAAGAGAATCGCGTCGCCCACCTCGGCTTTCATTTTCATTTCAACAGAGGTACGGCCCTCGCTCAGAAGAGTTTAGGTTGTTGGTTATGCTGTGTTGGTCGAGACAACTTCTCAAGTATGTTGGTTGGTACTGACAATAAGCAAACAATGCCAATTGTAGCACAGCGCGAAGAACCCCCCTGCTGTTTCCCCAACTCTCATTCGCTCCAGATAGACGGTGATATTCCTTTTGCAGGAATAACATCCGTCGGTGAGCAGGCCTGCGTGATTGGCAGCACACTGCAGGATGGAGGGGCTCTCGACCCCACCACGCATTTAATAGACCCCGCGCTGAGCTGCTGATCGGTGTGCGTTTCCCAGGTGAGACAATCTCCCGCTGCTGCTGCTGCTTCGGCTCTCCCGCTGCGGCTCGCTTCCCTCCATCCAAATGACGGACGTGGACATGGACATGGACGACGACTCGTTTTTCGGTGGTACGCAGCCGGCCGCGCCGAATACATGGCCCAATAACGTCCCTGACCGCGAGGTCGTCATCGAGGCCGATGATCAGGTGACTAGAATATCCAATCGTCTGTGAAGGTCCACGGGGTTCTGATCGTGCTAAACTAGGACTATGATTCCGCACTTGATATGGTTCGTGTTGCTGAGTCCTTATGAGACTTTCAAGGGCTTTGCAGAGTTAACATAGATATGCGACATACTCAGCGGAGTGTTGCCTCGTCAATAAGAAGCGTGGATAGCTCCATCATGGACTATCGGATTGAGAACGGGAGAACCTATCACAGATACAATGATGGCAGTAAGTTCTACTCTATGCCGTCGGTGAAGCCTGGCAGCTGCGTTTTCATGTGAGCTTACAAGACATTCATTAGAATACAATATTCCCAATGACGAGATTGAAACGGAAAGACTTGGTAAGTGAATATGCCCAAACACGTTGTCATTCTCGCCTTTTTTGCTTGATTGTATTATACCAGATAAGTTCTTTGTTGTCCCCGTACATGTGTCATCAGCTCCATACCTCCCCTGTATCTGCTGTCACTACAAAGCCGTGATCTCGTTATTCTGTGCTGAAGTGACGTGTCATCTATCTCAAGCTTTCTTGGTATGGGATCAGCAGTTCTAATCAACCGTTGACCCAGATCTGCAACACGCTTTGTTTCTTCTTACATTCAATAACAAACTTGGAAACGCTCCCCCAGCTGCGAAGGAGGGGAAGGTTGGAAGAGTCCTTGACGTCGGTACCGGCACCGGCATCTGGGCGATTGATTTCGGAGACGAACATCCCGAAGCTGAAGTATGTTGTTGTCTGAGCTGAGTTGAGCGTGGCTCTTATTCTCCGAGATAGGTCCACGGGATCGATTTGTCTCCTGTGCAACCAAACTTGTACGAGCTCACCACTTCTATCTTCCCAACCAAACCTTTGTTTACTGACTTGCTAGTACACCGCCGAACGTTCGATTTGAAATCGCCGATTTCGAAGAACCCTGGATGTTCGCGCAGGGATTTGACTATATCCACAGTCGGATGATGAACTCGTCCGTGGGCGACTGGAATGAATATGTTCGAAAATGTTACGAGTACGTACGTCATTGACGTTATACTTTGCACTGCTGACTCCTCTGCGTAGAAACCTAAACCCAGGAGGGTACCTGGAACTAGTCGAGGTCGACATTGCACCTCTCTCGGATGACGGAACTTTGCTCCCTGAGCACTCGATATCGAAAACTGCTCAGTTGGTACAACGTGCGTCTGAATTATTTGGACGTGCTTACCAGGACGCCAAAGAGTTGAAGCCTGTTCTCATAGAGGCCGGGTTCTCGGATGTCACCCTGCTGCACTTCAAATGGCCCACAAACCCGTGGCCGAGAGAGATGCGACATAAAGAGTTGGGCGTCTGGCACAACGAGAACTTAGCAAGGGGATGGGAGGGCATATGCATGGCCTTGCTCACTAGAGTTCTCGGGTGGACGAGAGAGCAGGTGCTGGCGTTGATGGAGGAGAATACGAAAGATTTTGGAGACAGAAATATTCATGCGTATTTCTCAATGTAAGTCAGCCACAGCGCTCTTGCGCGGCACATACCCCCATGCACCGGCGACGGAAGGAACTGATTGTTTAATTCAGCTGGTCAATCTATGGCAGAAAGCCATTGGAAAATGGGACGGATTCAGCGGGGAATAACTGAAGTAGATGGATAAATATTTCCAGTGCTATTAATTCGATGACCAGAAACGTTCAAGTTGACAAGAGATTGCCACCGTCGCGTCAATAAGGGTCAAGATATCTGACGCTGAATCTGGGTCAAATGATAAGAGAAGCTTAGCTCAAATCAGACCTCAAGGTTTGGATGATTGTTCCAACCTGCGAGGGCGACGTTCGGCAATCTCTAGATCCCCGGGACGGGGACATCGGCAGGCCGACCGGCGATTGTCCTCTTACCGGCGGAACCCGGATCTCGGGTGGGTCAGTCCGCCCGCCTCAAAATCGAGTCAGTAGCCGCTACCCAAACACCCGATCTCTCTCGTTTCCCCCAGCCGAGGCCAGAAGAGAGGTCATTGAATGAAAGCGACATGCCAGCACCAAGGTCCAAGACTACTTGTTATCAATGTCGAGCTCGAAAGGTAAGTTCTTGACCCAGTCGCTTCTTGTAAGTCAGGACGGGACCTGATCGACAATCAAGGTGCGATGCAACGGAGGCCCGGATCGCTGCACGGCTTGCGAGCGTCTCAACTTCCGTTGCTCTTTCGAGGCAACATCATTAGCTCCGGTTACATCGCCCGCATCACAGCTGCAGCGACGCCGCGGCGCTCAAGCCTGTACCGAATGTCGTTCACAGAAGATCAAATGCTCCGGCGACCTTCCCGTGTGTACCGGCTGTCGGCGGCGAGGCCGGGAGTGCGTATATCCTGACTCCAGGAGGAAGAAGTCATGGAACGAACGTGAACGACTGGGTAGAATGACCGCTGGATCATCTAATGCTCTTGAGAACACTTCGGCGATCGAAGGTTCGCCATCGCAACAAAGCGCAATCGATATTGCCTCAGCGGGCCTCCACAGTAACCCCGGAACCTCTGCGCAAGCCATGCCACTGGCTTCCGATCAGCTGAAGCTTGTCGGTGATTTCTTCAACCACCTGTATCCGCTTGCACTGTGCTCTTTCTTGAACGAACAGTCCATCATCCAACGGTGTCAAGAAGGGACTCTTGATGAGACATTGACTCTCGCCATCTGCGCCGTCGCCGCAAGCCGGCTCGGAAATCGCGATTACTTCCCACATTTCACCTCATCTTGGATCCGAAATGCCGAGAGCCAAATATGGTCTCATCTGGAATACCCAACCATCTTCCGAACTCAGGCTTTGCTTCTCATCTGTCAGTATCACATCGAGACAGGGGAGTTCCAGAAGGCATTCATGCTTTCATCAATTGCATCAAGAGCAGCCAGCGCGCTTCGCTTGCATTACGAAAGAATCGACATTCACCCTTTGGCGCAGGAGGTTCGCCGCCGCTTGATGTGGTCTCTCATTTTGATGGACGGACACTTCTCCAGTGGCCTGCCGGAATGCGAGCTCTGCCCGTATGAAAACGTTTATCTCAAACTCCCCTGCCCCGAAGAAGACTTTGTGGCACTCAATGACGCCAACAAGACGATGGAGGCTGCATCCTCACCAGACAAATTGCCTGAGAACGGACTGTTGTCGCTCATCGTTCGGCAAGCTGCGTTGAGGCGAGATATTTCGAGGTTGAAGAGACAGATGGCTCTTTCGGGACAACCTGTCCCGGAAATAGAAGCTCTAGTGGGCTCTTTCATGAGGAGTTTGGGAGAAGTCCAAATACCAGTCTACCGCCCCGAAGATCTTCGGGCGTGCTCGAGTTCTCGCTGGCTCGGGAGACTCATTGTGGCAAATTTGTCATGGCATCAATGTCATTGCGATCTCTACCGTCTGTTTCTCTCTGGGTACGCAGAGGCAGCTCCAGATGTTGTGATCGGTGCCGTGCCAACCAGCTTCATCAGCAAAGCTGCAAGGGCATGTTTCGACCATGCCCAAGCTATACTTCAAGTCCTACAAGATCTGGCGGAAATTAGGCTAGATATGAAGGTGGTTGACATTGACATCGCTATTTGTAGTTACCATGCGTCACGAATAGTCGTTTTTCTGAGCGAGTCTTCTCTCAACCCACCGAACTCAGGTCTCACCAAGGAATCGGCATTGAACCAGGCCGAGTCTGCGCTCAAGTTTCTTAGATTTCTCTACAAGAACTCAACACTGGCGAAATTCATTCTTGCCGACCTCGAAAAGGTGATACGATCAAAGACCTCGGCCATACCGTCGTTGGATCAATTACAGGAAGCCCCTGAAGAACGTCACAATACCCAATTACCTCGACCACGATTCGCTCGAATAGCCAAGCGACATCAAAATCTCGCTGTTCATAGCATTCTAAGACAGGCCCGTTTCGTTGACGACAGCCAAATCGCAGCTGGACCTCTTGGATTGCAACCCAACAATTCCACTCACACCAGGACTGAAGGAGATAACCTGATCTCGGACATGGAAATTTCCAGCGGCACAGGGGATTCGGCTTTAACAGACACGCATGCGCCTGGACTTGGCGTGCCCGTGGAACAACACAAGTTTGCCCCAGAGTCTACTGAAAGCATCGACAATCCTTTTCTCGTCCATAACTCCAATGACTCTCCGACTTCTCACTTGTGGGGTAATTGGAATGAGACCTGGGGATTGAACGAATGGCCTATGGGGTCAGATGACAACTATTTTTGATCAATATCTAGAGGTCGATATCCAAAATTATCGTGTTCGTTTATTTGAGATCTGAGGCTTGGAGAAAAAGGAGCCAGTGACGTCTCAGTCGAGAGAAGTATTCCAGTCAAGGAGTCGTTTGCCATATACACAACTATACAGAACGCAGCGAACCAAATCACTCAGTCCTATAGCTTTAGTGCCACCAGCTGACTTCACAATATTGATGGCGCCAAGTAAGTGATTCGAAGCCATTGGCATGTCCCGAATCATAATCTAGCATGCCATGTTAGCGATCCGTTCTTTAACGGCTCAACAAGAGTTGAACTTACATCATCCATCGCCAGTATCAAAGCTCGTGTGACAGCTGTACAATTTGATGATTGCCCATTGTCCGAGATTGCCCCCCGAACACTTTGGATGTACCTCAGCTTGTATTGAGCCGCAATCGCTGTGTATTCCTCCTGGAGGCAAACCATGGATAAATGGCGACATGCCGCGAGTAGACTCCATTTGAGAAAGTCCAGATCAGTGGTTCCATACAGTATCCAGTTTCTTCTGACGTGTTCTTCATATTCGCCGATATAATTCACTACAGGGCAGTTGAGCTGCATATTGGGTACAAGGACTTGGGTATCTCGGTTCGGAGTTAGTTCCAGTCGATTTCGTGTAACCTCATCAATAATGAAGAATTTAAGCCCGACTCACAATGGTTGAATAAGAAGTGCTCTCTGGATGTCAACGATCCCAGAAAGCTTGCTAGTGGTTCATGCTCGAACGAGCCGGAAACCATTTTCGGCAGCACCAATGTGATCTCATCTCGGATGAATAGCGCCAGATCCTTTTGTCTAGTTGCTCGATGATTATCGTCGTCGAAAATTGTTTTACGAACAGTCCGAGGTTCATGGGCAGCGGCTTCTGGCTGTCGGTATCTGGCTGTTCGCTGCCTTCTGGCGCGAGCATGTGCTACGCGAGCCGCATGAGAATGAGCCTGCCGCTTCAGTTTCGCAGAGTCTTTCTGGTCGGGGTGAACCATTGTGATGAACTCCATCTTGAAGCAATATGGAGAGAGTTTTCGTCTAGTAAGGAAATTCACAGCAAGTGTCTTGGAAGTGAAGATGACAATCGCGTGGTGAATTATAAAGATCCTCTAATCAGCATCGCCGTCATCAAAGCACCGGTGCATGGCTCATTTGTCAGCGATATGCCGGTCAGCATTTAGTCCAAACCCCCGCCAAGGTCTGCTCCTACTACTTTAGGTTTGGTCTGCTCGCAGCTATTCTACAAATGATACGGAATCTCCACATCGCTGTCAATTTCCCCGTAAACGGCTTCGAAAGCAGCCGCCACATCTTCAGGCAACGGGCCCTGCTCAACCGTGTCGATGTTGGACTCAAGCTGCTCCGGACTGGAGGCACCAATGATGATGGAATCATCGTAAATCCGAGAAAGAATACCATGATACGCAGTCCACCGGAGTGCTGCAGCGTGGCCGCTGATTCCATGCTCAGATGCGATCTTGAGCGCCTTGTCGGCTGCAGCCATGATGGACGGCTTCATGTAGAAGTTGGTGTACAGTTCGCCCACCATGATCTTCGATGACACAAACCACCTGTCAGTACCGAGTGTAATATAGTGTTTAAAGCAATCAACATGAATAAAATGTAGGGGTTGAGCTCACAGATTTGTCGAATCTCCCACCTCGAGTGAAATTCTTATGATTCCCTGCGAAGAAGCCACCTGCGGCGGGGCTAAAGGCATAGAACGCCATGCCGTTCTTACGCAAGACGTTGAAGAGATCTTTTTCGCCGCCTCTGACGATTGGGTTGTACTGTCCCTGGTAGACGGTGGGCTTGACAAATCCCCTCTCTTCACAGATGTCGATGAATCGCTGGACCTCCTCGGCCGTGTAACTGCAGATACCCCAATGCTTGATCTTGCCCTCTCTGTGCGCCTGCGTCATGGCCTCGCACGCCTCCTCAAAAGGGGTGTCACGGTCGGGGACGTGGAGATACTCGACATTGATCTGGTCGATCTTCAGAGCCTCCAGGGAGATATCGATCTCCTCTAGGATCTTGTCCTTGGTATGTGCCCCCGGTTCTATCGATGTGACCTTGGTGTCGATGACGAACCTGTCGCCTGCGGCAACGGCTCCGATTCTTGGCTCCGAGGTCCCCGGCGCATGGGGCGAATACATGCGTGAGGTGTCAAGTTGATTGTACCCGCGGTTCGAGAACGCGTTCAAGAAGGCATTCACCTGGTCAGGTGTATCGAAACGGACCATTGGATCAATCTCGGCATCTCCGATCTGCGCATATTGTGTGAGTTAAGACCTCGGTGAATAGACTGTCGAGATTACTCACATTCGCAGCCCCGAGAACAAGTTTGATGGAAGATTTTTGCGTGGACTCCATCTTGAGTAGCGTGCCCGTGGAAAGATGAGTTGAAAAAAAATTCTATGAAGACTGGATATGAAAGCTGGAAGCTGCTGTGTTTGTTCTGTTTCTTCAATTCCAACCCCTTCTTTGCGCGCTTCCGTCTCCTTATATGCTTGATCTTTTTGTACTCAGACATCAATCAAAGTTTCATTTCAAATCACCAAGACCTTGCTCCTACTTGTTCTGGTAACTGCAAACTCAGAATTGTCTCATTTTTGTTGTATTATAAATGTTGGTTTCATAGACTAAGGTGAGCCTATTCCCGTGCAAAGCTAGCAGCCCCTTGCTCCTACTCTTTTAGGAAACTGCAAGCTGACGCCACAGCTGGGCTCCGAGCTAATGGTCTTCTCAACTCAAACTAACTATGCATGAATACCGGTCTGAAGACTGGCCCCGGCCAGCTTGATGTGAATCGGCTCGTCGCCGATTTCCGCCATCTTCTCCTCGAGTAGCCTTGTCATCTTCTTCACTATGCTTTGATACTGTGGCTCATGGTAACAGTTGAAGAGCTCAAGCGGATCCTCTTGGCAATCAAAGAGCTCCCACTCCTTCTCCTCGCCACCAGGGCGCGCGCCCTCCATGCCCAAGTCTTCGTTGTACCAATAGATCAGCTTGTAACGTTGATCTCGTACACCGTAGTGAGCGTAAGCCTCGTGGATGACATCGCGGTGCATCCAGTACCTATGGTACGCCACCTGTTGCCACGCCGGCTTGATCTCACTTTCCCCAAGAAGGAGAGGTCGAATAGATCGTCCCTGCATGTAAGTCGGGACCCGAACACCTGCAAAATCCAGGAACGTCGGGGCGAAGTCCACGTTGCAGATGATGTCGTTGCAGACGGACTGCGGCTTGATTGCGCGAGGGTAGCGTATCATGAAGGGCATCTGGAAGCTCTCCTCATACATGAACCTCTTATCAAACCACCCGTGCTCGCCCAGGAAGAAGCCTTGGTCGGAGGTGTACACGATGATGGTGTTTTCCGCGAGGCCTTCGGACTCAAGCCAGTCAAGCATTCTCCCGACGTTGTCGTCGATGCTCTGGATAGTCCTCAAGTAGCGTTGCATGTATCTTTGGAACTTGAACTCCGCGAGCTCTTGCTTGGACTTGAAAGTGAAGACGGTTCCATCGTCTTTACAGACCAGCTTGAGCTTCGTGACGTTTTCGGGCGCAGGTATCTTGCGATCGTTCCACCACCACATATCGATCATCTTCTCTCCGATCTCGCTGCACGGGCCTTCCGGCTGAACAATGCCGAGATCGTTGTACGTGAGGTCTTCGGCCACGCGCATCTTTGCGACCTTGGCCGCATTCGCTCGGTTCTTGTAATCGTCCGTGAAGGTATCCGGAAGTCGGACGGGGTTTTTGTACAAGTGCTTGTGCTTGTTGTCGCATTCCCAGCTGCGGTGGGGGGCCTTGTGGTGGCACATGAGGAAGAATGGGCGCTGCTTGTCGCGGTTCTGCATCCAGTCGATGCATTTGTCGGTGATGACATCTGTAGCGTATCCCGGGTAGCGCACCATCTTGGATTTGCCGGTGTTCGGGTCAGGCTCGATGAATTGGGGGTCCCAATACTCGCCCTGTCCGGGGACCACGCTCCAGTGATCGAAGCCGGTTGGTCCACAATCGGCGCCCTCCCCGAGATGCCATTTGCCGACCATGGCTGTTTGATAGCCTCCGACTTGTAGCTGCTTGGCCACATTAGGGAGCCGGCTGTTGAGTTTGGAGTCAAGTGTCGTGACGTTGTTGACGTGGTTGTAAGTGCCACATAGAATTGCTGCGCGAGATGGTGTGCAGATGCTGTTCGTGACATAGCAGTGGTTGAAAAGCATGCCTTCATTGGCGATTCTATCCAAGTTTGGGGTGCTGTTAATACCGGCGCCGTAACAAGATATGGACTTTGCGGCATGGTCGTCAGCCATGATAAAGACGATATTGGGGCGATTTTGAGACTCCATGTTGTAAGTGAAGGCGAATAACGTCGCGGAATTGGGTTAAGGAAAGGAGAAAAGATCAGGTTGAAGCTCCAGATGCGTCCAGGTGCGATGCAAAGTGTCTTCTCTTTTGGCTTTTTGAAGTAACTTTTGAACGAGATGACGGAGCTCGTCGGGTCAAGCTCGACCGGATCACCGTCGAACGAGACGTGTGTTGCGGGAGGTGGGATGTCCTGTTGCGATGACACTAATGCAAACTACGGTAGTCGGCGAACGATCGGTACTCGGAGGTGCTTGACGATGATTCGCCTGCGTTTTGCGGGGAGACATGGACAGCCCCCGGTGTGTTACCCGAGATGGCAAGGAACACTCAAGGAGCATCCAAGACGGCTAGCAGCTGAAGAACGAGCCCCCGCTCATCGAGTCAGAAACTCAAAGATCCGGGAACCCGTTCAAGTCGTGTGGTCGCACGAGAGAACCCAATGCTGGTACTTGGAGCGTCATTTTTCCTCAAAAGAGTTCCGAAGTCTCTCTCGTCCAATCACAGGGTTCAGTCGCCGAGTCCCGAGCTCATGAACCGGCTTCGAAATATGCCCTTGCAGTTGCGTGATTCCTGGGCAATGATCTGGAACTTGAGAACTCGCGGTTCTTCGTGACTGTCTCCGTGGGGTTTCCGCATTGCCAGTAGGGCGGTAGTTTGCAAGGATAGCCAGACTACCTGCGAAGATGACTGCCACGGCATACATGGCTTCGTCATGTGTTGAGGGTAATGTCAACCGGCAGCGAACCTCATTTGTCCTTTTTGTGTATAAAGTCATTGCCCTGACCACTTGAGTTGTCAACACTTATCTTGCAAGAGAGCAAGCATCTCCACATTTTGCCTTCTCTTAGGTTCTCTTGTTTGACATTGTCATGATGGACACTAAGAAAGACATGCTCTCCGCGACGCATGTGGAGGACTCCTTCGACAAAGATGGCCTCCAAGAGCCCGGTGCAGCTCCTCCAGCCGCTCCGGCCTTGTCACTGAAGCAGACATTCCGTTGCTACTGGAAAGCCGTCGCCTGGTCCGTCTGCCTCTCGAACGCTACCATCATGGAGTCGTACGACCTCCTTCTCATCAACTCATTCTACGCGTTCCCCCAGTTTCAGCAGAAGTACGGTGTTCAACTCCCGAACGGGAGCTACTCCGTCCCGGCGCGCTGGCAGATCGGCTTGTCGATGGCCAACCTGGTGGGCATGATCATCGGTGTGTTTGCCAACGGCTACTGTGCAGACCGATGGGGTCTTCGAAAAGTCATGATGGGCTCGCATGCCGCCTTGATTGGGTTTATCTTCATCACGTTCTTCGCACCCTCTGTAGAGGTTTTGACAGTTGGCATGCTTCTGCTGTAAAATGTTCCTTTATCTCTTCTTGTGTTATGACTTGTCGATGTGTCTAAACAATAGCTAACAATGCGTCTTAATCCGCAGGTCTCTCCCGTGTGGCTTTTTTGCTGCAGCAACCCCGTCCTACGCCGCCGAAGTCAGTCCCCCTCAACTGAGTGGCTATCTGACCGTCTATGTCAACCTATGTTGGGTCATGGGAAAGATCTTGGCCTTTGGTGTTCTGTCTGGCACACTCAGCATAGAAGGCGAATGGTCATACCGAATCCCCTTCGCGCTTCAATGGATATGGCCCCTGCCTCTCATGGTCGCAACATACTTCGCGCCGGAGTCTCCGTGGTGGCTCGCAAGAAAGGGACGTCTCGAGGACGCGGAGAAGAGTCTTCGGAGACTTGTATCTGCACCAGTAGACGTAATCGATCCCAAGGACACGCTGACTACGATCACCCGCACCATCGAAGCGGAGCGTCTGATGAAGATCCAGGGATCGTATCTTGACTGCTTCAAGGGCGACAGTCTGCGCCGAACTGAGATCGCGATGGTCAGCTGGGGATGTCAAATTCTGCCAGGCTTTGCCATTCAAAACTACATCACCTACTTCTTCACCCTTGCAGGGCTGGACTCGTCCGATTCTTTTAACTTGTCTATTGGTCAGTTACTCCCAGTTCCCACCAGAAACACACGACTGACCTAGCTGCAGGCAATGCTAGTTTGGCATTTGTTGGAACCGTATCATCTTGGGTTTTGATGACCAAATTCGGATGGCGCACCATGTACTTGTGCGGTCTCATCGCCATGTTTCCCGTCATGTCTCTCGTCGGGTTTCTCGACTTCGCGACAAGCACCTCTGCCGGCAACAACGTTAGATGGGCGCAGTGCGCCATGCTTCTGGTGTGGTTCTTCATCTATGGTGAGTTGCGATTCTCGTCTCCGCTACACATACTCTGGCGACCTCACCGACCCGGCTGACACATTATCTTTAGGTGCCAGCATCGGGCCAGTCCCCTACGGAATCGCCGCCAACGTGGGCGCGAGTAACGTGAGGGTGAAGACGATTTCTCTTGGCCGAAACACCTACTACTTTCTTTCCATCATCAACACCATAGTCTCGCCATATCTCTTGAACCCGCAAGAAGGGAACCTGAAGGGCAAAGCGGCTTTCCCGGCTGTGGCTTTCACGCTGTTGATGATCGTTTGGGCATTCTTCCGGTTACCAGAAATCAAGGGCATGTCACCAGACACTCTTAACAAGCTGTTTGAGAAGAAGGTACCCGCTAGAAAGTTCTTGGAAGCTTCGAAACAATATCAATAGTGGAGGACGGTCTCGATACTGGCATGTGATGATAGATTAGGGAATGGGTGAAGACTCCTTTGCTTCTAATTCCAGGTGTATAGCATGCCGTCATTTGTGAGGTGTAGTTGGAACGCAGCTTTCCATGTTATCCGATCATGAACGATGTCACCGCCAATCATGTACTCGCGCTTATGCCGAGACGGCAAATAAACTCAACGTTGTGATCAATCCGACTGCGCGTTGAGGAAGGTTTGACTTTGGCATGAGGTGTGTTCCCCGCTCCGTGGAAGCTTCGCGTATGAGAAGCGTGAATGGCAATAAATACCGCTTCAGTCATCCACGCCTTCTCCAACAATCAGCGGACAGCCAAGAATCATTGCTATCCTCACAAGGTTTCATCTCACCCTGACAAGACACCATGGCGATTGGACCCGAAGCACAACCCAATCCCTTCAAGCAAGCGCAATTTCCCGACAACGCTGGGACGAAGAACGCGTCTTTCTTACAGCGCATACCCCTGGAAATACGTGATGAGATTTTCTCGCACGTCTTTCGCAATACGAGACTGGGCTTAGGAATGAGATTTATCGACAACTTCAAGCGAATTCGCATCAAGTCCGATCCAAACGCTCTTTCCCTGCTCAGAACCTGTCGCCAAATATATACAGAAATCGGGAACAAATGGATCAGCTTAGCACTGTTTCATTTTGAAGACCCCGAAACAATGGTCGACAGACTGCTCAGCGCGCCTCCGGAAACGATACCAAAGATACGAAGACTGCGAGTCGTCGGCGACCCCCTCCAACTCGCGCGCTACAGCGAAGAGGATTACGCAGAGGGGGGCGTATTCGAATCCCACCCAAGCAGCGTGTTCTATCAGCTGCCCTCGGTGCTCAAAATCCTCCCGGGCCTGAAACTCGACACCCTCACCGTACTCGGGCCGCGCTCACCGGCGATCAGCTACTGCACCTTGACAGGTCTCATAACGGAGAGCGATGGGTGGAGAGAGCTTCGATTTATCACGCACAGCTCGTCGCTACTCGGTTTCAACAGGCCATTCGCCACGGACATGGTACATCCCCATTCCAGGCAGTTGCAAGGCCACACGTATATGGTCTTTCCGAACGATTGGGAATATGTAGCCGATTACTACACGCGCAGGCCTCAACCGATTACGTGGCGAGCCATGCTGAGGCTCCGGGACGGCGAGTCGACCAATCCGGAAGTCGATGTCTATCGTTCCGTCATTGCCGAAAGCCCTGGCTCCGTCACGGATCCCAGCAAGAGGGTTCGATTCGAGCAAGAAGACCAACCGGCCGTGATCTTCCCAGAAGGATTCATAGAAGCATATGGAGGAGACGTCAATGATGTCCCAGAACAGGTCCTTGATTCGCTTCCTGGGTTTGGAAGACGCTCTGACAAGGATTTGGTAGGAGAAGGAGAGAAGAGGAAGGAGATGATGGTGGTCGTCAGGAGAGGAACCGGCGTGGACTACGAAGAGAAGAAAGACTCCCCGTTCATCGACAGTGACATCCGTCGTGACTGTGGGGGGAAGAGCTGGGAGCAAATACGCCGAGAGCGCGTCGAAGAGCCAGCCGCCAATCTGCATCGTTACAGGCGGTCAATGTACCAGAATAACTATGGGTACAAAGATTCTGGGGCGAGGGATGTTGCCGAGCCCGTGGTGGGGAGCGAAGTCGACGCATATGATGACGCCGAAGGGATCGTCTGGCCTCCGAGACACTTCGACGCGCCACCGAGGATGCGTCCATGGCAAATTGATGAATTAGGACCAGACCCAGTTGGATTTAATCCTCCGTCGCTAGAGAAGGACGAAAAGTGGTAAGACCTATGGCACGCACTTGGCCACTTGCGCTCTGTGGCCTCACATGTAGCTTTCGTGGATTTGAGAATACACTCAATTCGACTTGATGTATCCAACTTAGTCCACTTACTGAAGCTGGCATTAATCCCCCAGACTTCGATCCCGACACTTTCCCCTCTATTCAAACTCCGCCTCATCAACATTCCTCAAGAAGATGGTATACAACTTCACGAGGTGAATCTCTTTCTGTTTCTTCCTGGGTTGAAACATTGCTCTTGTAACTTTGTTGGTTAACAGCGATAGTAAGCAAACCTCCGTCACGGCCTTGTAGGAAATCATCTGACCCGTTGGTGAAAAGCTTCCATTGATTCAGCTGAACGTGATGCACATTCTCAACATCGACGCATTATGTTTGAATGTAAAGTAACATTAAGTAATACCGAAGGTGATCCAGACGCTTCTATAAGAGGAGTTGGAGCTTCTCAAGATGGAGTTTCTTCACGAGCCAAGTGTGCCTACTGAGATCAGCTTCCAGTAAGAATCAAGTCCAATGTGCCCCCTTTCTTAGACAAGCCGCAGCACCCTCCGCTCTGTTGCACGGTACGCGTCCCCGACGTCATTCCCAAACAGCTTCCCCGAACCAACTCTCTCATACACATCACCACCACCACCGCCATCCACCCGAAGTCCTCCAACGGCCACATTCGCCTTCTTTACGAACAGAACGTTGTACACGTCGTGCCAAGGCAGCAGGCTGCCAATCAGAGCCCCGTACTTCACACGGCGGACCCTCGACAGGAGCAGTGCCGAGACCTCGACCCGGTTATCGCTCCCTAGGGGCCCGTTGTCGTCCACCTGCAGGTCCGGGTGCTCGACGGCCGCGTAGCCGACGACAACGTCGGGGGCGGCGGCGCACAGGCTCACGGTTCTCCAGCCGCGGTTGCAGTCCCGCGGGCAGACGTTGGTGATCGTCCCGACGACGTTCACGTCCACGTCCGAGGGGAAGTACCCGTGCACCGTGACCGGCTGCAGAAGGCCTTCCAGTTCCAGAAACGCGAACGTGTCGTGGTAGGTATGTTCTCTAGCTTGCGGAGCGGCCGCCGTCCTCCCGGTCCCACTGTCCAAGGCTGCGGAGGCATCGACGGTCCTGGCCCCGATCAGCCTGGTCAGGCTCTCAAGCCGTCCGTTGACCCTGTCGAATGTCCGGATCTGGCTGCGGACGTCGTACAACGTCGGTCTCAGGAAGCCGGGATCCTCCTGACGGGGCCAGTGGACCGCCCCCGCGGTTGACGCCCAGCTCCAGGTCGGGAAGCCGGCGACGCGAGGCGGGGTGGGAGTTCCGCTGAGCTGGACGCGTTCCCAGAGAAGTCCGCGGCAGATGTCGGAAAGCCAGAGCCCGCAGGCGTAGTTCGCAGCGGCGCCCGAGTGCGGTCCCAGACACGTCCGTGTCGTCGCGTCGAATGCGCCCCCGAACTCACTCGCGATGCCGGCCAGTGCGATGAGCTTGTCCGAGGGTTTCGTCAGGTTCGTCGCGGTGTAGCCCCGGACGATCTCCTCCCAGGCCAGCGCGAGCTGTTTGGGGTCGGAGAAGTCGACCGCCGCGAGCATCCGCGTCGGGAAGGGGTCCCCCTCCCTATCGTCGGAGGAGGCCTTCTCCGACGCGACGACGTCGGCCGGGACAGCGACGATGTGGCCGTCCGAGAACGTGGGTCCGACGGCCTGGCAGTGGAGCACCGGCCCGGACTCGGTGAAGCAGAGGACCCTCCGGCTCAGGATCCACTCCTGGAAGACCCAGCCCCTCGAGAGCAGTGGCCCGGTCGTCACCTGCCGGTGGTATTCCGCGTCCTGTGCGCGGCCGCTCATCGGCTGCAGGAAGATCTTACCGTCCGGGACACCGCTCCGGTCGAAGTAGGGCAGACAGACGACGGGTGGCACAGCGCCGATGCTGCGGGGATGGAAGTAGCCCCGGTCCCCGTGGTAGGATGTGGCGGCGATGGTGACGATTGAGTTCTGATAGTACGAGGCCAGCTTGAGCGCCTCCCGCTTCCAGTCTCCTTCCAGGTCGTCTTGGATGATGCAGATAGAGTCGATCCAGATATATTCGATATCTAGTTTATCGCATATGAGGATGGCGTCTTGGAATAGTCTAGAAAGGCCGCTCATGCCGTTCTTGACCCCCCCGCCAGCAGCAAGATTCGAGGTAAGGGTTCTATGTCGGTGCGTCTCTTGAGACCATCTATGGCTCAACGTCGCATACGAGCCGCGCTGCCCTGGCGTCGTGATCTCCAGGCGCGCGTCCGTACTCCCGCCTGCTGTCCGTATCACTCGCACCAGTCGGGTAGGCAACTCCGCGTCGTGCGGTTGCAGCTTTTGGTACCCTGATAGACTTGCTAAGCACCGCGAGTGTTTTTCGGGATCTTCGGTGCATTGCTGTATCTGCATTTTGATGCGTTGTATGCAGTTGTCGGCCATCGTGGCTTCGTCCACGAGATAGCCTACGACATCCCCATTGTCGTACGGCGGCGTACCTGTCGAATTCATGAGTGCGATGCGGCGAAACGCCATTAGGGAGGCATTTCTAGTAGAGAGAAGAGGTAAAGGAAAGACGAAAAGAAAGGAGGAAGTTATCACCTTGATCTGCAGCAACATGGAAGTCAAGAACTGTGTTCCCAGCGAGAGCCGAAAGCCTTTGAATACCGAGGCCATGGTCATACCGCGGAACCTCGTCCGTCTGGTGAATCTTCATATTGACCCAGGGTGACATGAACGTAGAACCGATCAGTCCGTACAGGTATCGTAGGCTGCCCCCTTCCTGCTTTTTCCTCTCATATTTTATGGCGCTGGCGACGAGAGAACCGGACTTCTCGAGCAGCCTCTCGTGAATCAAAACGCAAAAGGGACAACCCTCTTTGGTCCCCTTGACCACGACACTCAGGGGGTAGCCCCTCCAGATGCCTGGGTCTCTCGCCCACTCATGGATGTCGAATCGTTGACAGGTAGAACAGAGGGGCATTTCGACCAAAAGAACGGCGTGCGATCCCGAAGCTTGCAAGTCGGCTGGTATCACTCTTTTGTGCTTGTGAGGATCAGGCTGTGGCAATCCGAGTCGCTGCCAAGATCCGCGTCTGTGTTTGCGTCACCGGGGCGGTTATACGAGCTCGGCGCGAAACCGCCGATTGGCCAACTTCAACATGCATGAGTGACAGAAGTGCTTCCTCCATCGGTTACATATAGCTTCGGTGCTCGCAGCCTCGTCCTCGACCGGCAGGCCTATTCTACTCGCCGTGCTACAAGAGGCGGCAGATACACATCCCCGATCAAATCAATACATTCGGCTATCCTGTGAACAGCTATACTGCTGAATTTGAATTTCCGTCGTAGACTCACGTGCAAGACTCGCCAACTCGGCGATGGCAGCAAACCGTGCGGAGCAGAACGGGACACCGCGGTCTGCAGCACTGTCAGTCTGCGTATTTCTCGGCATCGCCCTCTTCAGCGGCCGCCTGACCAACCTGGCCGTCTTCACGAGCAGGGCCAGGAAGAACGAGCAGTCCATCGAACCAGAAGACTGGGTCCCCGTGACGGGCACCAGCCTCGTCCGCTGGAACGAGGACTCCCGCGCCGCGTCCGCGAGAGTCGTCGTTTCGTGGGTGTCCCTGTTCGTCACAGAGATCGGTTTCGTACCGCTCGTGGCCGGCCTCCGCAACGGCTCGCAGCGTCTCAAGGCGGCGGCCGCGGTGCTCGCCGTCGCCCTGGACGTCGCGTCGGACCTGGCCAGGTTTCCGGTGTGGGGGCAGAGGAGCGTGGTCAACGCCGGGGTCCTCGCGCGCAAGGACGAGAATTTCCTGGTCTCGGTTGTTCTTTCGGCCGCGGCCGGGCTGCTGAAAGTGTTCGTCGTCGCGGTCGTCCTGGTCCTGCCGACTTCCTGGAAAACCGCGAGGCATTATCAGCCCACGAACCGGTCCCCGGCGTTGCGGACAACGACCGACCTCTACGAGATGAGTCAGTCGGACTCGAACAGGAGATGGGAAGCGCTGCTGAACAAACAGCAGCGGCTTATGCGGGTGGTGGTGGTGAGCCAGAGACACTTTCTACATCGACTTCTCCCTCTTGTCTCAAGCCAACGGTTCTGATACCACAACAGCAGGAACCGGCGCCTCAACAAGAGCGCGAGCAGCCGGGAACCCGAGTTCTCAAGACTGTACCCGTGGTTGGGGTGAGTAGCTACAGCCGCTAAATTCAGGGGTGGGAAGTAAACTGATTCGGTTCCATCAGGCCTCCCAGGCCGGTCCGCAGCTTCGTCCAAATACCCGGTTTTGGGCGAGAGTCGACCAGTCCGGAGGGGACATGTTCCTCATCGCGCTCCTAGTCCCGGCCGTAGTCGCCGTGATATCCGGACTCGTAAGTCTGGGTTTCAACCTGAGCCACTGCGGATCCGAAAGGTCAGTCGTGCATAACTCTCCGTGTCGGCGGGAACTTGACCTCAGAAGTTGACGGTACGATAGGTCATCGATGGTGTGCGGCTTGAGCGTCACGGGTCTCATTTTCATCATACTGTGGACCGGGACGCTTATCATATCTGTCCGCCTCCAGATCGACGTGCAGCAGAAGTTATTTGGGCCGGTCGACGTTGTGCACATTGTGTTGCTCCTCTGGATCGCCGGTTACATACTTCTCATCAATGCGTGGGGCTTGCCGCAACCCAATCCCGAAGCGCCGAGGATGCCACTCCCGATCCAATTTATCCCGCTGTGCATTGGTTTCGTTGCTTGGTATCTCACCCTCATGAGTAGATATGTGTTGTCACGCAGGCGTTAGCATCGATTGATTAGGGAACGAGATCTTCGCAGAATCGATGGCACTATAATAAGATTATCACAGCACAGAATTCCGCGCGATGTCATCGACGGAGAAGGCCGAGAAGCTGGAGAGGCGCTCTAAGGCCTAAAGGAGGCACTCCATAGAGTATCATCCTCAAGCTCATCTCTGCCTCAAAACCCCGGAGTCGGCAACGGCATGAACGGACACGGCAAGACACCCGTCACATCTCGTAAGAAAGAGCACTGTTTACTCACCGCCAGACATAGCTTCTGATGGCCCGGCGCAAGTCCATTGGGTTTCAGGCCATTGCGATACTCTGGGGAACGAATTAGCTGCCTAGCTGGCAAAGACACACTAGTAGAGTATCATAACGGGAATTCTTGATGCGTCATTTTACCAATAGCTCCTAACAATGTCCATGAGTGGTCTCTCAAGGACAGCCTTCCAGGTTACGTTGAGAGTCCCCTAAATCTTCGGAGTATGTCGTTTCGAATATACACAACCCCATCAACTCGCCGACGCTGTGAAATCTCCCCTACTCGAACTCCGCCTCATCGACATTCCTCAAGAAGATGGTATACCACTTCACCAGGTTAATATGCCCCTTCACACTCGTCTTCTCATCCACGGTGTGAATCCCAGCCCACTCGTCGCTCTCGGGGTCATACCCGGGCAGGAACCGGAAAATATGCCGCGTCAGGTCCCAGTAATACCGCGTATCCGTGTTCCCCGTCATGATCCCCGGCGAGACGACAAGCTCCTCGCCGTACAGCGCCCGCGTCGTCCCCGAGAGGACCCCGTACGGCGTCGTGCCCTCCACGCCCGTCGGCGTCACCGGCGCCGGCTCGAGCTTCTTGTCGTTGCCCTTGAGCGTGATGCTCGACGGCGTCTCCTTCTCCTCGTCAGTGAAGGCGTGCAGCGTGAGGTTGTACTTCTCCGCGACGGGGCGGATCGCGTCCGCGATGTGCCGCTTCACGCTCTCCGTCGAGTCGCCCACGTTGACGCGGTGGTTCACCACGGCGCGCACGCGTTCCGGGAGCGCGTTGATCTTGACCCCGCCCTCGATGATGTCCGTCGCGACGGAGGTCGTGAAGAGGTACTTGACCTGCGGGCCGGCCTTGGCGGCCTCGCGCGCGAGCTTGTCCGTCCTGCGCTTGCACGTCCGCGTCTCGTCTTGCTGGGGCAGCAGCTTGCGGAGGTTGGGGGGGAAGTCGGGGGCGTAGGCGGCGCCGCACTGGAGCTTGCCGAGGTAGGGGTTGCCCGGGATGAGCTCTGGCTCGTAGGGGCTGGCCTCGACCCTGGTGACGATCTCTGAGAGGATGCCGATGCCGGTGTGGGGCGGGGGGATGGAGGAGTGGCCGCCGGGGGTGCGGACGACGATCTCGACGTCGATGTAGCCCTTCTCGGCGGTTCCCGGGAGGGCGAAGGTCTGGCCCCACTGGACGTCGAAGCCGGCGCCCTCGTCGATGATGACGGCGGCGCCGTCCCTGCCGTAGCGGTCGACCAGGACGGGGGCGAGGTGGCCGGCGCCGCGCTCGCCCGAGACCTCCTCGTCGAAGCCGAAGGAGAGGACGACGGTGCGCTTGGGGGCGAAGCCGGCCTCGAGGAGAAGCTCGACGGACTCGAGGATGCCGACGAGGGAGTTCTTGCAGTCCATGGCGCCGCGGCCCCAGACGAACTTGCCGTCGTAGGCGCCGCTGAAGGGCGGGTGGGTCCAGGAGTCGATGGTGGTGGGCGCGACGGGGACGGTGTCCTGGTGGGCCATGAGGACGGTCGGCTTGAGGGTGTCGTCGGAGCCCTGCCAGGTGTAGAGCAGGCCGTGGGTGTTGACGCGTTCGAGCTTGAGGTGCTGGTGGACCTTGGGGAAGGTCTTGGCGAGGTAGCCGGAGAAGGCGAAGAGCTTGTCCCAGCGGTCGTCGACGCCGACGGCGCCGTAGTTGTCGAAGGACTCGGTGGGGACCTGGACGGCGCCGGAGAGGCGGGCGATGGTCTCGTTGCGGAACTTGGGGGTGTCGAGGTACTTGTCGAGGTCGGCGAGCGAGGAGGTGGTGAGGGTTGGGAAGAGGGGGTCGACCTGGCGGCAGGAAGACGCCGCCGTTGCGGGCGCGGAGCCGTGGCCGTGGTGGGAGAACGACGGGATGACGGACGGGGAATGGAGGTAGGTGAGCATGAGGGCGGCGGGGATGAAAGCCCACCACGCCGTCGGCCGGCGGCGCGGGGCCGGAGGTGGCGTTGGGTTGGAGAGGGGGAGTTTCTCGGACATTCTGGCTTGGCCTTCAATTGTTTGACGCCAGTCTCAATTGAAGTGAATCAATTGTGAATGAAGGAGAAAAGAGGAAAAGAAGTAAGTGAAAATGAAGGACGTAATAGATAAGAGAACGGTAGGAATGATGTGCTCGCCTATGACAAATCGCCGCTATCGCACCAAAACCTCCGACGAGCACGAAAGCTTGTGCGGGGCCGTTTCGCAAAGCTTCAGCGAGCTTCCGTATCGGGAGGACCCCTCCCAGATGGCCGGGATCAACCCCCCTCGGCTATCGGGAGCTTTGCTCGGCTGTTCGTCTGATTTGGGATAGCTTCAAGTTTCGCGCACTGATAATGGGTTCACGTAAGAGCATAGGCGTTGGAATTAATAGTATATTTGTATGAAAACCGTGAAGTCATCGCTATGCAAACCCCATCTGATCTGAACATGACTACAACTAACTGTAAGTGAGGTTCAATTTCCCCTCAATTTATCAAACCGCGTCCTCGCTGCGCGGAGCAAAGCCCACGCGACAAGTCGATACACGATGACGCACCCCGCCAACGCCGCAATGTTGACCCGCGGATTCACGTTGAACTTGTACAGGTCCAACACGTCCTCGCCCGTCTCAATCGGACACCGACCGTTCGGCAACCGCTGCTCCGCGTTGCACGAAAACTCGATCCCCCGAAGACTGTACGGCGCGACCGCCCGCGTGGCGTACTTGATCGGCGAGAGGTAGTTGAAGATCTTGTACAGCTGCGGCATGTCGATGGACATGATGCCCGCCATGGTGTTGGCGACGGACATGAAGACCGAGATGATGTTCACCGCGAAGCCGGTGTGGTTGAAGAGCGTGTTGAACATGATGCCGACCGACTCGCCGCAGGAGACGATGCCGAAGCAGGCGAAGACGAGCGAGAAGTACATCTCCACGGTCCACGGGAGGCCGACGGCGAAGTCGGCGAGGACGCCGAAGATGAGGGAGCTGATGATCTCGAACGGGAACTCGAGGACGGAGTAGGCGGCCAAGAAGGCCTCGACGCTGTACACCCCGTCGTCGTCCTCTCGGTAAAAGACGTCGCGCTCGGCAGGGAAGACGGCGACGTTCTGAAGCATACCGACAAAGTAGAAGGCGGCGATTTCCTGGATGAAACCCATCCGGTTTTGGACAGAAAAGTAATCACTCTTCAGCGGGGAGAAGAAGAGCGCAAGAACGACGCCGAGACTCACGACTTGCATCACGCGGGCGACAAGTAGGGGTGGCTGGCGGCGGAAGTTGATGAGTCCGCGATGGAGTAGGATGGGGAAAGCCGTGAAGAACGATGCTCGTTTCCTGACCAGGGCGCCGAGTTCTGCCGGGGTTGCGAGAGAAGCTTTGTTGAATGATTTGCGGGCGGGCACGTCAGGGTGGGAGGAAGACTTGGTGATGCCCTCTTGCGGTTGACCTGCTTTGGCGTCGAGAGTATGGGTTTTGGTTGATTCCGACGAGTTACCCTCTTCTCCTTCGTCGATCCCCGGAAGCCGTTGCTCGTTTCTCTGCTGAAACCCTGACGCAGCTTGCGTTTGCCAGTTGTCGATGAGCCTCCTGACCTTTTCGCGGCTTTCTGCCTCTCTTTGTTCATGCTGCAAGTCAATCGTGATGAGGTCGAGAGCAAAGTCAGCGGGATTGGTGTGTGCAGGGCACTCGAACCCCTGGCGGGTGAAGTATCCCAGCATGTCCCTGGCTGATCCGGCATATACCGGAGAGCCTCCTCGGGCGAGCAGCAAGACGTTACCAAAGTGTTTGAACAGGTCAGATCGAGCCTGGTGGATCGTCAAGATGAGTGTTCGCCCCTCGTGGGCAAGACCCTGCAACACCTCCATGATGGAGTTGGCTGTGAAAGCGTCCAAGCCGCTCGTTGGCTCGTCAAGCAACAGGACTCGGGGATCGCTGAGTAGCTGTACAGCGATGGTGACTCGTCGCTTCTCACCCCCAGAAATACCCTTGACCAATTCGTTACCAACGAGGTTATCCGCACAATCTTTCAGACCCATCTTCAGCAGGACTTCCTCTGCCCGCCTGTTCTTTTCGTCTCTACTCATATGGGACGGCAGACGTAGACCGGCCGAGAACTTCAACGTCTCGCGAACCGTGAGAGACGGAAGGAGCGCATCGTCGTCTTGGCAGACATACGAGCACACCGAACGAATGACCGAGTTTGACGGCGAGGCACCGTTGAAGGTCAGCTTACCAGAAGGCAGATATTTGGTACTGACACTATTGTGCAGCCGAAGAGCCATCGCGTTGAGAAGTGAGGTCTTTCCACTTCCTGATGGCCCCATGATAATGTTCAACTTGCCTGCTTGGAACGTGGTGTTGACAGGATTCAAGATGGTCTTCCGAGGAAGCTTCTTGCCAGACGCTGCTCGCTTGTCGAGGTCCAGGGCAAAATCGTCTAGCCCAACGTCGATGGTCCGCACTTCAGATATAGACCGAGCCGTCATTTTCTCCTTGCCGGCCGACAGATCCGTGTCGGAAACTCTGGCTCGCGCAATCGTCATCTCCTGTTTGATGAACTGGAGACCGATTGCGGATAACAGACAGAAGAAAACGACGAAGGAGACCATGATGATGATGGGCCGCCAGGTCCAGTTCGGAGGAAAGCCAAGAGATCGCATGACAAAGTTGCCAGTGTACTGGTTGCACGCCGGGTTCGAGAAACCGCCGTCCAAAGGACAGTCGTACAGCGCGTTTGTGAATTCATTGCCGCAATAGGCGCCAAAGCCGTAAAACTACTCAAGTTAGCTTGCATTACCAAGAAATGCCGCAAGACTTACCTGGTACGTGATCCACTTGAGCCATCTCACGTAGACTGGGATGGTATTCGACTGAATGAAGTATCCGCAAGCCATGCTCTGCAGCGTGAATACCATGTTGGCTATGAGACTGGCGCCCGGGAAGTTACGAGACGCTGTCACACAGGTGATCGCGCATGTAACCGCAATGTAGTGATTAATAAGTGTGATGGCAAAGAAGATGAAGAACTGGCTTGCATCGCTGTTGAACCCGGCCATAAAGTAGAAGATGACGGAGAAGAGGAAGGGCACAGGGAGATCCTCGGTGAAAAGACGTGCGAGGCGACGTGAGACGAGAAACGGAATGGCATCCACGCAGAATTCGCTGTGCTCGCGGTCGTACGTAGGGATGTCTAGTGTCAGACGATAGACCTCGAACATGAGCACCAAGTACCCCTGCAATCCTGAGATGGTATACAAGGCGCCTTGCCGTGATCGAATACCAGACAGGTCTTTGGGCAATTGGAAGAAGATGTACCCTGTGATGATCGCCATCAGTATCGCCTCCATGATGGCGGCCGCCATGCCCATTGGGTCACGATAGGTGACCTTGAAGGTTCGATCGGTCAGGACGCGGACTTGTCGCCCGTATGTGGCGTGTTTTGTCGTTGCCGTTTTGCTGCCCCGTCGACGCCCCGACGTTTCCACTGTCTTCTCCGATGGCATATACCTCCTCTGGCTTTCGTGGTTCCAGGCCGTCTTGAGTCGGTCTACCCGTGCTGTTGTCTCTTCTTCCAGCTCTGGCGTGCGGTTGTCGATGGCTGCAACATCGATGACAAACTCGGCAGGGTTGACGAACGGTGGCAGCTTGAAGTTCATGCCCTCGAACCACGGCACGCAGTCCTTGGCCGGGCCTGAGTACACCGGGCTTCCCTTGGTCAGGATGACGAGATTGTCGAAAAGATCCCAGATCTCAGATCGCGGTTGGTGAATGGTAGTGATGACTGTCCTTCCCTTGGTCGCCAGCTTCTTGAGAGTGCGCACAAGCTGGAAAGCACTCGTCGCATCGAGACCAGTAGTCGGTTCGTCGAGGAAAACCACTGACGGATTTGCAAGCAGCTGCACGCCGATGCTGACCCTCCTCTTTTCGCCGCCAGAACATCCCCGGTGTTGGCTGTTCCCTATCCTCGTGTTGGCGCATTCCTTTAATCCCAATTCCAAAATGACCTCCTCCACGATGCGCCTTCGCTCCTCGGCCGTTGTCGGGGGTGGCAGCCGCAAGTCGGCAGAATACTGCAGTGTCTCTCGTACGGTCAAAGTTGGTAGAAGAATATCCTGCTGCATCACATACGCGTGCCGAGCGTTGTGCACCCCTTCGTTTCCGTTGAAAGTGATCGACCCTCCTTGCGACAGCCGAGCACTGATCATGCGTTCCGACAAGGTATTGAGCAGCGTGGTCTTTCCCGAACCACTGCCGCCGATGATGGCAGTCAAAGTCCCGGCCGGCAAGGAAGCGCTGACATGGTGTAATAGGGTTTTGGAGCTCTGTTGGGGATTAAACTTCGCCTTGGCCAGCTCAGGGTAGGTTGCAGGGTCGAACCATGAAGGCGATGTGTCGACACTGACTGCAAGGTCGCGAATTTGAACGTCGACGGCTTCGACATCATCAAGCGAAATGTGACCGGCCCCAGACAGCGAGAAGCGGTGCTCGAGGGCGGCCTGATCGGTGGGCGCGGTTGGTTCCATTGATGTGTCGACGGAGCTCGCACGATCAATCTTGTCAGTGTCAAGTACAGCAGGGTTGTCGTCGGCTGCTGGCGCGGCGGTATTATTCGATGGCTGATCGCCAGCGACAGTGTCGGGGTTTTGTTGCGACATGGCGGGCAACGGAGGAACTGCTCTATCTCACCTCACGACCGCCATTGGCCTGCTTCGATCTCTTCCAATCGCAATGGTTGGGCCCAGCAGGATATTAGGTGCGTGAGAGCAATATGTAGACCGATCCTTTGCTCCAAACGACAGCTGCTTGGCTGTAGGGCTGGCAGGGTAGATGTAACTGTGGCTTGGAGTTGCTGACGGCAGGCTGACCCTCGTGCGGGCTTTTGTGATGAGCTGACGGCGATAGATTGGAGGCAACGGCGATGATCGGGAGTGTCTCACGAAGAGCCGTTTCGAGTATGCGAATCAGCGCGAATCGCCGTTTGTGGAAGAATGGCGCTGGTCGTCAGCTATGTTTCAACGATCGGGCGTCGAGTCGGCGAATGAAGTAGATATCAGGGGGCGTAACGTCGCGAAAGTGATGCTCGAAAGCAACGGTGGACGTGGCAAGAGCTTCTGTTGGAAAGAAATCAAGTCCAAAAAAAGGAAGACAAAGATGACAGTCCTCAGCGGGAAAAGTCCTTCAGATGTTCATGTGAAAAGATCGTTGGCGGGATGCGAAGACGACGGAAAGTACGACGAGAATGAAAAGTGACATGCGTCCAGGCGTGGCAGGGTAGCTCTCGGCTGGATGCAACATCAAGGTCGCTCTCCCTTCTCCTCATCCACCAGCGCAAGCTCACCGACCAGGGCCCCCGATGCGTTGAGATTCGGTCAAGCGCCCATGCTCTACGGCTGTTGCTGCAATACCAATGCTTCGCTCCTCACGGCGAAGCGAGGCCAGGATCGGCTGCAGTGAGATGCAGCTGCAGCTTTTCCTCCGCACGACACGAGTCCACAGGCCCCCTCGTCCATAGTTCACGGCCCCGTTCCGCACGGCATGTCTTGGGGACGAGTTCGACTTTTGAATGATCTGTCTGTTGGTCGGGCGTCTTTTTAAACCTGGCCGAACTCCCGAGGCACCTCACGTTCGTCTGTTCTGTGTCTTCGTCGACCGTCTAACTAGAGCTTTGATTCAACTTCTGCAAGTGACAGCTCGGATGGCGTACGGGAGGCGTCCACGCCGGCACTGCGACCTCGCGAGACCAGGATGGACAGGTTGAGAGCGCCATGTGGGTGGAGGGGTTTAGCGGGTGCGCGAATGAGGGAAACGACATTGGCAACTGGACGACGGATGGGGTTAGGCCTGGTAGGATTTGCGGATTCCCAGGCCTCTGGTCAACCGTCAATGTCGCTGATACCGACACACGCTGGCGGCGATCCATTGATGCTACCACAGATGACTGCTAATTATTCGGTATCGATGTCGACATGTCGAGATAACGCTGCGGTAGCGCCTCGTCCGAGCCAGTCGGGGAAATTGAGACCCAGACCTCGCCTGCTGCTGCTGCTGCATCTTGCTGTCTGTCCGTGACATTGGCTTCGTTTGTGATGATTCGAATAGAGACGGAGTCAGTAAAAGGAACCATTGGTGAGATATTTGATAAGTTGCCCCTGCCTAGGGACTTGTGTATTCACATCGGAACTCGAAAGACATGACCGTTTTGAGAGAAAACTATTCAAACATGCCGGCCAAAGTTCCAAACCAATGGCAGTCCGGCGCCAACTGAGAGGCATCCCGTCGGCAGCGTTTGTTTCCGGCAGCTCGCTTAGCACCTCCAGGTCATCACGGTACGTGCTCTTGCCAGAATCGGTTCGTCGTGTGGCCCAAGCTCCAGCTCGCTTAACTCGTATCCTTCGCTTACGTTACCGCCGCATCGCTTGGAAAATATTCTGCTCGCTTGGAGGGTCTTCAGTGGATTCAGTGGATGGAGTCCACTAAAGTGTGGTGATCACGGGTCTCCACTGGCACCTCCATGCCACCAAATAACGGGGGCCACGACATCGTGAACTTGGCATCGTCAACATGAGGAATTAAATCAGTCAGCACGTGTGCGACCTGGACTCACCTCAAGCGCTTTGCTTCACAAGTCTCCGGTCGCCACAATTCCACGTGAGATGGCGACTTCAGGTAGACTTTGGGGTATCGGGGTAAGCAGACGCGTTCTTGACATCATTTGCACCTCATCGGCCTTCTGCTCCCTTTCTACAGAACCAAGACTTCCAACTCCAAAAGGGGTAGGATATTTATCACCCCCCTCTAGCTATTTATCACCCCTCTAGCCACACCTACTATATATATATCTCTAAATACTAATAAAGAAGACTAGTAGGCCTTATAGGCTAATTAGAGGTTAATATTTAAGTTATTTAATTATTTAAAAACTTATTAGATTTAAGTAATTTAGCTTAAATTAGTATAACTAATATAACTAATATAAATAGGTAAACTAGGCGTATATAACTAGCTATATTTAGAGTAATATTTAGAGTAAAAAAAGATATATATTAAAGTTATTTAAAGCTATAAAGTTACTTAATTTAATATAACTTAGCCTCTTTTATTATTATTATTACCTCTTCTACTTTATACTCTTATAACTTCTTATCTATTAAGCCTTTAACTTTAGTACTTATTTTAAAGTTATATTTATTATTAACTAAATCCTATAGGGTATTAAACTATATCTATATACTTATTAACTATAAAAGAGCCTTTATAAGTATTAATAAGCTCTTAGTATTAATAGAAGCTATATTATAATTATTATTATTATTAAGAATAAAGATAGAATTAATAACTTTATAGGGAGCCTAAATAAGGTTAATTATATTAAACTCTTTATTAATAGTAGCTTAAATATATTATTATTAATACTTTATATCTATATTATATATATTATAATAGGCTACTATTTTTAGCCTTTATTAAGTTATAGTTATATTACTTAGTACTAATAGTATAGTTAATAGTAGAGGAATAAATATAGAGCTTAGAGCCTTTAGGTAATTAAATAAGAGTAATTAGAGGGCTTTAGTCTATTTAGTAGCCTCTTTATACTTAAATAATAAGGGCTTTTAGTATAATAATATATTAAGTACTTACTTTTATTTCTTTAGATAGCTTTTACCTTATAATACCTCTTTTAAGTTAAATAGAGGTAACTTAATATTATTATAGGGTAATAAGTAGTATTAAAACTAATAGGGATAAATCTTTTTAGTTAATAGTAACTTATATTAATTGAAATAGTTAAATAGTACATAATAATATAGTAGCCTATAGGCTTTGTTAAACCTATATAGCCTATAGGTGTTACGACCCGTTGGGCTTAGCTACCAACACAACCCCGCCAGGCTCTCAGCGGCTAACGTGGACATATATAACCCAGTAACACAAGGACGGTCAGGGATCCTCAGAAGGGAAGAACTATAGTATAAGTCACGTGACGATAAGATAAGGATCATTTAGGATCAAAATGATCTAGATAGACTTAGGGGCTAAACGATCATTCTCAATCAGAATAATCCAGCTCAACCTAAGGTACAAAGAGCATATACTAGGAAAAGGACTTATATATAGGATAGACTTAAGCTCAGCTTAAGGACAAACTTCTATAGCTCTTTAGTAATTAACTTATAATTATTACTTATAATACTTTTAGCTATACCTAAGTAATAATTACTCTATAACTCTTATTAAGGCCTTAACTAATTACTAAGACCTTTAAAGACCTATAATTACTTAAATAGCCCTATAGAACGACTTAATACTGTTTATAGTTCTCAATCCCTAACTTACTGCTAACACAAACCCACTATCAGTTAGCTGGCCGTAACAATAGGTATCTTTTAGCCTCTTATATAAGTTATCTTTCTACTTATAGCTTAGCTTAGCTAGCTTATTAGTTAGAAAAAGTAGTACTTTTAGGTATATATAGTACTAAATAGCTTTAAATAAAAAGTAATAAGAGTTAGAGAGTAACTTAGCTTAATACTAAAGTTACTTTATTATAATTATATCCTATTAGCTAACTTAAAATAATACTAACTTATTAAATATACTCTTAAAGTCCCCTATATAATAATAGATATATACTTTTAGGTTAATATAAAATAACTTAATAATAGAGGTAGTTATATACCTAAAGTAGATATACTTATTAATATAATATTTAATAAGTTTCTTATACTATAGGCCTAGCTATATATTAATTATATAGTTAATAATAGTAATAAGGAAGCTAGATTTCTTAAATATCTTAAGTTATTAATAGTATATATTAATAGTATAGCTTTAGAGAATACTATTCTATATATTAAGAAATTTCTAGAACTTTAAGTACTTTATAATGCTATTATTATTATTTTTATAGCTATTAAGAAGTATTTATAAGTCTTAACTAATATATTAAGGTTAATATATTATTAATAAAATAAGTATAAAATAAAGTAAAATTTTAAGCTAATATTAAGTATATATAAAAGAGCTAGTTTATAATCTATATATATAACTTTTAGTAGTAAAATATTACTCTCTATTAATATCTCTATTAATATACTAACTACTTAAGTATAGTTAGCCTCTTTTTTACTTAATAAGAAGTAGGAGGCTACTTAAAAGGTATATCTATTATTAATAGTACTATAGATATTAAATAATAATATATTAAAATAATTAGTTTTATATATTAAATCTATTAAAAAATATTAAGATATTTTTAGAGAAGGTTAATATTAATATATAGTATAATAAAGAGGGTAATAATATAGCTAATAGTATCCTAAAGGTAATAATACTAATATTTATTATTATCTTTAAGCTAACTAAAGAGCTACTTAATAGGTATTTTACTATTAAGTTCTATTTATTAATAAGTAGCTAAAAGGTTTAATATATTATATATAGTAATATTCTTTACTCTATAGGTATATAGAGTTATTAATATTTAGATTAAATAAATACCTTTATTTTATAACTTTACTATTTTATTACTATATTAAATAAGAGTCTCTTAGTAATTTTTAGTATATATTAATAGGTTATAAAATAAGTAGTTATAGTAGTTATAGTTAATAGTAATAATAAGCTTAATAACTTAAGCCTTATTTACTTTCTTTATAGTAATCTATTAGTAATAAATAGTATTATAAGAAAATAATTTTTACTTCTTTAATATATAGGTATTAAGGGTAAAAGCTCTTACTTTATTATTATCTTATTATAATATATAGATATATTAATAAACTTATTAATTACTCTTTATATATAAAGTAGAGATTATAAAGCTAGCCTTATATATAGTATTATTAAGTATATTATAAGTAGCTACTTTTAATAAAAAACTCTACTTAATAAGAAGATAAAAGTAATAATACTACTTAAGCGCTAATAGGTATAATATAGTAGTATAGTAATATATAAATTTATTATTAAATAATAAGAGGGTCTTAAACTTAATCTCCTATTATAATATTATAATAATATATATAAATAATCTTAAAAAAAGCGTTTTAATAATAATAGTTAGTTATATTAATAATATTATAATAGGATAGGGAAGATCTTACTTAAGTAGGCGTATAGGTAGGAGTCTAATTATAGAGGTCTATAGTAGGTATATAGCTAGAGGGGTAATAAATATCTAGAATGGGGTCATAAATATCCTACCCCCTCTAAAATGTCTAAATAATATCCTCCCTGCTGCAAACAAAGATTCAAATGAAAAAGACGCCGGCCCCACGCGTCTAATCCCACGTCGCTTAGACCTCCGAGTTTGACAGCCCGGACAGGACCACCTCGGCTCGCAAGCGACCTGGTCCTCCCCATCTTTCCGACGGATATCAGATTGGCATCTCCGTTTCTCGAATCCTGACATGCTGTCATCAACGAGATATTTGCGCCTGCGGTCAACCGGTCATCTCCGTCGTCGTTCCAGGCAAGCGCCTCTGTCGACTTTTGTCCTAAAAGAGTACCCGAGACTGATCGACCGCCCGGGAGATCATACCCCCTCGCCTCGACCACCTCGGATAACTTTAAATTAGTTCTAAGACTGTCTTTACGCTCGCCACACTCGGCAATTCTTCTTCGCCAAGTCAGCTTCGAGCGCAATCATCAACACCATCATAACCTTTATTGGCGTGATGGCCGGGATGTGGGAGAGTGGTAAGATGAACATCTGGCTCACTCTCGAGACCTGTTTTCGGCGTTGATCCGACTCCAGTTTCTCCCTCGGGCTTTTCGAGTGAGCTTCATCATCGGTGAGTCTTTGCCGGTGTATCAAGCGATACATCCTGTTCGGTAAAGGCCATCCACACACTCCCATCCGCCTCGATTGAAGTTCTCAACCGATATACCAGCAAGTCTCACAGAGTCTTGAAAATCCACTCGGCAGACATGCATCATATATATCATTATTCAAAAATGTATCCAAAGTCGCTTTCTAAACCCCATCCAACATCGCCAAACTCCAAAAATCCCCAATCGTCTAAGCAACCCTCTTCTCGACAATAGCCTCACCGACAGGAGACTCCCCAACAAACCCACCGTTCACACCCCCAAACTCCCACACCTTGCGCCCGCGAACCCACGTCTCCTGCACCCTGCCGGCGAACTCCTTGCCCTCCCACGGCGAACACTTGTTCTTCCACCTCATGTCCCCAGACCGCAGCGTCCACGCGTCCGCATCGTCAAACACGCACACGTCCGCGTCCATCCCGACCTTGAGCGCGCCCTTGCGGTGCGAAAGCCCCACCTGCGCCGCCGTCGCCTGCGCGCACAACCTCACGATATCCACAATCGACGGCGCCGACCCCGCGCCCAGCTCGGCCGCGCGCGCCTTGGACGCGGAGTACACGATCGGCAGCCCCAGTCCGACGGACGAGATCCCGCCCCACGCCGCGAAGAAGTCGCCCCGCGTGGTCTCCGCCGCCCTCGCCGCCGTCCTCTCCGCCAGGATCTTGTCGACGCCGTCGCCGGGGATGGTCATGTCGATTCCGGAATCCGAGTGGCGCATGTCGACGCCGGGGCTCTGCTCCCCGCTCGCGGGCGCCTCGAGGGCCTCCGGGAGCAGCTTCAGCTGCGGCGTGCAGGGCGAGTGGTCCGACACCACGGTCCTGATGCACGAGTCCGGCGCGACCAGCTCCTCCCACAGCCCGTCGCGGTTCGAGCGCTCGCGGATCGGCGGGCAGCACTTGTGCCTCGTGTCGCCGTCTTCGATATCCTCGGACGCGAAGCCGAGGTAGTGGAAGCACGTCTCGGCCGTGACGTTGACGCCCTTGGCGCGGGCGGAGCGGAGGAGCGGGATCGCCTGCGTCGCCGAGAGGTGGACGATGTGCAGGTGCAGGTCGGGCGCGAGGTGCGCGAGCGAGAGGATCTCCTCGACGGCGTAGGTCTCGAACGAGGGCGGGCGGGACTCGAGGAAGGTGTTGTAGGAGGTGAGCTCGCCGGTCGGGGCGGCCGGGGGCTCGGACTGCTGGACGGCGTCGCCTACGGAGTCGGCGATGGGCGGGATCATCTCGGCATGGAACATGAGCGTCGTGGGGGTGCCGTTGAGTGTCTTCATCGCGAGGGCCACGTCCGAGGAGGAGACGGCGGGGAATTCGTCGACCTGGTCGTCTTCGTCAGTGGGACACTCATTTGAGGAGGCGAAAGGGGATGCTCACGCCAGACTCGATCAGGAAACCCTTGAAGCCTCGCACACCGGCCTCAACGAGCGGGAGGAGCTCATCCGCGTTACCGGGGATCACACCGCCGTAGAAACCAACGTCGACCCAGCACTGGCCCTGGCTCGCCGCGAGCTTCTCCTTGAAGCCGGCGACGGTCGTCGTGGGCGGGATGGCGTTCAGGGGCATGTCGACGACGGTGGTGACACCGCCCGAGGCCGCGGCGCGCGTGCCGGTCCAGAAACCTTCCCACTCCGTGCGGCCGGGCTCGTTGAGGTGGACGTGGGCGTCGACGAGGCCGGGCAGGAGGAGCTTGTTGCCATAGTTGGTGTAGGTTGTCGTCGAGGGGAACGATGTCTTGGGCAGGACGGCGGGGATGATCTTGACGATCTTGCCGGTGGAGGGAGAGATTGAGATCGTGGCCGGGGTGAGAACGAGGCTGTCGTCTGGCAGGGTGAGGATTGCGCGGGTCGAGGCGAGGACGACGAGAGGCGCCTGGGGTTCTTGAGCAGCTGTCATTGTGAGAGCTGATAAGAGCTACAGGTACGATAAGGGGCGAATCGAGAGCTTTCCCCGCGGTGGGATGGTCGAGAGATGGCTATTGGTTCTGGGGGTGGCAGCTTATCTCTTTCGCGGGGTGGCGGGGTGAGAGAGATAAGAGCTGCTGAGGGTGGTGATGTGTGTGTGGCTTGTGATAAGATCTGAGGTGAGTCTCTCAAGTAAGTTTGTTCAGTTTCCTTGGGTATCTCGACAAAGCTCTACAAACTCACAACACGCGGTATTCACAACGGAGTCAGCATGAGAAGAGTGAGAGGAATGGAAAGGAGAAAAGGAGCGGGAAGGGAAGAAAAGACGGCGTTGAATCTCACAACAGTCGATCCACAGCCCACCTTCGCCGTCTTCGTCCCGTTCCAGGCCCAGTGGCCCTTGCGCCGAGCTTCCCATTCTCAGTCTTCTTTCCCTCTTCGATAAGATAACGTTACCTTATTTCCCACAAGGCCAACCAACGAAATCACAGGCCGAGAGTCGAGCACCTCCCACACACACCCCTCGTGTTTGGATTCCGCTCACCCATTGTGTGGGGTGCGTTATCGAACCCTCCGCGACCTGCCATCGACCGGTGCGGTGCGCATCCCGGGGGACCCTGAATGTCTTCACTGCCGTTATCAGCAACCTCTGATTGGACAGCGCTCGTCGGATGCAGCCGTTTCCCGATCTAGAAGGTCTTAGTCAGCCAAGCGTGGCCAATGAGGACACGGCCTTTCGACGGGGTATCGAGTCTCCACCACGGCGTTCGCCCATCGGCCGTTCTCGGAAAAGCTCGTTTCCTTCTTCTCTGAGCGCATTTTGACTTATCAGCCAGTTATCCATCGAAGGACCGAGCTTGAGCCTGTTGCTCTCGAGTTTCGATCGAGTAATGATCGAGTAAAACACCGCTCTTTTGGGGCATCCGGCCCGCCGCCTCGTTCATGCGCCCAGCGGTCGTCGGTCGACGGTGGATTTGTTTTAGGGTTTGAAAGAACATGCAGAGATTTCTCCTTCTTTTCCCTGCTACTGCGACGTGGCCAGGGATCGAAGAGAGTCTTGGCCCGGACGTTCTGGAGTGGTGTTGTACCACACTCGATCGAGTAACCGCTTGAAGCCGTCAACACCACGCTTGGATGCCGTTGGCTGGCCTTATTGCTGTTACTCGATCGATTCACGATGGAGGCAGACCGCAACCCCCTGGTCAACGAAGCGAAATGGCGAATCACAGCCCCCTGGCCTGGAATTCGATGTCTGATCTGGCCCCTCGTCCTCTCCTCTCCCCGCCGGCCACCCCGCGGCGGCGCAATGACCGAGTCATCTTCCCATCCATGATCCGTAGACTGGTGGTTTGGGGTTTGGGCCTTTCGCCGTGATAACGAAGTGCGCTGACTGACCGATCCGGCCCCGATAGCCGGGCCGTTGCCTTTCTGCCGTTCTTCCGTTCAACAACGCCCACCGTCCTCTCGGCTCCCCGGTCCCTGTACATGTTTCGCACCTCGACCGCGGACGGTTTTGTTTGATCTGTGCCTGGCACATGTTTTTTTTTCTTTGCTGCTTGCTTGCGCGTGCCGTCATCCTTTCAGGTTCTTGTATCCGGACATCAGACGAAAGACCAGGTCAGAAATCATGGATCGTGGACGGGAAGGGACTTGGGACCGTACGCTAGGCTAAGCTTCCACGGTCCCTGACGGATCCCTGCATCTGATCAAGGGCTGGCCGCCGCCGCCGCCGCCCCTCGCCGCTGAGTTCGTTCGTTCGTCGTCCCGTGAGGGCGAGGAGGAAAAGAGCTGGCAACGTAATGAAAACGACGTTTCCACGGAGCTGGCCGCCTCTTTGGGGGGAACTGCAGGATGTGTTGCGACGGTATGGACCCTGTCGAGGCCGCACGTCGGGTTTTGAGTTTCTGCACGACGGCATTTTGATCGAGTAAAAGATTCCCATCTCCCCCAATCACCTGTCCCCGACCCGGTCATGTAAGCAGCAAGTCAACTTCCGACGGCTGAATCGTTTTACGGTGGTCGTCTGCGACACCCGATAGTTCAAAGTCGAGAACCGACACCCGTATTCCTGCCGACGGGAGAAAGTGTCAAATGGGAAAGTTGTGTTTGGTATTGAGCTGCAGGCTCTTCGACTTCTACCCTGCTGAATGCCCGCCCATCTTTCACGCCCTCTCCCCGCGCCGCCCGTCTAGTAGTATTGTATGATATCGTTACATGTACTCTCTCCAAAGAGCCCAGATAATTCTGTTGTACAGGTCGAATGCGACATACCAAAGTGCATGCATTCCGAGTTGGTTTTTGTTTATACAGGTCGTCGTCGTGTCGTGTCAAACCGCGGCTTCCGTCGCCCCCGCTTACTTTGTCCTCTTCAACGCCTTGACGGCCATCTCAATGAGACCGTCCTTGGCCTCGCTGTCGGGGAAGTCCGCAAGAGCGGCGATCGCCCGCTCCGAGTAATCCTCCGCCAGTGCCCGTGTCTGCTCAATGCCGTCGCTCTGGAGGACCAACTCGCGTGCCTGAAACCCCGTGTTAGCTAAGCTTTTTTACGTTTTCATCCGAGCGTAGCAAACGCGCTTACCCTTGCGACGTCACCCTCCTGCTCGAACTTCCTGCCAACCAGCGCACCCAGCTCCGCGTTCTGCTTCCACGCGAACAGCAGCGGGGCCGTCGCCAGACCGAGCTCCAGGTCGGCACCCGCCGGCTTGCCCAGCTCCTTCTCGCTCCTCGTGTAATCGAGCATGTCGTCGACCAGCTGGAATGCCAAACCCAGGTTCTTGCCGTAAGCGTAGGCGGCTTCGACCGAGGCGGCATCCGAACCGCCCAGGATGGCAGCGGCACGGCATGACTTGGAAATCAAACTCGCCGTCTTCAGATACGTCTTCTGCAGGTAGTAGGTGAGGGCCTCCTCCGACCACACCGGTTTCCTCTCGTCCTGCGCCGTGTTCTTCAGCTGCATAAACTCGCCCTCGACGAGGTTGGCAATAACAGTCGCCAAGAGCTCGATGACCTCGGCGTTCCTGAGGCGAGCCAGCGCAACAGAGGCTCTGCCGAGGAGGAAGTCACCGGCCAGGACGGCCATCTTGTTGCCGAACTCGAGGTTCGCCGAGGGAGACCCGCGACGGGCCACGGAATGGTCAATGACATCGTCGTGGAGGAGCGAGGCCGTGTGGATCAGCTCGGTGATCTCGGCCAGACGGCGCTGGGAAGGGAGGATATCGGATTCCGACTCGACGGGATCGGCTGCGGTCAAGGGGTTCGAGCTCGGATTGACGTCGACGAGGATACCCGGCGGCGATATCGACGTGTCGACGCCGCCAACAGCCTGCGCAGACTGCAGGCGTGGGCCCTTGGGGCATAACGCCGTCGCTCTCGACATGAGCAGCACGATCAAGGGCCGCATGTGCTTGCCCTCGGCCTGAGTATAGTATTTGGCGGCACGGTCCAGAGAGGGGTGGCCTGAGCCGAGAAGCTTGCGAATGTTGCCCGTGAGGAACTTCATCTCCTTGGCCACTGTCCGCAGAGGGTCGATGTGCATGTCGCCCTTCGGGACCACCCGGTTGATGGCATTAGAAGCGATGTTCGAGGCCACGGATACGGCAGCCCCCCAGGCGGATGATCTCTTCGGAGAGGAGTGGTAGAGCGCGGCTGTCACCGGTAACCGGGCGTCGAGGGGTGCGATCCGCCGACATTGCGCGCATCGGGAGGAGGAGGAGAGGAGGAGCGGTCGTGACGTTGTGTAGGTGCTGCGCAGCACCGCTGCTCCCGGTCGGAGCTGCATGGCTCCGGTAATGCTCCAAAGGGTGTCAATGGAGAGGATAAACAGTCACCAAAGATTCCAACGGCATCCGTATCGGGTAGACCTTCTCAAGACCCGTGGGTGTGGCAATTGGCAGCTGCAGGCGAGTGGTGATGATACGACTCGACGACTTTTTTTTCTCGCTCACATTCAACGGTGCACGAAGTCGGTGGCTCTTAGGTAAGGTACGTACCGAGGCAGGTGGTGCTGAGCGATCCAGGCACACCCAAAAGATACGTACCATTTTGGGGAAATGGAGGGACATAGAAGCCCTGATTGGCTGATGGGGCCTGCCACCCGAAGCTTAGCGGTTGAGCTGAGCATTGAGTGCTGAATGTCGAGTCTGCCCGTCGGTGTCCATCATTACTCCGATCTGACATCGACATCTCCTTGTGACGATTGGTTTCATTCCGATATACTCTCGTTGGGTGATACATCTCCATCAACGCCATGGTACGACTCACGATGACGCCTTCCATTGTGGAAGGCTTGCAGAAGCTGGCTGAAGTCAGGCCGAAGGTGGAAGAGACGGAAACCCACGATGCAGAAGCGGAGGAATCACCAGAGTCGACTTCCACACCAGCAGCAAAGGCGGAAGCCGAGCCGAGCCTCGACGATCCTACAATTGGGAACCCCATCGCCCATGGCCAGATTATCGATCTGTGGCGGAGTCTGAAGACTGAGAGCATCGCCGGCTTCTCTCTGGAAGGACTGTTACGAGGCGCGCAGGTGTACATCCCACCACCGCCTCCCAAGCCCGAGCCAGTACGTCGGCACCATCATTCCTATCCCATATGTTCAAGCGCTGACGATTCCATCACAGTCCGACGAATACAAAGCCCTCATGGCACGACTTCGACGCGAGGAAGAAGAGCGAACATACCAACGCATGCTGAAGCAGCCCTCCCGAATGGAGGCATTCTCCCAGCAGTTCCCCAACGCATCCGCCCGAACACACATGTTCGCCGAGGTGAACCGGCCAATGCATGAGTCGGACAACGGCGACGACGAGGTCACACTCGGCGATGTGCAGAAGCAGCTCATGGTTATCCTTAACTTCCTCCTGAGCGTTATCGGCGTCGGTGCGACCATCTGGATAGCGGCGCGCTGGTGGAGTCTTACATCGCGAATCTTCCTGACCATGGGCGGTTCCATCCTGGTCTTGATCGCAGAAGTTGCCGTCTACTCCGGATACGTGTGGAGGTTCACAGAGGCCAAGACGAAGCGCAGAGAGCCAAAGGAGATCAGAGAAGTGATGCAGACGTGGGTGGTGGGGAAGGAGGAAGAGGATAAGGAGGGCGAGAAAGATGCGGTATTGCTCGACACGAAAACTCAAGATACAGACGAAGGCATAAGGCGGAGACTAAAGGGATTGTCATAGTGCTGTCCAAGTTGCAGATACAGCTGAAGCAATATCACAGTGCATTCAAAGTACGGTTACGGATGGCTTCTCCATCTACTGCGGCGGACCGACGCCGGATGCACACGGCAAAGATGTGAGAGTAATTGGCCCCGCTCCAGCTCTTTGACCCCATCCATCAATTCTGATCCATGTCCGTTTTATCAAGGTTGTGGCCATTTCGCATGCGACTGGAAAAAGCCACACGTGATTTTGGCGGTGGTAATCGCGTCTCGACGCGTTCGCTGCACGTCATTCTTCCCGCGACGCGACTTTTGGTGGGGCCTCATCGAAAGCTCTCGATCGGCCATCTTGCATACACCTCTCACCCCAGTCTCGACTTTTTCGCCTCCGAGGTAGTTTTGCCTTGTGCTCTGGGGTCCGTTTCACTTTTAATCTCATTAATCTTCCGACCTTCTTGATATGTTCTCTCACGACCTTTGAAGGCGACAACTTTGGGCTTCTCACCCTTCATAACATCATCGCGCGCGTCGCGTCGCATCGCGTCACGCCTCCAAACACCACAATTCACCTCGCAAAATCATCCCGACGATGATCTCAACGAAGGGGGCAGCTCTGTCTCCGACCGTTCCCCGAGACCCTCGGCCGGCGCCAGAGAAGCGGTACGAATAATTCTTGAGAGCGCATGCCCGTAATATAGCTAACGCGCTCCCAGCCGCACCCTGCGAACCTATAGCAAGCGATCGCGATCCGCCGAAGACGACACAACCACAAGACTAGTCAAGAAGCAACGAGTCATCATCGAAGAAACCCCCGTTCCGCGACCCGAGCCCTCTCGCCTACCACCACCACCGCCTCCACCTCCTTCGCACGCAAATAACATCCCCAAGAGCTCGATCCTCAGCTACTTCAAACCATGCCGCTCCAGCTCCGCGACAGAGCCCTCGGATCCGCTGTCCGACTCCGAGAAGCTCGTCAAGACCCCGCCGTCCTCGCCACCCGTTGTTAGGAGAATACGGGAGCCGAGGAGGTTGAGGCTGCGGCCTAGCACGGCGATACTTCCGTCCGATGTGGATAACGGGAGATGCGAGGATGACGAAGAACAATCCGACGAACAAAAGCCAGGGAGGAAGACGACACGCTCCGGAAGACGGGATGACAAGGAGTTGCAAGAGGCCGCGAAGAGCAGACTGAACGAGGGGACGGATAAGACTTTGGCAAAATCATCGAGTAAACCGAACCTGCGGTCGAAGCCCGCAACGATACAGACGACCATCAACATCTCCTCGAAACCCACTTTCGAAGAGTGCAAGATTTGCCGGATGGTTTACAACCCTCTGCATCCCCCCGACGTCAAATATCACACGCAGACGCATGCAGCATATCTTCGGAGCAGGGCGAAAAAATGAAGCTCGGATCGGTTGAGCCGCTATATCATGTGGTAGATGGATGGACTACTTTGGCGGAAAAATTGGCATGAGACTACGGCGTAAGGAATTTGGCTTGATACCACTTGGGAGTAATGATCGATGATACCCCTTAGCAATAGAAAACAAACTGCATTTCATTCCATTCGAAACGACTACCAACAAACAGAAAGCTCCAAAAGAGTGACAAAAACGAGCGTCGAAAAAGTAGTGGGAAAGAATGTGATCACACCCCATCAGATAAACCTCCTCTTCTCAGAGAATCCAGTCAGCTCAGCTGCAACACAATTCAGAATCGGCCTCCAAGAGAGCCTCAGAGCTCTCTTCAGACCCAGCCATCCCAGCGAAAGGTTCTTCGTACCGCCCCCTAGCCAATGCGAGCAGCGAGGAAGCGCGGGGCCGCAACAGCCGCATCGGTCTGGTACAAGAAGTGCGCGGGCAGAATGAACAGCGTCCCGTAGCAGACGGCGTCCGCGATGTCGCAGTACACCTCGACCTTGTTGCTGGGGAAGTTGGGGATGCGGCCGAGGTTCTGCAGGTTCTTGGTGTACCCGAACAGCACGACGCCCTTGATCTGGTTCTGGATCGCCGCGCCGAGCTGCGAGATGGACGCCGACATCACCGCCGTGCCCTGGCTGTACCCGCCGGCCACGATGGCCGCGTTCGGGCACTTGGCGTTCGCCAGCGTGAAGAGCCGCTTCGCCTCGTTGATGGCCGCCGTGGAGGTGCCCTCGGGAAGGAAGTTGGAGGCCAGGTCGGCCGAGTAGGGGCCGCCCACGCCCTGGACCCAGACCTGGGAGGCGCCGTAGCGGGACTCGAGGGCGTCGGCGAGGATGGGGCCTGCGCTGATGCCCTGCGTTGGTGCTGGTGTTAGTATCTTCTCGTTTGCTTTTCTCGGGGGCGGTGGTTCGAGTGCGTACCATGTTGCCGGGCTCGGTCGAGGCCCGGGCGAAGATGTAGATGACCTTGGGGCAGGCGGAGCTGCTGCCGGACTCGAGCTCGTTGCGGGAGGAGGACTGGCGGGCCTCGAGGGGGACGAGGCTGGTGTCGACGACGACTTCGACGGGGGCCGCGGCGGCGAGGGTGACGGCCAGGGAGAGAATGCTGAGGAACTTCATTTTCGATGTTGAAGATTCAAGATTGTCTGAAGATGGTCTCTGAAAGAACGTGCTGGCTGTGCTGGGCTGGAGCGAAGAAGGAGGTGTCAGGTCTGAGCGAGGGCTTGAGACTGATGATCTGAATATCGATTTCGTTTGGGAGAACTCCAGAGCTATTTATCTTCACCAGGATGCCATAGTTCCTTGCTTGGGTTCATCACGAGCCTCCCAAGCAGCTCATGATGGCCATCGTCATCGAGCTTCTCATCCATGTCTCGATCTAGTCGTTAGTCCTCCATCCCAAAGTCGCCAAAGCTGCCCGCTGGCCAGTTTCCAACAATCACATTCAAGATCCAACTTTGTTCATCCGCCAGTCGCATCCTGAAGCCATCCCCATCGCCGGATTCCAGAGTCGGTGAGTCGAGAGTTCCAAGACCACGATGCCACGTGAGGGCCGCCATTTCGCAAGAGGATATCAAATTGGGAATGGTCGGAGGCAGCTCCGCCTTCTCTTTGGTTGTGTGAGCGAGAGAAGCCTCGGGACAAGACCTGACACCCAGGAAACGACAAGAACCTGGAATGAGGGGGAAATGCGGCTTACGGACATCCAGAGCTTCAGGTCGTGTTAGTGAAGGGGTGGAGTCTCAACCATCGAAAGATCACAAAGTCCTCTCATTTAGGGTTTTGGCAGCTCTGTATGGCTGCGTGATCGACGCTGTCGCGCGACCTCGAGCCATGGTCTTGGTCATGCAAGACGGCCGGTAGAGAAATGCAATCCCCGCAGCGCCCCCGCAACTCGGCGACGTTGGATGCCTCGGCTCTGATGTCTGACTAGTTCCCTTTGAGAACGACGTGCACAGGTGTTCGACATTTCTGCAAGTTCCAAGAGGGCATCGCGGCTTCTGAGTGGTTGGCGAGTTTGTGGTATGCGAGGAAGCCAAGATGAGCGGACCGTTGAAGCCACAGGCTGTATGCAGGCGTGCCCAGCAACGGCACTGCACGTTGGTATGTGGGTTATCTGGGGAAGGCTGTGGAATGGGAGTCATGCAGAGTGAGGGTTGGAGCTAGTCCTCATTGTGTAAAAGTTGCGAGCTCATTTCTTGGCTCAGGGGCCTCAATGTGAGCACTCAATGCTTACTTACTTCGACAACTAATGGCGAAACAACATGGAGCTCGGTGACAACAAGTAACAAGCTAATACGTCATTTCAACAGCGTCAACGGCGAGAAGTCTTACAGGCGATTTCAAAGTTCAAGACGAAACAGATTATCGCCGGTTGGCATATCTAAAGCTTAAAGGAAACAATAATTATGCAGCCTTGATGTGCGTTTCTCAGATATAGACACAGACATTGACGGATGAGTTGTCTCAAAGGTCATCAACCAATGGACTAGGCCCCTGCGGCATCCCGATCTTATCCTCAAACATCATCCTAAGAGCCTCCACCCGGCCGCGATCCGACATGAACCGGAGATACTCGGCAGAGTTGGTCGCATCCATGTCGAGAATGCCCGGGTAGCCACCAGGGGCAGCAATGTCCTTGCGGGCGCTCCACTGGGACGAGTTGCGCTGGAACTCGTCGTCCAGGAGGAAATTAGCAAGGAGCTTGGAACCCTCGGGGTGAGGGGCGTCCTTAAAGATGGCGATGGACCTCGGCCAGCTGACGAAGAGTCCCTCGGTTGGAAACGAGGCGTTCAGGCTGCCGGAAGGTCGGAGACCGATGCTGGCGGTGAAGGTGACGGACTGTGTGCTGTTGGGCTGTCGAAGCACTGCCAGGGGAGATCCCGTACCGCGAACCCATCGGGGGTTATTGGCCAGGAGGCCGTCGAACCATTGGGGACCGTATTGGTGCATACTTGAGGAGGTCAGCGGTGTCTTTAAAGGTGAGGCTTGAGAATGTCTTACACGAGATCAAAGATGTAAGCAATGGCGTCGTCGTCACTGAGATGCGTCAAGACGATCTTGTCCTTGTACTCGGGCTTCAAGAAGTCGGGCCACTCCCGCGGGGGACTCGCGAGCTTCTGCGTGTTCCAGACCGTCGACCAGGCGTTCATAGCGAAGCCATAGTACGCGGCGCGGACATGCCGGAAGGGCGCGAGCACTTTGAAGTAGTTGTTCGGCGCGTAGTGCAGGAGCGCTCCCTGCTGCTCCCAGCGGGGGTAGTCTTGCAGCGCCTGGAGGATGATGGTGTCTACCTCGAGCGGGCCGCCGGACGCGAGCTGTCTGTCGATATTGACGCTGTGGTACTTGGAGCGGTTGACCGTGACGTTGAGCGTCATCCCCGGGAACCGGGTCTCGAAGGCGCGCTTGAGGCCGTCTTGTTGGTTCACCTCGTCGCCGCCGTGCCAGCAGGTCACGACGCCGCCCTCGGCTAGGGCTGCCTGGTAGATCTCATCGAGTGTGCGGTTCTCGTTGATTTGGGGGGTGTTGAAGCCGAGCGAGATGTCAGCTGAGATGACGTGCTGGGCTAGAAGGGCCAGATGGAGGGGGAAAGAAAGGCGCATCTTCAGACTGAGAGAGAGTAGTTGACGTGGTTGGTAACGAATGACTGTGGTTGTTGAGGCTCAAGAGTCCGTTCCGTCGCCGACCGCTTGGCTTTATATCGGTGTCACTTGAGGTGGCCATTCCTCATTATGACGATGCAAGCGAGCAAGACGTTGGCCTTGGCAGCCGCGTAAGACTCGAACCATTCTACACAGCCTTTAGATAGAATATGGCTAGCTCTGATTGCTACCAAGGTCGTGTGCTAGGTTGACGTTGGATAAGCCCCTTGGCTCGTCATGTTAAGGTGGTGATTTCAAGCATAGTTGCTGACACTAATACCGGTCTTTGGCTTACAGCCGAAGAGTCACGATGGTTGTACGAGGTCGAGTAGAGACTCTAGACACCGTCAATCTACTATGCATAGATCCGTACTTCTATTGTGCCCCAATTAATTGGAAGGGTAAGGTGTAGCGCGCGTATCCTGACTCGTAGTCTAGACTATCATATCGTAGCCCATTCATTTGATCCCGAAGCGGTAATAATTCGCCGTGGAAATAGAGTTCACAAGCCTTTAAGGCACAGCCTCATCCATGCTTGTCTCAACTTGAGAACGATAAGGTTGCTAACGACGAATGGGAGAACTACTTACTTATCAATCAGTTGTAAGGCTAATTAAGGCTGTGCTGCCCATCTGGTGACATAGTACCAGGGGGTTTAGTTCGTATCGAGAGACACGTGCTGCTGTGTCTTTCTTCCGTTGTTCGGAATTGTCATCCGATTTATGATGGAGTGCAAATAAACCGGTGACATACCAAGCAGATCTTGATATTTCCGAGATAAGATGCTGCTATCTAGGTATGGTATGAACATTAGAAGAGTCTTGTAATCGTCAACGGAAGGCCTCCGACATAAAACTCATGTTTAAAGAGTCATCAGTGCAGTGTGATGAAGTTCGTCATGCCGCCTATTCGGAGCCACTGGGTTTCCGGAATGGAGCAGTCCATCAGCTGGAACCGCTCATTCCTCCCGAATCGACCAAGCCCATCACTTCCCAGCAGACACATCAGCATCGTGATGACCCACGTTTCTCCTCCATCGGGATTTAGATATCCGTCCAGAGCCATGAATTCCATTAAACACTCCCTTGGTTGACTTTCACGCCATGCCCGGTCGAGCCATATATATCCTAACGGCTGCTTGGCTTCACACGTCCCATGATTGTCATGACGTCTGTAGTCGTATTGTAGTACTGTTTGCTTCGATTTGGCCAATAACCGAGGAGAAACCAAAGGGAGTGATAAACGGCTGCAATGAGCGGGGAAAACAGCGTAGAGCGCATTCGAACCCATATCTCTCTCAAAATTGTCGGAGATGAACAAGTCTGCGGTGCTGGCAAGCAGACTCAGAAATGGGATGTTGTAGAAAGAAGACGAAAAGCTCGTGGGGAATCCAAACCGAGATAGACTCTGTCGTGTCAAAGGCTTCCGCACTTGACTCCGGGGGGTTCCGATGAAACCACCGCCGGCCATCTGATTCGTGCGAGCTCCTGACAGCAGCTTTCTGTCGAACAAGACACCGCAATCCCATCCTAGCCATGACCAGCTGGGAAAATGCGGATTACGAAGTTGTGGGCGGTGAAGTTCCGTTCGCCAGCAGACAGCTTGATCAAAGGCGGATGTCGGCATTCCGTAGTGGAAAATGGACTGTTGACCGTCCATCATGCCTTCGAATCTTTGAAACACGGCCTGGAATGCTGAGATCTTATCCGCGCTGTTTGTGAACCTGCAGTTTGAGTAGTATTCAACGGCAGATACAAAGTACTCGAGGCCCTTTCCAGATGGGACGTGCAGCAGGCCGCCTACACTTTGAGAGCTGTGAGGTTCGAGTTTTGTTTTGCGTGCCTGAAGCAAGCTTCCATCTATGTGAGTTATGCCCTCCTGACACTGCAGAAAGATCCCACTACTGGTGAAGAAGATAGCTCGGTGGGAAAGTACCCTTTCCTGAAAGCACCAGCCACGACTGCCCCATGGCGATGCCTCCAACATCGAGTGGAACTCTTCAACGGAGCTGCATACTGCGGATGTCCCAGCGGGAGTAGGTGGCTGCAATCCCTTGTTCGCGTTCAAAGAAGAGACCGCAGCAATGGTGAACTTCGCAGCAGAGTAAATACGACGCATTCGCAGTATCTGAAGTCTCATATCCCGAGACGAGTCCTGCAATATGCATAGCGCGTCGATCCAGAGATACCGCTCTCCGAGTCTCTCGCATAGGAGAATGGCGTCTTTGATAGTCGTCGGTATTTGTTCCCAGATCAAGTCCAAGCCATGATTCTGAGATAGGTCTTCGATATTCGCGGTCGTGAGCTTGGGTTGGTGAACGCCGCCCCATACATAGGTTAAGGCCACAAAGTTGCAGTTTTCAGGGCCGTCAACCACGCATCTTCTGCGGACATCGATGAGCCGGAACTGGACTCCGTTGAAGACTTGCCATCCTAACGAGATTGGTTGACAGTGTTTGTGTTCAGGACTTGTTTCGCAATGATGGAGCCATGCCTTGATTGCGGTCGAGTTGATTCTTGAAGCTGAGGAGCATTTGCTTGGGCCGAAACTTTGTTGTTTGTTTGTAATTGGAGAGTCGGTTTGTGTAGGACCAGCATCAGAGCTGTCATTGAATGAACAATCTTTCGGGAATAAACGCAGGTCTTTCGGATTCCACCACGAAGGGCATCCCAAATTCTCGCCTTGCCACAAGATATGATAGAGATCACGAACAGGGGTCCATAACTCGTCCCCCCAACGACCATCGGGGCTATTCTCATCAGCTTGGTGTGTGAGAAGATCGCAAGATGTTTCAACCTACTCAACCATGATCTGTGCAGGACAGAGGGTGTACGCTCTGAGTAACACACAACAAACCGCTACATCGTAAGGTTTCCGCGCAGTCCCCACGGAGTCCCTATCGCTGCCTTCGCAGAGCTGGAACGTCTCATGTCCATACTCGCCCACGCCGTTGAAAATGATGCCTTCGTTCACGGTAGCTATTGGCGGTGTTATGCCGGTAGTTGAACTTTGAGATGGTCCGGCGAGGATCACGTCGCAGGCCTCCATGATAAGACGAGCATCGTCGATTAGCTGTGGCCAGATCGCTCGCCAATCCGGATCACGCCAGTTTTTGACGCGGAAATGATGCGTGTAGCTACGCCGCGCTTACATGTTAGTCTAGTCTCTGTACAAAAAATCCAAGAATTCTTACACAATTTGTTGGTTTACTCCTGCCATTGTTGACAGTTTGGGGATGGTAGATCACCATTGGGCGTAAATTGACGACACAAAGATGAGTCCCGACAGGCGGCATTTCAAAAACCGGGAAATCAAGGGTCCAAGCATGCAAGGCAGCTGTTTAATACAGGCCGCTGAATGGCTGTCGAAAGCTTCAAAATGGGGCCTAAAGCAGGTGTTTTCCCCTGCACCCCCGCCACACGTCATGGGCCTCCTCTCATTCTGAAGTTATTGAGGTGGACATCTTGGACGTTGCATGCACATTGAATCGAGTATCAGTCTGTAATTCCTATCTAACAAACCCAACCACCGTCGACGTTATATACGGCCCCCGTCACGAAAGAGGCCTCATCGCTAAGCAAGAACGCAATGACCTGGGCGATCTCAATTGGCTCCGCTCTTCTTTTCTGTGCAGTCACTTGCAAACCACGCTTGACATCTTCCGGATTCTCTCCTCTTGACAATGGAGTGTTGACGGATCCTGGCATGAGGTTGTTAGTGGTCAGGGCCGGCATTTAGCCAAGCGGCGGAAACTCACCAGGAGAGACGCAGTTGACGCGGATGTTCTGGTTCTCTTTAGCAGCTGTCCTCGATAACCCGATGACTGCCGCTTTGCTGGCGCAGTATGCGGCGTTACCCGGGGCGCCAAATTGCCCGAAGACACTTGCCGCAGATACCTGAAATGGGGCTGTTAGTGCATATTCGCGAGTTGAGTCGGAGTTGGGGAGCTGAGCACAGCGGGTTTGACGGGAATTGCAGCCAGACCCATGGCGGTTTTTAGTCGACTTACAATACTCGCGCCCGCGGACATTGCCTTGATCTGAGATCTCAGGCAGTTGAAGACACCTTTGGCGTTCACCGCGAAGACGAAGTCCCAGTCCTTGTCTGAGAGCTCTGCGACGGGCGTGGCATGGGTGATGACCCCGGCCATGTTCACCGCGCCATCGAGCTTGCCGTATTTCTGGACAGTGTTTTGAATCCACTTGTCAACCGCCCCGCCGTCTCTGACATCGACGACCTCATAAATGTGGCTATCACTGTCTGCCAAAGTCTTGATTGCTTCTTTCAAAGATTCCTCGTTGATGTCGGCCAGTGACAGCTTTGCGCCGCGCGTAGCCAGGAGCTGGGCGGTAGAGAGGCCCATGCCTGAGCCTGCGCCAGTCACAGCGATCTGTCACGGGTTATTAGCAGCCTGTGACATGCTGTAGCCAGCAATGTATTGCGGCAGATACATACAACTTTGCCCTGGAAAGAAGACATGTTTTAGAACCCTAAAATGACGTTGTTGAAAATGATGACAGCGACCAAAGAATAACTTCCGTTTGGTATTCTCACTGATGTCTCTCGAATTAATGATGAGATCTTATAACAACGTTTCTCATTGATCTCAGTGATGGAAATCTCCAACGGATGCTGTATCCGTGAGTACTACGGCTACAGCATCCGTGCAACAGCTAAGAGTTACCAACTGAAAATCCACATGACTCAAACAGAACAGGAAAGTTATTCCAGGGCAATCTTGGAACAGTTAAACAGGCAAGCAGAGGCAAACGATCTCCTGTCACGCGGGATGGTCTATCTATCTTCATTCTGCATGTCATTTGTCAACTTCTGCATGCATGCAATTGTGATGAATGTTTCATTCCGCTACGTCAGAACATAATCGACCTTGGCCGCCTCCGATCCTCGCTTCACCTCCCAACGCCTCTCGATATCCGCCAGAGAGTCGCTGAATATCCGAAGACCGCTCCGCCGCGCCCAGTCCTTGAACCACTGACTAAACGACATCCGTACCTCCGGATCCTCGGCCTCGCTCGCCGCTATGAACGCAGGCCACACCAGCCTGGCCGAGCCGTACCCCATCTCCGACTCCGTCGCCTCGAAACGCAGCAGACAGTCCCGGACCCCGACCACCTTGTCCTGCAGCATCTCCGCCTCCACGTCGTATATCCTCCGATAGAAATAAATGGCCAGCGCGAGCTGCATCGCCTGCGCGAGGTTGTCCAGCAGCTGCTGGCAGTGCCGCAGCTCCGGGTCCGTGATCGGCGCGTCCGCCACGACGTACCCCGGCTTCCGCTTGAGTTGGTGAATGCACCTCTCCACGGCCTTGGCCCGGCTCATGAACTCCTTGAGCCCGGCTCCGCCGGAATACGTCCCCTCGTCTTTGGCTCGTCCGAGACGGATGACCACGGAGAGCATGAAGACGTGGATCTCTGGGATGCCGAATATCTCCGGGTACAGAGTGGCAGCCCAGATACCGGGTATCTGTAGGTGCAAATCGTTCTCGCCTTCTTGCTGATCCTTGACCTTCTTCATGTCCTGATCCAGGTTCTCCCAGTCTGCCAGTCGGAAAGACAGGCTGTCCAGGCTGTAAGAAATGGCGTTGCTAGCTTCGATGGCCTTGCGCACGTGTTTGCGATGCTCAGACTGGACGCTCCCCGAGTATGTGCTTTCGTGCAAGAGGCGCTCGAAAACATAGCAGTGGTGGAGAAGACGGACCTTGCGCGACTTCTTGCGGTTGAGTCCCTTGACGCGAACGAATTTCTCGGCCTCCAGCAGGTAGCACTCCGCCTGATCTCGGTTCCCCGACACGCTCGAGATCTGGACCATGGTCAGGATCGCAATAAGGATAGACTTGTACTTTGCCGTCTTTGGCACGTCGTAAGCCGTTTGGAGCATGAGACGAACGTGATGTCGAGCTCGCTGCTTGTAGCTCTTGGCTTGTTCGGACCACTTGCGAGAGCCGGTGATGCCGCCGAGGCTGGATGCGCTGATGGCGAGCGTGCCGAAGAATGCGGTCAAGCTGGCGTGGTCCATTTCCTCGCCGAGGGTGAGAGCGGCCAGGCAGCTTTTGACGTACGGGATGAAAAGAACATGCCAGGGGGTTTTGCTATGACGGAACGGAGTGAAGCCACGGAGGACGGTTGTAGAGTAGTGTTTGAGAAGAAAGACGGCATCATGAGGGACTGCGCAGTCTATGGTAGGTGGGATAGAGTTGCTTTCGGGTGTTGCTAATTGCTGGGGCTGCGTCTCCGGGAAGATGTTGCTGAGACCAGTCTCCTGTGATGCCATCAATGACCTAGGAGACTGCTGAAGCCCCGGGAAAGGAATCTCATCGGAGACGTCTCGCACGCGATCCAAGTCGATCGGTGTATCCCACCAGTTACCTATACTTGGAAGGTCGCCCACGTTCCACCACTCGTTCATATTCCAGAAGTCGTTCATAGGACTTAACGGTCGTAGATCTACACGATCTAAGCTCGGCCCTGCCATCGATGATGGCGTTCTTCTTAAAGGCGGAGCCTCAGGCGGGGCCAGAAACTCTTCGTCAATGTTCTCGGCGTCGTTTTCAAAGACACCTTGGTCCCCCTGCACAGCTTCCACAACCTCTGCAAAGTCCGACTCGGGACTCGGGTCGGATAACTCCTCAGGAATCGTCTTTGAGCACTGAGGAATTCTGAATACTCCAAATGGGCCTCGGCTAATCTCTATGCTTTGAGATATCGGCAGTCTTTCGCATTCGTCCTCAATCTGCGCAATGTGCCAAAGAGTCAGAGCCGGCGGGATGCTCGAGATGAGCTTCTCGCTCATAGACGCACGCTCTTCTTCCGTGAGCAAGGGGCGCCGGAACCGCGCCATGCCTGAGCTGGGAATATCTTCAAAGTCAAAGAAGATGTTTTTCTCGTAACCACTACACGTAAGGCCAGAGGCCTCGCACATGGAACATGTTGGCCTCCCCTCGTCACATTTCATACGACGGTTCCGACACTGCAACTGGTTTAGTCGGTTGATCCCACGAGGCCCTCGTATCTTCGGGTGGGTTAGATAACGTGACGTACCGTACCGCATCCGCCGAAGGACCGACTCCGGCGGGCGTCCATATCGATAAGATGCGATGGAACGAGGTGCTCGTTTCTGGCCGAGCTTCTCCGAAACGAGCAATTTTTCCCTGGGTTCACTTGCTTTGCGGAGGCGTAAAGCGTGAACGAGGAAATCAGGGGGCACAACGCCGGCCCTGTGAAGGTAACATAGATATGGAAAGTTATATCAAGAAGCTGAACTTCAAATTGCCTCCGAACAAGGACATGTCATCGGAAGGGATAGTTGTTGGATGGTGAAGATAATGCGACACTAGCGCACCCGGAGCGGGGGAGATAAGAGCGGGGGTTGACACCGGCAGCCCCATAATTAATCTGGGGTACATGCCCGGGCGTTGATACTGGGGAAGCTTTCCTATCTTACACGATGCTGCGACGGTTGCGAGCAGGGTTGGCCACACTTATCTTGAGTCAAGGCAGCATCCAAGGCAACTCTGCAGAAAGTGACAAGACACTAAGAGACATGGAGGCGTGGTCACTTGACATATGGAAAGGGCGGAATGTATGTCTTTGAGTTGGGTTGAAGCTGACATGGTTCTGAATAGTTTAAAGGGGGAATGCCCTCGCTTGCCAATGCCGTTGTCATGTAGTCTTGAACAATAGGACTCTCCCCGTAACTTCTGCTTGTCATCTCTTCAAATGCGTCTTTGAGCTTTAGCCTCTTCAACATCCAAAATGGGTTCAGCAGATAACGACAACTCGCCCTTCTCGAAAGGGGCCGTCTCCTCAGACAACGACAATGCCAACGACGAAAAAGCCAACTATCAGGACATCGGTCGACTCGAAAGCCATACACTAGGAGAAACCGATGTTGTTGGTCAGAATGGAACGAAGAGAAATGTCAAGTCGCGACATGCCCAGATGATTGCCATCGGCGGCAGCATCGGGACTGGTCTCTTCGTCGGCTCTGGCCAGGTTCTCGCAGCTGGTGGACCAGCGTTTCTGTTTCTTGCCTACGCGCTGACGTCCATATTGGTGTATGGCGTCGTCACGGCAGTCATGGAAGTTGGGACGTATTTGCCTGTTTCCGGCAGTTCCATGTCGTATTACTGCAACCGGTACGCCTCGCGGTCTCTGGGCTTTGCACTTGGCTGGCTCTACTTTTACTCCTTCGGAGTCATCCTGGCATACGAAATCACGGTCGGATCTATCATCATCAACTACTGGCCAAACAACGTCCCTGTTGCCGTGTGGCTCACGGTTCTACTCGTTGTCATCGTGGGACTCAACTTATCCCCAGTTGGCGTATACGCGGAAACAGAATTCTGGTTCGCCAGCTTGAAAATCATTCTTTTCGTCGGCTTGCTGCTCATGTCGATTGTTCTTATTCTCGGCGGTGGCCCCAGCGGTGAACGACTGGGTTTCTACTATTGGGTAGACCCAGGAGCAACAAAGGAATACATCATCACCGGACCTGGAGGCAGATTTACCGCCTTCCTGTACGGATGGGTGTTTTCGGGCTTCTCATTCTACTTCAGCCCGGAGCTTATCATCATCACCGGTGGTGAGATGCGCAACCCCCGCAAGAACCTTCCGATCGCGAGTCGACGTTTCTTCTACCGCTTGATCATATTCTACCTCCTGGGTTCCCTAGCTATCGGGGCTATCTGCAACGCCAACTCCGAGGGGCTCACATCCGGTGCTGGTAACGCGGACGCATCCCCCTGGGTCATTGCCATTAGAAACGCGGGTATCAACGGTCTACCCTCCGTTGTGAATGCCGGCATTCTGACCAGTGCATGGTCCGCCGGAAATTCCTACTTATACATGGCCAGTCGATCCTTGTACTCCCTCGCGGTCGCCGGCAACGCCCCCAAGATCTTCGCGCGCTGCAACAGTTACGGACTGCCCATCTACGCAGTCCTTGCGGCGAGCTGCTTCACGGTCTTGGCATACCTCAGCGTTTCTTCAGATGCCGGTGTCGTTTTCAACTGGTTCGTCAGTCTGACCAACACCGCTGGCTACACTTCCTGGGTCTTCTGCGCCGTCATATTCCTCCGCTTCCGAAAGGCTTGCCAAGTACAGGGCGTGAAGGTTCCTTACCAGTCGTGGTGCCAGCCGTACGGCGCGTGGATATCGATGGTCTGCTTCACGTTCCTGCTTCTCGCCAACGGGTTTACCGTCTTCTACCCCGGTCGCTTCTCCGCGTCCAGCTTTCTCACGGCTTACATCGGCATTCCGCTCTTCTTGGTCATCTACCTGGGGCACAAGTTCACCGTGGGCAAGAACGACCCGTGGTTGTATGCTCCCGAAGACGTGGACCTGCACACGGATTTGAGAGAGGTTGAGGCCGAAGCTGAGTGGTGGACCAACCAGGAGGCAGCCAAGATGGAGAAACACGGCCCAGGGAATAAGGTATGGCGCTTTGTGTCGGCGATCTGGACTTGATCACGGAAAAGACTGTATAAATTATGGACTGAGCATTAATTTCGTTGGATGATACACAATCTGTCTAAACAACTTTGAGTTTGCCAAGTTTCGGTGAAGTCTGTGATGTAGTAAAACGGAACAGATATCTAATGCTCAATTCCGATGCCGTGAGAGGTTTCGCCCGGACGTCGCATATTCTCATTGATTGTGACGACAAGAACGGCCGAAAGCTGTCCCCTGGCACGTACATTCTGATGTCAAAAGACGCTGTTAGCCTATTGGTCAGTTCCAGCATGGTGGGAGCTATCGTTTGGAGACTGTTCAACGAACCATCTGTTCAATATCTGGTAAAATCGCTTAGTAGAAAAGATGCATAACTACAGTCACATCAGAGATACGCCACCGAACCTTAAGATAGCTCAAAGTTGGTATCTATCAATCAACAGTGTGATGTCAGGTTGGGATTCCGAAGAGGAAAGCATTCCCTCCGAACAAGGATGTTTTGGGGGCGATGCGGGGGAGGGGCCTGATCGGCGACTATTCTTATCTCCGCCTGCCAATTCCAGAGTTGGGAAGTTATCCCCCGGCTCCGAAACGCCTCTCGAGATAGGCCCCACGAGATCAGCTGTTCGTCCATCATGGATGCATCAGGACACTTGGACGGGAAAGTTGTGCAGAGACCTTCTCAGCAGCAGAGTGTCTCGCATGATTCCGGTGGCTACATCTCAGTTGTTGGAGATGTCGACGAATTGCTATTTAGACAAGTCCCAAACTTCGTAATTGAGCATCAACAAGTTCTTACTCGGTACATAAACTTGGTGTCTTGTTGAGCTCCTTCATATCATATCTCATCAGCAATATTTGAATTTCACCCCAAACATTAAGCCATGGGTTCCATTCCAACCCCTTCCAAGAAGACCTTCGATGTCCTCATCATTGGCTCTGGCCTCTCCGGCCTGGCCAGTCTCCACCACATTCGCAAACAGATGCCCGACTGCCGCGTCCAGGTCCTCGATAACGGCGCTGATGTCGGCGGAACATGGTTCTGGAACCGCTACCCCGGCTGCCGGTTCGACTGCGAGTCCGTGTCATACGGCTACTCTTTTGACAAGGAGCTGTTGCAAGAGTGGCACTGGAAGGAGGCATTCTCTCCCCAGGCAGAGACTCACAAGTACATTCGCCGCTTTGCCGAAAAGAACGACCTGTACTCCCACATCCAGTTCAACACCTCTGTCAAGTCCGCACGCTGGGACGACGACACGCGCACATGGACGTTTGTCGACCAGGACGGAAACCAATACGTTACCACATTTTTCCTGAGCTGCATCGGCTTTCTTTCCACGCCGTCGCTCCCAGCTATCCCCGGTATCGAGAACTTCAAGGGCACCTCTTTTCACACCTCGCGATGGCCCGAGGACCTTAACGTCAGCCGTGACTTTGCTGGCAAGCGGGTCGGAGTCATCGGAACCGGCGCGACGGGTATTCAGACCATCACAGCTCTGTCCAAGGAGCCAAGCATCAAGTCGCTGAGCGTATTCCAACGGACGGCCACCTGGACAGTGCCTCTTCGCAACTACGACATTTCAGCTCAAAAGATGGACGAGCTGAAGAATAGCTACGACGATATCTTCAAGATCTGTCGTTCTACGCCATCTGGATTTATGCACATGGCCGACCCCAGAAAGACTATGGAGGTCTCAGAGAAGGAGCGCCTCGCTCTCTGGGAGAAACTCTACAATGAGCCTGGCTTTGGCAAGTGGCAGGGCGTTTTCAGCGATGCTTACACCGACCGCCAAGCCAACGAGTTGTACTCCAAGTTTATTGCCGAGAAAATTCGACAGAGAGTGCATGACCCGGAGACCGCGGAGAGTATGATTCCCAAGACCCATGGCTTCGGAACTCGCCGCGTACCCCTGGAGAGCGGATATTTCGAGGCTTTCAACCAGGACAATGTGCACCTCGTCGACCTGAAGAAGGCGCCTATTACCGAGGTAACCTCGAAGGGATTTGTTACTGCAGATGGCAAGGAGCATGAGCTTGATATTCTCATCTATGCCACTGGATTTGACGCCATCACTGGCTCTTTCAGCGCCATCGAGTGGCAAGGCAAGGACGGCCGCCCCTTGATCGCGCCAAGCGGAACCCCCAAGGGTGAGAAGGCCGTCTGGGTTGACAACAGGCCCTACACCTACCTTGGAATGACGGTCCCGTCTATGCCCAATATGTTTATGGTTCTCGGCCCGCACCAGCCGTTCGGCAACGCCACGCGCAACATCGAGCATGCCGTGCAGGTTGTTGTGGATCTTCTGCAGCACTGCAGGCAGAATGGGTACACATATGTTGAAGCGACGCAAGAAGCTGCAGACGGGTGGACTGAGCATGTTTTCGAGTGCAGCAAGGGATCTCTGGTTAACGAAGTTGATAGTTGGATGACGGGCGTCAACACCAATATTAAGGGCAAGCAGGTACGCAGTGTAGTAAGATACGGTGGTTCGGCGCAGGAATACCAGAGGCGGTGCCGCGAGGTCAAGGAGACTGGCTACAAGGGGTTGGTACTAGCTTAGACGGTCTCAATAGAGTTATTTTACATTGCCTGATATCTACCTGTGCTGAAGTAGAGTTTATGTGAAATGATTGCCCTGTCTTAGCCTAGCACAGTTACATGGGAACCCAGTACTAATCAGGATAAATACTGGTTTAGTTTTAAAGGAGTAATTGCACACAGTTAGAAACCATTGGAACAATACCAATACACATCGCTGTCGCCGCGACATGAACGATATATGAAACTTGAAACAAGCAGAAGAATTTCTCATAAATGTCAAACTAAAACATCGTACAAGCAGGTAGCAGAAATGAGATACGAATGAGTCTTCCTCGAGCTAACACCCATGCCAAGAAGGGTACATGACATGTCTAAGACCTGCTTGACAAGACAGGGAGATACTCACACTGCAGACAGAAGCATGAGTGCTTTTCCGACTGGTTTTCCGCGCGAAAAGGTTAAAATGTCCGACTTCGGCCGTGGACATATGCAGTGGCCTTCTAGTGACACATCTCTCGCCACATCATGTACTCTTGAGTCTTATTTTGATAAGACGTTTCTACATGCAGCATGCAAGCTGATTACTATCAAGCCTCTTGAACAATTGGTAAACACCCCGCAAACATGTAAGAGATTACTCCACATCCGAGTGTCATCTGTGATCGGCTGATAAGCGTGTGTGACGCGTGCCCGCCGGAGCTGGATGCCCGAACCCCGCAAAAGACTCCGGGCGACGGGATAGTGTGGGGCAAAAGACAATCGGATTCAATCAGGAAAGTCCTTCCTCGGCCGTGCCACGCGACCGTGGAAGGCCACTCCAGGTGGCTGTTCTAAATGGAGAAAGGAATCGAGTTCAGCATCACGATGAATGAGTACTTAATTGATAGTTTGTTTAGCTAGACATAAGGTGGTAGACACCATCAGCCGCACTCATCTTGGCTTTATACGTCTCATAAGTCATCGAACTCTTCAAGCTACGCCTTTATTTCTTCAACTTTTGAAAGTTATTCATCACAATGGATGTTCCCGGCTTTGCGCTGATTACTGGAGCCGCATCTGGTATCGGCAGAGCTTGTGCCAACGCCTTCGCTCAAGAAGGCTCCGCCGGAATCGCCCTCTTAGATCTCAACGCAGAGGCTCTGGCCACCGTCAAAGCCGAAATCGAAGCGAAAGTAGCAAGCAGAAAACAACAAAATGGAAACCAAAGTGCCAGTCAACAAATACAACTGCTGACGTATCCCATCAACATTGCCGACGAAGCTGAAGTTGATCGCGTCGTCAACGACGCCGCCACCAAGTTCGGAAGACTGGACTACGTCGTTAACGCCGCCGGCATCGCCATGAAGCACGAGGGCGGAGCCGCTTTTGCAAAGACGGACGACTGGCAAAGAATTCTGGATGTCAATATCAACGGAACCTTCTATGTTCTCAGAGCATCGGCGCAAATCATGTTGAAGCAGGAACCCATCCTCTCTACTATCGACGGCCGACCCCTGCAAAGGGGCTCCATCGTCAACTTTGGCTCTATTCAGGGTGTCGTCGGCATCACTTTGTCTACGGCGTACACGACAACGAAGCACGCGGTTATCGGGCTGACTCGCACGGCGTCTGAGGACTATGCCAAGGACGGCCTGCGTGTCAACGCCATATGCCCCGGTTATACGGAAACTCCCATGACGACGAAGAACCCTCAGGTTCTGAAGGCGATGGAGGAGAGGGTTGCGAGCGCGGTGCCGATGCAGAGGATGGGTAACGCCAAGGAGATTGCGGACGGCGTTCTGTATCTAGCAGGAGGTCGGAGCTCGTTTGTTACTGGCTCCGCTCTAATGGTTGACGGAGGATATACCTCAAGGTAGTCTGAGTTAGTCTTTACATGACATGAACATGTCACTCAATATTCTAACTCTTCTTACCGAGCTCGAATCATCCGCTCTGGATCGCCGAGGTTTCTATCCCCATTCCGCTTCGTGGCTTTCCACTGGCTCCTCGACAGTAGATTACATGTAGTCAAGCAGTCGACGATTCGGCGTTCAACTTCGCGATCTTAGCCGACCATGATACGAATCGTCCATAGGTGGTGAGATTCATGACTAAATAGTAGGTCCCGACTCAAAACCCCACGTGTCCGGTCTTTCGTTATCGCTTCGGGCAACTTTGCCTACCGCTGAAGGCATTTTTCTTGTACTAAGGTGTGCTTTAAGCAATCTCACAACACCCTAAACATGGGGGTCTCTAAGCGCAAAGTATAAGACAAGCTAAGACCTATGCTCGCTTATAACGAGCAACACCGACAAAGTCAATCGTTAATCTCTTGTCATATTCGTCAGCTATACATTAGCATTGAACTCAGTCTAAATGAGGTAAATGATACTTGACGTTGTTGTACTACACTATATCCCCAAACTATAAGTTACACAGCACATAAGATCTAGTATTATCGGAACCTTAAGCTATAAGATGAACGGCGTTGTCCCTCGAGCCGAGGTATCGATGGCACGACATAAAGTTCCACGCAAAACCATGAAAGACGTACTGAAGGATGTAGCTCCGCGCACTCTAGTAACTCCCGACAATCATGGGCAGAGTTGCCATCGCAGGTGGTTCTGGTGGCCTCGGAAGGGTCATTACGAAAGCCATTGTCAGTACTGACAGACATGGTGTCCTCGTTCTGTCTCGTAAAGTTAGTGCAGATTGTTTACAAACTTCGTCATACTTGGAACTTCTAAGGTAATAACATATCAGCCCAAGAACGTGTTTCGGGATCTACCAGACATCGCCTCTGTTGAGATTGACTATAGCAACGCGTCTGAGATTACTGAGTTGCTGAGAGGTCGTAATATCGAGGTGGTGATATCCACTATCGGCATAGTTTCTGAAGACTCGCACCACTCGCAGTTGGCACTGATCGATGGAGCATCTCAATCACGAACAGTTCATCGCTTCGCGCCTAGCGGGTTCTTTTCTGGATTACGTTGAAAGTAAGCGACTATGCGTACATTTCGATCCAACGGGGCTTGAATACGAATTTTGAAGTCTAACCACCGTTTTAGGGGCTATCCATTCCCAGTGCCTGGATATGCTTACAAAGTATCTCAGTACAAGACCGAGGCGTTGAACAGACTAAAACCTACTGGAATGGAGTACACTAGATTCGTTACGGGATTCTTGATGGATTCCTACGGATACCCTGCGTCACCTTCTCTTTCCGTTCGACTGGCGGTCGTGCTAGATATTAAACACTGTGAGGCGGCCATACCGACAGACGGAAACACTCACGTCACTCTGACGCACTCGGAAGCCATTGGACAATTCGTTGCGAAAAGCATCGACATGCCGTGTTGGCCAAAAAGATTGTGGATCGTTGGGGACACTTTGACTTGGAACCAAGCCCTTTCAATTGCTGAGAACATTCGTGGTGAGTACAGCGTCTTTCATGGATTCCGGCAGTGAGCTGATGATTAAGTCAGGAAAGGATTTCAAAATCGAGAACCAGTCCCTATACGACCTGAAAAAGGGATTCATCACTGAACTTTCAGGTAATAAGAGTAGATATTCATGGATCCCGAGAGAAACTCCGGATGCTTTGCTCTGCGTTTGGAACATAGGCTTCATCCAGGGCTTCTTCGACTTGGAGGCTCAGAAAGGCAGAGAGAGGGCAATGAACGAGATGTTTCCCGAGGTCCCGGTACTCAGTTTCGGCGAGTTCCTCAGAAGATGCTGGTTGTAGACTAGAATTAAATCTCAGCCGTTTAATAAAGCGCACCTGCAGTCATTCAATCCAACTTTCTTCTCATGATTGATGCCTTACCTGTGCAATCCATAGTTGATGCAGCGGGGCACAACTAGCAAGTCAGATCATGTTACAAGGAGTCAGAACGGGCGCTTCATCACAACCAATGGGAAATTGAAGAAACTTTCTGCTGAATAAGGTATTTGAATTGAGGCCTATTTCTCGGGCCCAAAACTCAAAGAGCATCTGTCCGCCCATCCTTTTCCGCTCCGGCGGGGGTGGAGTCTCGTCGGACATCATGGACCCCCAAATTGACCCCATTTCCCCTCACAAGTCGCTCGGCACCTGCGGGGCACTGCCGACTCCGGCGGTGGATACGGGCGGCTTTCACGGTTCCCGAGTGGTCAATTCTGGATGCGGCGTGTCATCTGTCCTTCGCCATAGTATTGTCGCGGCCAACGATGTCGATTCATCCTTCCAGTCAACAGGAGCAACTCCGCACACGGCACAGGCCATTCGTATTCCTTCGTGAAGGGCGTGTTTCTTAGCATCGTACAAGAAAGCCACGTCAGGCGGACGATTCGTCAGGTTTCAATCACCTGTTTAACCACGGTTTCTCTTCACCAAGACGTGCTCTGACGATCTTCCATTTCTTCATGACCCACGAGAACCGACTTCGATCCCCACACTATCAACAACATGCCTCTTCTTGAGCAAGACGGGAAGCTCGTCTACACCTACGACGCTGAGAGAGTCTGGGTTGAGCCATGGGGCCCCGATGCATTCCGAGTCCGGGCTACCAAGGCCCGTGAGATGCCCTCCGAGGATTGGGCTTTGTTGGCACCCAAGAAGGCCGATGCCAAGATCTCCATCGGTGACAAAGAGGGCACCATCACCAATGGCAAGATCAAGGCCTCCATCACCAGCGGTGGAAAGCTATTGATGTGGAACTCCAAGGGAGAGCTCCTCCTTGAGGAGTATTCGCGCCACCGCCGAGATGTCCTTGACCCAAAATGCAGTGCATTGGACGTCGAAGCTCGCGAGTTCATGGCCATCGTCAACAGTAACGACTATCATCTCACTGCCAGGTTCGAGAGCGTCGACCCCGAGGAAAAGTTCTATGGAATGGGCCAGTATCAGCAACCATTCTTGGATCTTAAAGGCCACGATCTGGAACTTGCTCACCGCAACTCTCAAGCCAGCGTCCCTTTTGCTGTGTCATCACTTGGGTACGGATTCCTCTGGAACAACCCGTCTGTTGGAAGAGCTATCCTTGGCCGCAACATCATGAGTTTCGAGGCCAAATCCACGCGTGCCTTGGATTACTGGATTGTGGCTGGCGACTCTCCTGCTGAGATTGTAGAGGCGTACGCAGACGCGACCGGCAAGGTGCCCATGATGCCTGAATACGGCCTCGGATTTTGGCAATGCAAGCTGCGCTATCAAACCCAAGAAGAACTTCTCGAAGTCGCTCGCGAGTATCGCCGACGCGAGTTACCCATCGACCTCATCGTCATCGACTACTTCCACTGGCCAAAGCAGGGAGAGTGGAAGTTCGACCCGACCTACTGGCCTGATCCCGAAGCGATGATCAAGGAACTCCAGGAGCTGAAGATTGAACTGATGATCTCGATTTGGCCCACGGTCGATCACAAGTCAGAAAACTGGGATGAAATGGTTGAGAAGGGATACCTTATCCAGTCCGATAGGGGAATCCGGATTGCCATGAACTTCCAGGGAGACACCACGCACTTTGACGCGACCAACCCCGGCGCAAGAGAATACGTCTGGAAGAAGGCGAAGCAGAATTACTATGACAAGGGCATCCGTGTCTTCTGGCTCGATGAGGCCGAGCCAGAGTATACCGTCTACGACTTTGACACCTATCGCTACCATGCAGGATCGAATGTTTCCGTGGGCAACATTTACCCGGTCGAGTACGCCCGTGCATTCTACGAAGGCATGGAAGCTGAGGGCCAGAAGAACATTGTCAACCTCATTCGCTGCGCTTGGGCCGGAAGCCAGAAGTACGGCGCCCTTGTTTGGAGCGGTGACATTGCATCCTCCTGGAGCAGTCTGCGGAACCAGATTGCCGCCGGCCTTCACATGGGTCTCTCCGGTCTGCCCTGGTGGACCACAGATATCGGAGGCTTCCACGGAGGTGATCCCCGAGACGAGAAGTTCCGGGAGCTCTTTGTTCGCTGGTTCCAATGGGGCGCATTTTGTCCCGTCTTCAGACTTCACGGCTGCCGCGAGCCAGAGCAGCCCCAGCATGGGACCACCGGTGGTGCGGAGTGCCACAGCGGTGCGCCTAATGAGGTGTGGTCTTACGGCCCCGAGGTCTATGAGATTTGCAAGAAGTACATGTTCCTACGCGAGGAGCTGAGAGACTACACCCGATCTCTGATGCAGGAGGCGCACGAGAAGGGCTCGCCCGTCATGCGCACACTCTTCTACGAGTTCCCTGACGACAAGGAGACTTGGAGCATCGGACAGCAGTACATGTTCGGAAGCAAGTATCTGGTCTGCCCTGTCCTGCATCCTGATGAGAGAAGGATCAAGGTCTACCTCCCTAAGACCAACAGCACGTGGGTTTCTCTCCAGGAAGGCAAAGAAGACAAGTATGAAGGCGGCCAGTGGATTCAGGTCGAAACACCTCTGGAATGGATGCCTGTCTTCAAGAGAGAGTGAAAGACACAAAATCTTTCAGTAGTATCAATGATACTTCTTGGTATGCATAAGAGACCTCAGCATCGTTATCGTATTGGGCACTCTGTAACTGTCCAACCTCGCTGCTGACAGGTTATCAAATTCATCCATTCTGCAACTATATGTCTCTCAATTTCGGCTGCAATAACACCATAATTCTCTCAATCTTTACAAAAGACGCTCAGGCAACTTAAACTAGACATCGTGTCTTCAGAAGGTAGTTACGCGCCGGTCTCTCGGATCTCGAACTGGGGCTGGAAGCGACTATTAGTCATCGGTAGACGACGTGATAGACTGACGAAACTTACTATTAGCGGTTTCTGGAGAGACATCATCTGGGTTGATTCCTCCACCGGGACTCGGGGGTCGCGGTGATGATACAGGAAGAAGTGGAATGCTGTTTTGTGGCGCGACACCAAAGTTGGGAGTCTTCCTTCGCCGAAAACGTTCCAAGATATTGTGTGGCTGAGAGAGCCACGTTTTCCCTGTTGTCCAATTAGTGAATATGGTTGTGCCAGAAATAATGGTGGAAACTTGCCATTACCCAAAAAGTCTTCTTTGATAACAGTGTAGAGAAGACTGGCTAGGACCGGAGCCCAAATGAACAACGAAAGTACCTGACCATAACCAACAGCCGCTTCAGAATAGTAAGAACCCATGGCAACTGACTGGAAGCGACGCCAGAGTGTTATGCAACCGAGGCCCATGAACATGTTCATCCAAGCCACGAAAGAAAACGCGCATCTTAGCCAGAAAACCAGACGTGCCTTGTTCTTCACGATCCAACTTGGCCAAAAGTGGAAGGTTCTCGCTCGGAGAGCTAGCGTCAACACAAAGAAGACCAGAATACCGACGAAGTATATGACCTCTTGAAAATAGAATGAAAATGACACATAACTTGTGATGAAACCTTCGATATCTCCGTCATAGTAGAAGAAGCCCCAAATGAGACATGAAGCGACCGTGAACGAAGCACCCGGATCTGGCTGGCTTATCTGCTGCAATCCAGGATACCCTAATGCTCCGGTAGAGAACTGAAGTTTCGGAACAGCGAGTAGTTGCATGGCAGCTAGCTGGGACTCCCAGAAGTTGTCTTCTGATAGCCCAGGCATTGTGAAGTGCAGGTCATACTGGCTTGCAATGTTCATGGCAATTGTTGATAGCAGTGTCGAGCAAAGCAAACAGACCCAGAAGGCGGGATGTCGGTGGGATCCATAACGCGGTAAAGAGGCCACGGCAATGACAGCGCTTGCAGAGAAGTGGCAAGCAAGATGTGTGATAACACCGTTGTACAATACAGTTTCGTGTGAACCAACAGTTACGAGAGCAGCTGCAAGCGACAGGAGAAGTACAACGCCGGTGTTGAGAAAAATGTCCATAATTCTGGTGAAGTCTTCCGACGTGGCTACGCTTGCTGGCGAATTACTGAATAATACTTGTCGGTGCTTCCAGTTGTGCCAGCATGAGTGGAGGATGAAGAAGGTGGCTAGACAGGCCTCGATAATGTACGATATGAACATCTAAAACGTTGAGGTCAATATTTGTCAGTGAGAGAGGTCGTGTGCCGTACCCCTATGCCAGCAATATCTGGATTTCCAGAATTCTCCAACGATGAGCATAATGTCTGATAGCACTCCTGTTTCCGGGCGCCGATCTCGCTTGGTCCGAGTAGGTTTTGATGTCCCATCCAGCCAAAGAATGTCTGAATTGAGACGTTCTTGTACTCCTCGGGTAAAGAAATGAAGGCCTGTTGCATATCGTTGATCATATCGGAGGCCTCCATGTGCAATCCGGGCGGCCACCAGCGAACTAGATCAGCCTCGCAGTCCCCGCCAGGTGCCCGGGAAACGGCCTTTGCCATCTCTTCAGATATGCAATGCAACTCGATGGCTGGTCTTGTAATATTTAAAACGGCATCTCCAATGGGGTTCGTCAGATTCGCCAGCTGTGGATATATGAGGAAGCTGGCTACGTCGCGGTCTACTGTCTCATTTGTAATGTTGGACATGAATGACGTAAAATCTTCCACCCAAGATGACGCTGCCACTTCCATGAAGTCGAGGTCCTCCAGGTTGAAATCATCCGCATCAGCTCCAAGGCTTGCAACACTGCTTGACTCCAGGTTATGGCTGTGGTACCAAGCAGCAGCCACCGTGCAGTTGTCAGATATATTTCCAGCGTTGATTAGGCAGAAAGCCATGGCGAAGTCGTGAGGCATTGCTGTCTCGTTGAGTAAGTCTATAGCTGTATAGTTCCATTCTTGAGGTCCGTTCTTGGTGTGTTCGGGAAACCAAACTTCGGCGTAGTAAGGATATAGAGAGCTTGCATTGCTGTCCACTGGCAATGAGAAACTTCGAACACGATGAGGCAAGAATAGTAACAGAAGGTATAGAAGAATAGTGAATGGAAGTTCAGTTCTTCCTGTGAAGCAGTGTCGTTTCATCGTGTTTGTTTATGATAATCGCCGTTCGGATGTTGTCGCTTAAGTTTCTGTTCGGGTTGGCATATTGTCAAGGTGTTGCGAATTGTGCAGAGTCGATGGGAAGATAAATCAGATAGCCATAGTCTTTCATGGGCTCTGCGGTTTATGACGCGGCTAAACTTGCAGCATGCGATCAGGCTGGGTCCTAATAGCATCCAGTCAATGACAAATTCTCATACGTACAGCCCCATCCTTCCAGAAAACGAGGCAGACTTTTGAAAGGTTATTTTCTAAAATAGGAATGGTTGCATGCGGGCTTCTTTGAAAAAAGCGGCACGTAGATCAGGCTGCAGCATAGCGTAACATCACCTCTGCAATGGTAGAGTCTATACATCGCGTGATGACAGGGACTGATGCCACGGAACTGAGTGCGTCTGACAGAATTTCAGCAATCATGCAGTCTTGGAGGCTGAAAATCAATCGATCACGCCTACACACGTCAGTCAGGCAGCTCTGACAAAAGTCCCGTCTCGGATTTATCTCGAACTTGAGTTATGCCGAGTACTGCTTGATTTGAGTTTTCGCCGTATGAGTCTACGGCGGAGTTATGCCGAGTACCTAGCATCTCTAGTGACCAATGACCTCTCTATTTTCGTGCAATCACCTCAGTTTTGAACATGCAACATCAATTTGATTTCTGCACTGATAAGGCACTGTTATCAGACATGACTCCAACGTTGAGGTGTCTCCCGAGAACGTACACCGGGTATTACTCTGCGGAACATAAAGCCATGGCCCTTGTAACAGGGCCGGGAGAACAAGAATATCTCTATTGTCACACGATTTTGATGGTATGCTTGATCATACTATTTTTACCACCTGGACCTTAAGGTCTTCGAACGTCTCGAAGCCAGGATGCGTCGAGTAAAACTCAATGAAACCAAGCCGCTCATATGCTCCCTGATTGTCCCGAGACCTTTGCAGCACGATTCCGCCCCAAATCGCATCTGATAAATGATACAAAAGAAAGCACGTCACCTCAACATGTCCTGCCTCCAGGTTCCCGTTATCTGCGGGCCAGACACACTTCTGCAGATACGGCGTGCCGTCATGCTCCCGCCCCAAGATCAACTGGGTGTCAGGCCAGAACACGACGGTCTCATGGATCAGTACGCAATTGTCGCACCTCTGCTGGATTGGAAGATGGCCGTCGTAAAATACGTCGTACAATGGGATCGCCAGATCTGGCTGCAAAGGGGGCGGGTTGGTAATGAAGCTGCAATGCGGATGGCTAGCAATTGACGATCCGCGTAAGATGAGCTTTCCCGGTAGACCGACAAAGACACTCATCATGCGTCCGCGAAGCGTAAGACTGCAGCTTGAGCTCATGATGTACGAAGGCTGGCTGCAAACCTTTGGATAGTAAAGCTCAACAACGTCAGCTTCGAAACGGAAGTCGTTTTCCCTTGGCAAGGACCTATAGTCGATAGGACCTTCGACGGATGCCCAGCTCCATGACGGTGCTTGTCTCTCGGATTCGATCTTTGCCAGTGGAAAGAAGATGTTTTTCGTGCCGTCCCGGTCGAGACAGTGCCTGCCAAAACACCGCCACAACAATCCTGGAAGTAGTTGGCTCTCCCAGATTCCCGTTATACATCGATCTTCCGCTTGATCCAGGATTTGTGCTGCCATCGCCGAGATTGCCGGAAGTCTGTCTCTCTCAAAGCTCATAAACATCCTGGTGTATTCTTTGATAAGAAAGGTGTACCAGTACATGATCCGATCAAAGTGACCCGAAGATGCGTTCTGTGACGGGTTCAGAACTTTTCGCTCGTACTGCATCCGATCAGGACAGTTATAGTATGACTCGTTTCGACCACATTCGCACCAATGGCTGGTACGACATTCGAATGTCACCTCCGCATGTCGAAAAGTAAGAACTCGGCGTGGGACGAGACGCTCCTGAAAACACCACCCTCGCATCCAAATTGGTTCTTGACCATTATTGCAGACATGGTCGATCTGATGTCGATACATAATTCCCTGTCCCGCGTCGTGTGAGAGATACTGTTCGGGCCGTTTCTTCAAGAAACCTTTCTCATCGCCCCACGCTACGGCGGCTGCGATTGTGAAATACGAATCCTGATAGATTCGCGCCATTTGTGCCGATTCCGTTTGCCAGTCCTTGCCGTCGCCTTGCAAGATGCACAGAGAGTCGACCCAAAGATATTGAACTCCCAACTTTCGAGTGACCGTTACTGCATCTCGGAAGGTCTCAGGAAGCTCCTGCCATGGGATATGTTGCTTTCGAACCTCTATGTTGTCTGTGGTCGTGATGCAACCCCGTTCAGTGCCCCATCGATGGCTGAGTGCAACGTACTGCCCATGCGTGTCTTCGGTTTCTAGCAATCTGATCTCTTCGTCCGTGTGTCCAAGATCGAGAACTCTACGAGGGAGTACCGGCGCCTCAATTGGCTGACAAAGTGTGCCTTGATGGTTGTCGTTGCAAAACTTGATCCAGCTGGAGATGCGATCGATAGATTGTTCTGATCCCGGAGATTCCGATATAGGGGAGAGGGAACCGATCTTCAGGTTCTCGGGAGCCCCAGCGACGGCAAATAGCTCAAGAGAGGCAATGCGAACTGGATAATTGCCCCCAGCTGAGACCCGGTAACCTGTGCCGTCCGTAATTGTGGACGGGAGCTGTGAAGTTTCAGTCACGGCTTGCATCAGCGTCTTGCTTGCTTGACATCCCGCTAAGGCGCTTTCTTGGAGTTCGTTGGCTAAAACGCCAATGGTTTCTAAGTTGCCATTGTTGACATGTTTGCAGACTTTGCAACTCTCTCGGTCATGGCGAGAAATCATACCGACCATTGTTCGCATTAATTGCCGCATTTGATGAGGGTTTTGTATTGTTTGAGTTCTGCAGGAGGTGAGGATAAGTAAATGAAAGATTGCGGTTCACCGGACGTACAAATCTTGAGCGCTCAGGTCGGATCTATAGCCGAGCTGAGACTTTGTTGAGTCCTGGACAGCCGACATGCATCAATAGTCTTACCCCAAAACAATACGAGAGACCAATGTAATTGGCCATATAACAACAGCTTCACCTTCAATCAACGGCGACTAACCCGATGCAACTTCAGCCCCGAGAAAGCTCTAGCAGGCGGCGCAAACGCATATGTTTGATTGGTCCGATTAAAAGCCACCTGCGGCGTTTTATCCAGATTATATGATGCAGAAGAACGCTAACTGGAGGGCAGTGCGGACTTCGAGTTCATTTGACACTTCGATAGCGATCATTTGAGTTTCCATGATTCCTTGATGAGGTCGGCAGCCTTTTCTCCAATGCCGTAAGCCGGCATTTGAGTGTGTCCTCCATTCAGAGTCGGCATGATGCTGCAATCAGCAACACGCAAACCCTTGATGCCCTTGACGGTAAGAGTCGAGTCCACTACAGCCTTGGGATCGTCCGCCTTACCCATCGCACATGTACCAGCAGCGTGGTAGCCTATTTTTGGTCAGCAATCACATATAGCCAGACTCTGTTTAGACACACACGGGGACTTACAAGTCGTCGCGTTATCCTTGACGTAGGGAACCCACTCCTCGCGAGTCTTGTATTTGTGATGCACAAGATCGCTGGGCCAGGAACCCTTCACAATGTCCTTCGTACCCTTTCCTTCCATGATGATCTCGTTGCCGAACCGGCATGCCTCGGCAAGGACCTCGACATCGAGAGGGTCGGCGAGGTAGTTGGTGTCAACGACAGGAACCGCCTTCGCATCAGTGCTGCGGAGCGTAACTGTTCCCCTGGACTTCGGGGCGAACAGCTCTGCAATCATGCTAAAAGCGTGTTTTCCGTCAGTAGGGAATTGGTCGTACTGCTTTGGGCCGCCATAGCACTCCGTGGTGAAGAACTCGATGTTGGGCTGTTTCGGCGTCAGGCCCATTGGATCCCTTCCTTCGTTGCGAGGCGCGTTCTTCCACAGATCAGAGTCAGCAAGACGCTCATCAAGTCTAGCGTAGGCGAATGCGCCGAAGGGAAAGGTTGACAAGAAGCCGGCCTTGTGATCCTTCCAGAGCGCATATGTCTTTGCGAAGTTGTCGCCGTGGTAAACATGGTGATCGTTGGTGATACCTTCCTTTTCGGTCTCGTAAAACATAAAGACAATCTGTTCATAGTTGTTAGTATGAGAATGCATACGCAACTCCTCTCATCGAGACTCACAAGATGGTCCATCAAGTTCTTGCCGACACCAGGCAAGTCGACCAAGGTCTGGATACCAAACTTCTCCAACTCCTCCTTGGCGCCCACGCCAGACCGATTGAGAATATTGGGACTGCAGTAGGCGCCACCACTGACAATGACTTCCTTGGTGGCCTTGATGTCGACGGAGGATCCATCCGCCTTTACACCGCGGATACCGGTGGCCCTCAGTTGACCATCGATGTTTTCAATGATGACCTTGTCGACGTGTGTCTCTGTCAAAACATGGAGGTTGCTCCTTGCGTTGCCGTTCGTGACAAAGTTGGCAGCGGTGGTACGAGTGCCCTTGAAGACTGTTCTAGGAGCATGGCCGCATCCGTGGGGGTTGTTGCCGTGACTGAACATATCGTGATCCAACGGAAGACCTTTATCGACCATGGAGTCCATGATCAGGTTGGAGATCGGCGCCAGGTCATGCGGCTCGATGTCAAGATGTCCATCGGTACCATGATCCCCAGAGGCCTTGAACCAATCTTTGCCATGGAAGTTTTCAGCCTATGCAAGGTCGTTATGCATTAGCTACACATGCAAGGAAGGTGAGAAGATACATTATGGGAGGCGACTTACCTTACGAATGTACTTGAAGAAGTCATCGCCACTCCATCCTTCGACACCCCAATCGTCGTAGTCCTGCTTCGCGCCACGAATACAGAGAGTTCCGTTGCAGCCGGAGCAGCCGCCCAGGAACTTGCCGCGACTGAGCTTCACTTGTCGATTGTTGACAGCCGCCTTTGGCTCACTGATGACGTTCCAGTCGGTCTCCTTATCGAAGAGTTGGGACCAGCTAAGATGGCGGGTTAGTGATCGGTGAAGTCGAGTCACAACTAGAGCCAGAGTCTCGATACTTACCCTCCTGTCATGTGTACATTCTCAAGGTCTTTGCTGTGTTCGCCTGCCTCAACCAAGAGAACGCTCACATTGGGGCTCTCGGCAAGCCTGCTTGCTACGACGCAACCGGAAGTGCCGCCGCTAGAAAAGGGGAATATGTTAGTCGTACTGAGTGCTATCAACAGAACATCGCGAATATGCCGCCCAGAACCTACCCGCAAATGACAAAGTCATAAACAATATCCTGAGGAATAGAACCCATGTTGGACGCGGAAAGACAGGTTGTGAGAATAGGTAAAAAACTTTGGACGATGGGAGCAAAAGTAGATATTACGTGGTATTCGACGGCTTGGATTGTCGTTCTTGTATGCAACCCCAACTCGTTGTCTTAAACCTGCGTCCGAGTTTCGCAGTCATCTTACGCACTCAGCAACCCGCCGGCCCCTCTGCAAGCTGCAGAAGCTCGATAAGACCCCCTCACGTCGGACATCCTTTTCCCCTCGTACGACTCAGAAATGCAGCGCCGCTGCCAAGTACTGCGTGGCCTCTGCAAGAGGAAAGTCGGCCGCTCAACTCCTGAATAGTTTCTGTGGTTGTACTTGCAGCACGCAGGGTCCTGCTGAGCCATCTCCACCACGACAGGGCCGACATCCGGGGTCCCCGCACATGCAAAACGACATCAACGCTGTTGGTGCCGGGGTTGTGTGCGTTTTGCGGTGACCGTCCAACCATCATTCGTGTGGTATCCCACTTACATAAGTCCTAGAACAACCGGAAACGACTCCGAGAGGCGATCCCTTCAAGGAAATGGATGCTCTAAGCCATTTCGGAACAGGCCAAGACTCTTGTTCAGCGCCAACATCGCTCCGATGAAGAATTTGGTCGGCTCCCATACCGGGCGTCGCTAGGCACCTGGCATGGCGAACTGCGGAATGAAGATCACCATGACTGAGACATTCAGAACCAATGAACAAGCAGGTCACATGGGATCTTAGCATGCAACTCCCAGGGCATGTATTATCTCTCAATCACAGCGTAACCTAGCCCATGAAGGAAATCAAATCTTGATTCGTTCGATTACACGTTAGCGGCCTTTGGCAGTATGTGAGCGGCACAGAACTGTCAGACTCCTGCTTCTGGTAGGGATGCACAGAATTGGTTCTCGGAAGACCGTTGGGGTTGTATTCCGCAGTCGATTGTTTCGGCATTGCAGAACATGGTCATCTTTCGGAATTGGCATCGAACCATTCGGAACTTTTGATCCAACTCTGCTGTTCTAGAACATTTTTCAGGTACCATATCTAATAAACGCCACAAGGACTTGACAAGACGCAGTTGAACGTCGTGAATCGCAGCGCCTGGAATTAGTCGTGCATTTTGGGTTGTGGAGAAGTCTTCAGCCGTTGGAGCCAAATCATCAACCTCATGGTCTGGGGTCTTTTGTCCCCCCGTGGGAAACCCCCAATGAGCAAAGTTATGAAGTTCGGAATATGGGGCCGGGCGGGAGTGGCGCCCACTTCGCTTCTAATTTGGACGCCGCTTTCCCTCTGCCCGAGTTTCTTGTGGACCACATCCATGTCTTCCTGGCAGACCTGGTAAGGGGCTGGAAATCCAGGGGATTGCTACTTCAGGAATAACGCAACTGTATCCGGATTGATATTCAGCTTTGATATCGACAGCTAGCCTGCCGGGCGCCTGAAAGTGCAACATGGATGTCATGGATCCATTTCGCTGAGATTGTGAAGAATCGCCATGCATGGTTGTGACTTTGCGGCTGGAGTACGCAATACGTTCCCTGCGTGGCCTATTGTATGGAGAATCGATCCCTGCTGTTAGCTCGGTCCCTCTTCTTGGGGCAGTCTTGGCGAAGATATTGATTTGCTTCTGCTGGGCCTGAGAAATTTTCGTGTGGTTCTGCGGATCAATTGCTCTCGGATGTTACCTTGTGTTGGGCGCAAGGGGACGGGAACCCAACAGTAGGTTACATGGGATGACACTGGATAACTGATAACAAATCTTGGCTAACAGTCGGTTGTTGTTTCTAATTCGTGCCATTTCAAATGATGAGAAGCAGCCCACCTTTGGGCCCATGAGCCTCAGGTTCGTCATGGGTAGTTGGCGCTCGTCTTCTGACTTACCCATGGGGCTTCTGTATAAACAAGCATCTTCAATGAGTGTTCTCTGATCATCGAGGTGCCTGAGTTGAGAAGGTTATGAGACCTATCAGAGATCATTGCTACTTCTAGAGATATAACAAGCATAACCAACTATGAACTCACGCTTTGAAATGTGGAAATTGCCAATTCTTTACGCGATCCGAAGTCAACCCCTAAGCGTGTTCACCGAGGCTTGAAGGGTGTTTGCGGGCCGATTCGCTTTGCCAAGATCTGTATCGATGCCTGGGTGTTGATGACTGAGACCCGTGGGAACCATCTTCCTCCGTTGATCGCCCCCGATTCAGCTCAAACTGGCAATGACAAATGGGAACCCAACGAAGCTCTTGGTTCAGGGGCTTTTCTTCTCAGTAAGAATGACTGGACTGTGCGAGCTTCGTGTCGTTTCGGGGATTACGCCCCTGCGTATCACAGACAAGGGAGGGAATATTCAAGCCTCGCCGAGATGTAGGGGACATGATGTACGTAAACACATGGGCTCAATCGACGCGCAATGCGGCTTTTAATTCGGGACGTCCCGGAGTCCCCCACTGACTTGCTTCTGGATGTGTTGACTGTTGATTGCTCGACCGCAACTGAAATCGCTTTGCCAGGCAGGCCTTGTCGCTCCTTTGTTCCTTCTCTATTTTCGCAATGGCAACACCCTTCCAGACTGAGGCCTGGACGGAGTATGGCCTTGGTGTGGTCGTTATTCTTCTTCGAATATTTGCGCGTTGGAGAATTGTCGGTTTCAACTGGCAAGGCGATGATTATTTCGCCGTACTCTGTTTAATTTTCTGGACGGTAAGTGTTCTCACATAGAGAAAGCTCTTCCTTCACTGGGCGTTTATTGACACTTGATCTCGACTTTTAGCTCGAGTTATGCATGCTGGAACTGATTGGTAAGTTTTCGGCTTCAGTCAATCTTGCTCTTACTATGAATCTACTCCATGTTCACGTCAACCTCTAACACATTATGCTTGCAGGTCAAAATGGAACCAACATCGGAATCACGGACGACATCGGCGCTACCCTTACACCTCAAGAAATTGCAAAATTCGAATTTGGCTCCAAATGCCTGCTGGCAGGATGGAACTTCTACGTCACTCTCATTTGGTGTCTTAAGGCGTGCATTTTGTTCTTCTTCAGCCGCATCACGTACGTCTACCAGTCGCGATACCTTTCAATAAGCAATTGGGGTGGTTCCTGACAGTGTCTCAGATTAGCCACGAGGCAACAAAAGATCGTCAAGTGGACAGCTATTGCCACGATTCTTGCCTACTGTGGTGTCATTATTGTCATCTGGGGGCACTGCACACCTGTCCAGAGAAACTGGCAAGTCGTGCCGTACCCTGGTGACGAATGCACCTTAGCGGTGCCAAACTACCTGAGTTTGGTGGTCCTCAACGTGACGTAAGTTGACTCTCTCACTGCCTGCTATTTCAATGTTAGCACTAACCATCAGGATAGAACTGACATGTGTATTGTGTCGATTCCGCTTCCGCTGTTGTGGACAGTGAAGCTCAGCATCAAGCGCAAGCTGGCCATTGGCGTCTTACTTTGCTCGGGTGTCTTCGTCATGATTGCCGCCCTCTTGCGGTGCGTGCTATCGCTGAAAGACATCGACGGCATCAACGTCAGTACTATCTGGGCTATCAGAGAAACGGTATGTGGGGATTCAACTTCACGACGGCTTTGTCGCATGGTCGAGAAAGGACGCTAACCTTGTCATGCCATGCAGTTCGTTGGAATTATAGCCGTAAACGCGGCCTGTATTCGACCGCTATTCTCCTCTTCGCACTGGCTCAGCTCAAGCAAGGGCAGCAGCAGCGGAAATCTCAAGTACACCGGCTCTGGGGACAGATACGGCCACCCACTTGTTACGATAGGGGGAGGTGGACAGAGCACCGATCGATCTATGCCCGCAAAGAGAAGATACAACAAGTACAACATGACGGAGTATGACAATAACTCTAGCGAAGAGCACATCGTCAAACCGACCGAGTCGGCAAACTGGCCCCAAGGTGATAGCCGTCGGGACGGCAGCTTGACAAGCAAGTCTAGCGGCCAGCACGGAGGCATCATGGTCACCACGACGTATGAAGTCAAGCCGGAAAACAAACAGTAGGCAATGCCTTCAATCAAACGACGCGATTGCGGAGGTCTGCCGTAATCGTATTCGCAAGGGGTCTGCAGCATGATGTAGCCACGGGCTTGGTAGAGCAAACTTGGCGTAGACGTTTGACCTAATAGACCACATTCTACCAGATACGGTCAATAATTCAGCACGATGTCGGGAAAGACCCGACGAGTTCGGATTAGCTGCAGGTTCGCGAGCCTTATGGGCCAGGCGAATATTACCTTCCTCAGATCTTGCAGCGGATGTTCCCTTGTCTGTATTTACCCGGCGGGAATTCCGCCGAAGCCGCGGACAAATGACGATCGTATAGATCAGGCTGTCCGTAATCGAATTCTCCACGAATATGATGTCCACAAGCCTCCTGATAGGGCGTAGGGCAAGGGCGCGAGGAGGCATTCCCCCACTCAACCCCAGCTTCCCCGCCTCGTCGGCCATGAACTCAGCAGCATCTTTTTCCTTTGTGAGCTGAAAGTGCCTCTGGACGAGAAAGCCAAGAAAACGAAGTTTGAATCCCAAAAATGGTACGCACGATTCAACAGAGCAAATATAAATGGGGGGTCACTGCCTCTCTACCAAAATGGCGTACTTAGTAGCAGAGCCGTCGCCTTGATTTTGTAATTGATTTCCAAGCCGCCTGAAAACTCAATGGCCAAATTACGCTCTATTGTCGGCATAGCCTCATTAGGCCTTGCGACACATGCTGCTGCCGCGCTTGACGGCAGCCGGTATCTCTGGTACACGAAGCCAACGACCGAGTGGGAACAGGGAGCACTTCCCATCGGAAATGGTCGTCTCGGAGGCACCGTCTGGGGCGGCGCAAACGAGACTCTCACCATCAACGAAAATTCCATCTGGTCTGGCCCGATTCAAGACCGCACTCCTCCCAATGCCTTGGCGGCTCTTCCTGTCGCGCGCGAGTTATTTCTTTCGGGCAAGATCACCGAAGGCGGCGAACTTGTGTTGAGAGAGATGACACCGGCGGAGAAGTCCGAACGTCAGTTTGGTTACTTTGGCAATTTGGATCTTGACTTTGGACACTCAGGCGATTTGGAGAACTACGTGAGATGGCTTGATACCAGACAGGGTAATTCGGGCTTATCTTACAGCTATGATGGTGTAAACTACACGTAAGTCTCGGGAGAGAGTGAAATCTGGCTAAAACGAGACTAACGAGTATGTCACAGCCGGGAGTTCATTGCAAGCTATCCAGCTGGTGTACTTGCTGCTCGGTTTTCTTCCAGCGAGGATGGTTCCCTCAGCTTGAAGGCCAGCTTCAGCCGACTGGCCAATATCTTGGTCAACGTCGGATCCACGGCCGGTGGGGTGAATTCGATCACGATGATGGGATCCAGTGGACAGCCTCTTGACGAGAATCCGATCTTGTTTACTGGTCAAGCTCGTTTTGTTGCCCCTGGTGGTGAGTGCAGATGATTCCTAAAATGGAGGCGTTTCTGACTTGTCGACAGCTGAGCTCAAAGCCGACGGTCCTGTTCTCAGTATCACAGGAGCCACAACCATTGATGTCTTCTTTGACGCTGAGACCAATTACCGCTTTTCATCTCAAGAAGAATGGGAGGCTGAGATCGACCGGAAACTTGATGCAGCGGTTGGAAAAGGGTACTCCGACCTGAGAGATGAAGCCCTGAAGGATTCGAGCAGTCTCCTTGAGCGAGCTTCCCTCGACCTCGGCAAATCGCCCAATGGCCTTGCTTCGCTCCCAACAGATGAACGAGTGGCGCTTGCCCGAAACGACAGCAGTGATATTGAGCTTTCTACTCTTGCCTGGAATCTTGGTCGCCATATGCTGGTTGGAGCATCACGAAACACGGAGGCCGGCGTTGATATGCCCGCCAATCTCCAAGGAATTTGGAACAACAAGACCACAGCAGCATGGGGCGGCAAGTACACCATCAACATCAACACGGAGATGAACTATTGGTCTGCTGGACCAACGAACCTCATCGAGACCCAGGAGCCCTTGTTCGACCTGATGAAAGTCGCCAACCCGCGAGGCAAGCAGATGGCCAAGGACATGTACGGATGCGACGGCACAATGTTCCACCACAACCTGGATCTTTGGGGTGACCCGGGTGCGACTGACAACTACACCTCATCTACCATGTGGCCTATGGGTGCAGCGTGGCTTGTTCAGCACATGGTGGACCACTATCGCTTCACAGGAGACAAAAAGTTTCTAGCCGATGTCGCTTATCCCTATCTCATCAACGTCGCCACCTTCTACGAATGTTACACATTCGAGCATGAGGGCTACAGGATCACTGGACCTTCCCTCTCGCCCGAGAATACGTTCGTTGTCCCAACTAACTTTAGTGTGGCTGGACGCGCAGAGCCCATGGACGTTGACATCCCTATGGATAATCAGCTCATGTATGACGTCTTCAGCGCCATCATTGAAGCGGCCGGTGTTCTCGACATTCCAGACACAGACTCGGATCTGAAGAAAGCAAAAGAGTTTATCCCATTCATCAAGCCTGCTCAAATTGGTTCCCAGGGCCAGATCCTCGAATGGAGATACGAATACAAAGAAAAAGCACCCAGTCACCGGCATATTTCCCCGCTCTATGCGCTACATCCCGGCAAGGAGTTCTCTCCTCTTGTAAATGAGACGCTCAGCAAAGCTGCAGAAGTACTTCTCGATCGTCGAAGAGATTCAGGCTCTGGGACTACTGGCTGGAGCCGAACCTGGATGATCAACATGTACGCACGAGCGTTCCGCGGTGCCGATGCATGGGAGCAAGTAAAGGGATGGTTTGCAACGTTCCCCACAGCCAATCTGTGGAACACGGACAAAGGCTCGACGTTCCAGATTGATGGCAACTTTGGATTCACCAGTGGTATCACTGAGATGCTTCTCCAGAGTCACGCCGATGTGGTGCATATCCTGCCTGCGCTGCCGGCTGAAGCAGTTCCTACCGGCAAAGCCGAGGGGTTTGTGGCCCGAGGCAATTTCGTGGTTGACATTGAATGGGTAGATGGGGCCTTCAAGGAGGCCAAGGTTGTCTCTAGAATTGGAGGGCAGCTAAAGCTTCGAGTGGCCGATGGCGAGAGTATCTTGGTCGATGGAAAGGAGTACACCGATGGGGTCGAAACAAGTGAGGGCCAGATACTCATCGTAACGTCTGTTTAAGTACGGTCTGTGAAGTCTTCATGCTTCAACGTTGATAGTTCACTCTCCTTCAATGCGAATCATTCAAAATAGAGCAAGTAAGCTAGACAAGATGTTTGCCCGGAATCGCATGTTGAGAAAATCAAACGGAAGGCACGCTAAGCTTCCCGTCGCAGACGACTGCTGCTTTCCGTGACTTCCTGGAACAAGAGAGTCATCAACCAAGGAAGTGCAACGGGAGTAAAGGTACCTTCCATATGGAAGACTGAAACAGGCTGTAGTAAGCATTTCTTTCTCTTCTGACCTCTTCGATTTCTCCTCTTCGACTTCATCCCGTCCATCTCTCCATCCATCACTTTCCATCTATCATTCATCTTCATCCGCCGCATCATGGCCTCCCGAGAAGATAACGCCCGGACGGGCTTCAACCGGAGATTCCTCTCAATGTTGATTCGTGAGAGCTGGTCAGATATGCTGGCTTTGTCCTTGATGGGTGGCGCCACTGGTGCTGTAAGTCAAATCCCACAACCACCACTCATCGTCCGGGCCAATCCGAATACAAGCTGACGCCTTTGCCTAGATCTACTTTTCGGACCTTCCCTGGACGAGAAACTTCCCGCTGTACCACCTGTCCGGCGACGTCATCAACCCAGAGCTCGCATACCCCGATCGTGGATGGATCATTAGAACATGGGTTTCCGGCCTGATTTGCGCCGTTGTCCCCGCTGCGGTCATCCTTCTGGTCCAAATCCGCGAGCGAAGTATTTGGGACACCCTCACCGCTATCAATGGCGTGTTCCTCTCGCTGGCTCTCTGCTCCTTCATATTCGTCGTCACCAAGCATCTGATCGGTGGCTTTCGACCATACTTTCTCGCCGTCTGTATGCCCGACATCTCGCTCGCAGCGAACAACGAAACTGGTCTCGATGCCGTCGGATTTCAACAGGTCATGTACACGAGCAGCATATGCACACAGCCCGACAAGAGTCTACTTAAACAGGCGATGACCTCATTCCCCTCTGGCCACGCCGCCAGTCCATTCGCCAGCTTCGGGTTTCTCTTCCTGTACTTGAACGCCAAGTTGAAAGTTTGGGCCGACAAGCAACCAGCAATATGGAAGCTTGCAGTCACGATGGCGCCACTTTTCGCAGCCTTTCTCATGGCATGTATCATCATCGTTGATCGAGCCCACCATTGGTACGATGTCGTCGTCGGCATTGCAATTGGCATTACAACTGCATTCGCCTCGTTCCGTCGGTCATATGCGGCAATCTGGGATTGGCGCTACAACCATATTCCTCTCAAGCGACACAGCTCCTTCATTGAGGAAGAGTTGAAGCACTCGGACAGCGAATAAGCCAGGCATCTTCTGTTGAAGCGTGAGGGTCGTCACGGGGCGTCAGGGTGGCTTGGACTTCGGGTGGAACGTGTGTACCATTCATTATGCAGTATTAATTCATGTATTCTTTCTTCGCGTGCCTGTTCAAAGGCAAAGTCTAATGGAATAAGCTGTCATGCGTATTCGTGTTTTGTTCCAAGTGCATGTGATACAATGTACCCGTTGAGCGTAGACACAGTGTTCAACAACATTGACTGGAGTTGGGGTAAGAATAGGAAGTTCTGACTGCACGCAAGGGCAAGCGGGACAACTGTCTGTAAAATAGCCTGAGAAATTTGCAACCTGAATAGTACGAATAGTTGATCTCGTGGGAATTCATGAGGTAATATTCACACAGACACAAGCAGAAGCATTTGTTAATCAACCTTTTGTAGGGGTATTGTTTATTTCAACATCTTCAGAGCATTCTCTCCAGTGCTCGAAGCAATTATCATACATCCGAATTAAGTCGTGATAAACATTATACACGTATATAACATTGTGGGACTACGGCGCATAAGAGCCATGCCCAGGACGGGTATCCAGCACCATAGAGCAGCTCTTCGTAGGTAGCCTACTCTTCGGACTCGGGGTTCTTGACGCCGTTGTGAGTCAAGACAGGTTGGTCACGGTCCAACGCATACATCGCGTCCTCCTCGGCATCGTAATGACGGAAAGTGAAGTAGAAGATGATTCCAACAACGAAAGAGGAGCACGCCACGCCAGTGTACATCCACAAGAACTTGGGGTCGACGGCCACGGAAACCAGCGCCTCAGAAATGGCAGAGCCGAAGGCGTTGGTGAACAGGTAGATACTCTGAACGAACGACTTCATGCTCGGCGGGGCCTTGGTGTAGGCATACTCGAGACCGGTGACGGAGATGAAAATCTCAGAAAGTCCGATGAAGACGTAGGCGGGTGTCTGGACGGCAATGTGCACGTGGTTGGGGAGAGACGCGCCGTTGCTCATGCCCTCGGGGCATGCACCGGGGGCATCGTAGCAGGGGCCGGCCTTGTAGATCAGGTGCTGCACGATGGCTGCGTATGCCATGCAAAGAGCGCCGAGCCAGAAACCAATGGTGATGCGGACAATGGGCTTCAACTCGATACCGGCCTTACGCAAGAGGGGGTAGACGAGCTTGTCGAGGATCGGCGTGAAGACCAGAATGGAGATGGGGTCGAAGTTCTGCATGAAGTCGTTCGGCATGCCGTGACCTTCCATCTGGCCGGCCTGGGTGACGAAGTTGGTCGAGAACTGTCCGTAGCAGACCCAGAAGATCGGGTCTAGACGAAGAATTAGCGGAGACAAGGAGGCGGGATAATAATCGAGGACTTACAGAACACGAAGACCTTGCAGGCTCTGAGAGCTCTCTTCAGCTCATCAATGAAGTGGTCGTTCCAGGGCACAGGCTTCTCCTTTCCATGCGCGGCACGCCAAGAGGGCTTGGCGGCATCCATGTTCCGGGAAGCGATCATCAGACCAAGGGCCTTGAAAGCGTCGGTGATGACTGAGCCCTGGGGAGGACGGTTGACGAACGTCTTGCGGCGCAACACCAGCGTCGCAATGCCAACGTTGAAAACGCAGAAGCACATCAAGTAGGCAGTCCAGAATCCCTTGTACTTCTCCATGAAGGGAGTAGCCATCAAAGACAAAGATCCCAAGTTGATGCACCAGTAGAAGATCATGTAGATGCGCTGGTATGTAACGGCGGGGTCGATGATGACGCGCTCGCCGTTGGCCTCAGTCTTCACGGCCATAACACGACGTTGGTACTGGTCAGCGATCAGAGGAGCGATGTTGGACTTAATGCCACCGGTACCGAGACCGATCACGATAATCGAGACGATGTATCCTGCCTTGCCAGCACCATTTTCCATAGCAACGGGCAGCGAGGTTGTCCAGAGAATGACGAGACCGACCCAGTAGAAAGCACAGAAAACCAAAATGGTCTTGTACTTGCCGAGGTACTGGTCAGCAATGATAGCACCCAGGATGGGCGTGACTATGTGAGTCCATGTCAGTTTTCTGCCGTATTATGGATCGCATTGTGAGAAAAGAGGAAAGCAACATACCATAGCAGAACCATTGGAAGAACAAGTTCAGACCAGTAGCAGCCTGGTGACCCATACCGAGACCCTTGGGGCCATCCAGACCGTTCGCATCATTGCTGATGTAGTTTTGGAACAGACCCTGGGCGCCGTAGTAGGTGAAGCGCTCCGTGAGCTCAACGACGGCAATGAGGAAGGCCGAAGCGGGCAGGCTCTCGCCAACACGCTTCAGGGTGCTCTTCTCGTACTCATTGGGCTCAGCGCCGTCAGGAGTAGGGCCGGATTCGGCATCAGTCTTCTCTGACAACGGCTGCTTCTTCTCGAGCTCACCCAACGTCTCGTGGAGCCTGCGGGTACAGCGTGTCAGTCATTGATGTTCTTCGTGTTCGAGAGCCGATGATATGCGCGTTGTTACGTACTCGGCCACGGTATCCTCGTGGTTCTGGGCCATGTTTACGCAACTTGAAAGTTAGACCCGGAGCGTGAACTGAACCAAGAGTGAGGATTGGAAGAGAGGGAGGAAGAAGAAAATTTCAAGAAAAGTTCTCCAAGGGCAACGTCGGTGGGGAGGGAGCACCGAGTTCCCATTAGTATCTACACTAATAACTAATAATGCCCTTACCCTCGGTCGACTCCGACGCAGTTCGCGACTCCGCGAGGCGATTTCCATGTTCCACCTTAAAAGTTTTGCCCGACTTGGGACGCGTTCGCCCCAGGAACTTTTGCGACGACGGAACTTTTGCGAGAGACACGCCACAACCCGTTCGTCGACTCAGGTTTCCGCACTCCACTCGGCCGAGTGAGCCGATCTTTTTCAGCATTAATAAGGGAGCCATCGGGTGATATACGAGGAATAAAGTGGACAGCTTGGCAAAAGGGCCGAAACGGGTGGCGCCAAGCGAGGTTAAGGGGAATAAGGCGGCCATGAATCGCACATCGTGATTGGTCTCGACGGTTTTCTTGACATTAGTCAATGCAATCTGTGCCGAGGTCGCGGAGGGCAAAAGATACTGAATCTGGGGTTTGTGGCCCTCGGGGTCTTTTCGCCAGGCTACTCCGCGAATGTCTCAATGCAGATCAACGTCTGTGATGCAGAAGCGGTTCGTTGGCGCCGTTGACAGCCGTCTGAAGGTGAAAGCGTTGCTACGTAGCAGTCGCGACTCGAGATTATCGTCAAACCCCAGAGTTGCAACCTTCCCGTCTTGGCATGGATTGGCATCGTCGGGTAGAACTCCGCATCGTAAGCCGCATGCTTAGTGCATTTGTTATCCAAATCATCTGGGACTTCATTCGAGGACGAGACGTCATGAGCTGCCAAAAGGACTTCGTCTGACACCATGAAGTGACATGATTTATCTCTAAGTCCATCTTCGGTAGGATTTCCGCTTTTACCAGCTCTGCGGCGATTGAAGCGAGACCTCGTCCTGTTCATGCCGGCTTTTTGTGCGTCTGCAGGCTACCGAGTGAGTCCGTTCCGGATTGTGTTCGTGCATGACAGCCGGAAATTCGGCAGCGGAGATGGGGTGGACCTCGCATTTCAGAGTCGGGCTATTAACCCCTGCCGAATGATTCAACCAATCAGAATTCGGCGGGAAAAGCTTCGAGAAGCTTGACTTGTCGATCCGGCTTGGTATACATATCAGCTACAGGAACATCGCCGGCGCAAGAATACCACGAGAGAGATGCAGGCCATGCCCGTCTACTATGATTCTCATCCGGTAACAAGGAAAAATGATACCGTGCTGCTCGTGACATCAGAAATTTGAATGAAGCAAGCTGTCCGCGGAGACACCGACCAGGTCCCGCAGTTGTGGAGATTTCACCTTGGTGCTCCGAAAAGGAGCTACTGAACCAAAGCAAGAGTCTCAGTATGCAGTCGACGAAATATCAGTAAAATCTAAAGAAGATATCTCCATAGCCCACGTGCCTACATGTACAAATAGTTTAAACTGTGGACTGGCCCGTACATGCGGTGATGCGATCTGGAGTGCAGGCGGGGCGAATGGAACTTCGGTATGCAGGCCACATCGCGGGCCCTTCGTTGAAGGCGACATCATGGTTTGATCGGCAATTCGGCGCACGGAAAATACGGTCCAAAGAGAGAACCAATCTCAATCATGTTACGTCACTTACCAAGCCCACATTTGGTCCTACGATGCTCTTTATATGTACTCATGCTCGCAGCTCGGCTGTAGGACGGTCCACAGTGTTTTTCTATTCTTCAAAAAGTTTCATAGTAGTCAGTCAGCACGCTCAAGGTTCCCATCATTATTTGATCCTCAGCATGACGATTGAATTAATGACTTGGCAGTTTACTTGACATACAAAGCAAAGAATTGCAAATGATGCTCAACGCGAAAATAATGATAACAAAAGCAAGAATGGCCAAGCTCATTAGTTTCACACAAGACACGAGTATGTAACATCATCCATTTGGTTGACCACACGTTCTGGAGGCTTTTTTTTGTCTACTCAGTAAAATAAAGACAGTAAGATTAGGTACTGCTAGCCGCTCTGGCGAGAAGAGCAGTGAGTGATACGGGACTTCTTCGCGGCTACACCCATACATGGGAAGGTAGTGATAATAGTCTCAGTCCTCAAGGCTCTGGACTACCAAGGTCAAAAAAAGACCTTGCAGCGAACACAATATCGTAGTGATAGGCAGCAACTAATGGAGCTAGTGCTGCCGATTCCCATGCCGGATTATTCACGGTATGCAGCTTCAATGAAACTCTTACCCATAGCGTTTAGTGATACGTGGACTAAGTTTCTGCGCTGTCTTATCACCTTTGAATACGAGCAGGAGTTTTGAATTGTTCCACAACGCCATTAATAGAAGTGACTGAGACGTGAGAAGCAACTTTTGATGTCATGATGATATGAAATGGTAATACTTTGACAAAAGCCAGATACATATCATGCGCATCTTTGAGAATTCAGCGGCTGACATTATGAACTTCTTTATGTTCAGCGGTCTATGAAAGCGACGCGATTATTGTCAGTTTATGGTCAAATTTGACTGTCAGTAGAGGGCTACTCTGCAGCATAGGAAGATTCCATTTGAAACCAACCTACCCCAGAGACAGTTTAAAGAAGCTTGAGACTTTTATCGTCTGCTTGAAAACATAAATTGCTATCCGTTAGTTGTTTCATTAATCAGTTTTCGTTCATCGGTTATGCGTAAGTGTCCACTGAGCCTCCCAGTCTATCTTAACGGTCTGAGTAACTGGAATAAACCTTGAGATGATACTCGCTTCCTGTTATTTACGCACAAAAGATATGATCAGCCGCACACTAGAAGCCCTCTCAAGTATGTTGCGGTCGTCTTTGAGGTATCTCTCGGCGAGGAAGATTGCCGTGTACATGTATGTACAGACCATGAGTAAAAGGAGTTGAAAAAGGCTCCTAGGCAGTAGAAAGACAGCACATAAGTGATTGCTGCCAAGGATCGCCGCGATCTGAGAAGTTCAGGGGAGTACATTTATTTACTTTACAAGTCAAAATTACCCAAGTCTCATGAAAACAAGATTCCGTGCAAACTTCACCAGCGTTATTAATCGTAAGACCGAGAAAGCGTTTTGATGAAGTAATTCCAATCGGTATGTCCTATGTCTATAAATCAAGATTCAAAGGTGGTTGATCCGACTTCCTAGTCATTCAACATGAAGCACTCAACACTTCCTTGAGTTCAAGGGGCCTTGTTATCACACGTTGCAGCCTAGAGTCTCAGCTCACCGTCTTTTGCAGGATTCTTGCACAATTCAACCAGGGGTCTGTAAGTAGGATTCAAATCCAAGCTAAAATGAGCGCGGATCTCCATAAGGACGGCTGCCAGCATGACCGAATGGCTTGACGAGTGATGAACGGAAGAATCCAATAACAAATTTAGCAATTGATTCTTAGCAGAAGAGCTCTATGCTTACAGTAACATTACTTAGCCAGTGCCAAGTCCGGAAAATTCATGTTTGCGTCAACTTCCGGGGGCGTGGGTAGCCCTGGTGACATCGGAACCAACCGGCGGTTCAACTGTCAAGAAGGCGCCAACTGCACATCCTCACTCTGGCGACTCTCTCACAACTCTCTGCACTATCACAGGATACAAGGACTTCTATATTGCACCACAATGAACTTTGATGTTAGCATAAATGGTTAAAATTTCGGGACTTGATCCCACTTGGTTGACAAAGTGGAAAGTCCATAATAATTGTTACATGTCTACATGTGCTATTAAATTGTAGGAATATGTTAGAATGCGTTGAAGGAGCGTGTGTTACTTTTTCAGTCAACCGCTTGATGTTTTCAACGCGTAATGGCATAGAATCAACATCGCAATCTTACTCATATAATGTGATCAATCACGGGATGTGGTTTTGCCGATTTGTCTGTGTTCATGAGTTCGAGTTCGTTCCTCTTATGTTCAATGTTCACATGAATGATCAAGAAATGCTCAATTGGTATCTCATTCTGTGTTCGTTATACTTCACCAGTCTCAATCGAATAAGATTGTTTCTGAGTGCGTGGCTTAGGACTTCTGACATCTCCAAGATCCGGATGCGTTGTTCTCAGCCGCTGGACCAACGCGAAATGAAGACTTGTTGGATTCTGAGATGAGCAAGCGGCAACCAGGGTCAGCATCCTTCAAATAGATCGCATATGACGATGAGAAGTTGAGAGCGCAGGGAACTGACGAAGAACTGCTGCCTAATTTCCAAAACTGACATCTGTTGTGCGTACCCAGGCACCTGGAATCTGGGGTTATGATCCTCTTGATCCATCAGCAATTTAATTCCTCGTCATCGTATGATGTTTGCTGTCTTCTCGTCACCAACGCGACAAAGAAGGACGAACTTTTGTTGGTAGCATGCTCGACGGAGCCTTGGCAAGCCTTTGCCGTGAAGATCGCCAACGGAAGGATTTCCGACCTCGCCAAGGGCCTCACGAAGATCTTTCCGAATGGGGTATCAGTTTTGCACTGCTAAAACTGCTCAATGCAACGCGAGCAACGCGGAGGCCGCGGGTACTAAAAAACCCCTGGTAAACTTTAACAGCTTTAGCAGCCCGTGGTCCTGGGCCAAACACGGAAAAGGAGCAATAAGGAGCAACTAAACGCCGGGTATCTTACCCTACCGAGGTTCGGCCCCCATATCTGCAGCGAACCTGCATGAACCCCTGCGCTTCAGAGCGCGCTATCGTGGGAAAAGGACAACGACGTAAATTCACATGGTTGCTTCACCGACAATTACTCCGATTTTTCGTGGTACGCTGTTTTGACGATGCGTTGCCAAAACACGACTGATTGCGAAAAGTTTGTGTCGTCTCAGCAGTCGCGGAACAGTGTTTTAATTTTGGACGTCTTACCCATGAGAACAATCGCTGAGCCTCGATTGAGGCGAAAAAGATCTTCGTAAGGAGTCGAGCATTAAAAGACTCAAGTGGACAAAAGCTCTTTGCATTGTACAAAATTTGTTCCGAAACAAATCTACGCTAAAATCTATGCGCAATGTGTCTATCCTTGGCTGAACCGAAAGAGACCATCCTCACTCCAAACAACGCTATGCTATGCCGTATCTCATTGATGTCATCTATCGAACGAAGTGACCACCTCCACTGGCGCTGACCTGGTTACCGGTCATCCATCCGCTCTCAGGCAAGCAGCAGATGCCGACAACGCCAGCAACCTCATCAAGGTAGCCAGGGCGGCCGCCGATGCTCTGAGCCAAGTCGAGAACCTCCTGGCTGTCAACACCCGGGCGCGCCTTGGCGAGAGGAGTCAGGATGTTCAGCGGGCGAAGAGCCTCACGAGGCTCATCCGGCAGGCTGGAGTACAGTCCGGTATCCATGGGACCGGGAGAGACAGAGTTGACGGTGGCCCTCTCAGCGAGCTCACGAGCCCACACACGGGTCATGGCCTCAATGGCACCCTTGGTGCCGGCGTAAGACGTCTGCCACCAGACACCCCAGGTGGTGGTCGCGCTGGAGATGTTGACAATGCGACCAGAGCGGTCGGTTGGCAGGTAGGGGAAAGCGGCCTTGATGAGCAGGGCGGGGGCTCTGCAGTTCAGGTCGAAAGTCGCCTGGAATTGGTCGAGGTCGAGCTCGTCAATGCCCTGAGCGTTGACGGTGGCGGCGTTGTTGACGATGATGTCGATTTGGAAGCGGCCAGAAGCGTCAGTGAAGTGCGCCTTCGCGGCGTCGACGAGCTTCTGGGGAGCATCGGCCTTGCTCAGATCGGCCTGGACCGGGAGAGCCTTGACATTGTACTTGGCCTCGAAGTCCTTTGCCAGAGTCTGAGCCCTCTCGTTGGAGCCCTCGGTGGCATAGTTGATAACAACGTTGGCACCTCTGCTGGCGAAGTGCTCAGCGCAGACGGCACCGAAGCCTTTGGAATCGGTCAGTTATTGACAACAAACGGACATGATGAACCTTGGTGATCAGGGGTCAATCAATGTCAGAAGTTAAGTTGTACGTACTGCGCGAGGCGCCAGTGATAATGGCAAGCTTGCCCTCGAAAACCCTGAAAGGAGGAGCCATTTTTGCGATTCAGTTGCAAGATGAGAGATGATGAACACTAGACAACAGCGTGGAGGCGCGGAGGATATTATCTCCTGCCCCCACGTGATGCACGCTTTTTATATCTTCTTCAATGGCTGTTGTCTCTCTCCTCCTTTTGCGACTGTGGCTTCAATTGTCTCTCTCCCCTCTCTCTATCCACTTTGTGCACAGGTCAATGCCGACGGGCCGCTGGGTGTGTGGGTTCCAAAAAGGAGTCTAGACTAGGATCTGGGAAGAATCAAAAACCTAAAGCCCCCACGCAGCCACGTCAACCGCCAGAGACTCCCGCCGATCTCAATATCTGTAAACCATTCGTGAAACTACGCGGTTCTGATCAACGGCTGGGCAACAAACTTAGGTTTTGGAACAAAAGTCCCTCAGAACGGGAGTCAGAGCACGCGAGCGGGATAGCCTCCTTTATATTTCATGTCGGTTGCGCGTGAGTCGTTACGCAGTCCTGGCGACAAAGCGTTAATGCTGCTTTTCAAATCTTGCAATAAAGTGGCCCTCATACCCATTTGCAGAGGGGTAAATATGGGTTGACGGTTACAGCTGAAATTCGTGACCCAAGTTCCAACAAGTGCCGCCAAGGGAAACCAGCAGGCCAGCCCGGCTACGTGGGTCATATGTGTAACCGAATGGCACTTGAGCAAACAGTGTTCAACAATCAGCTCCACCAGCATGGGTTTAGCCAAGTTTGCTACGTGGGTTGACACCGCCGGATGCCGCTGAAGAGCTCCCCGATCCTCGGATTGGAGTCTGCCAAATCAAGTATCGATCTTCTCTTGACGGAGGTCCAGATGTTTCGAGACTGTGGAACGGATGTGACATTTCACGGATGATGAGAATTGGCATTCTCACAATCGACCGATCTTGTGTAGCATCAAGCGCAACCTCAGAAAAAGAGAAAACATACCATACTGGTACTACACTAGGTTGCACAGACTGTTAATCTTCGGAGACACCGATTTGAACCAAGATTGCTGAGCATAACAGGAACGGCTTATCAAGACCAGATGAAATGATTGAAAGACAACGACTTGAAAAGTTGAACTCACTCCATCGATGCAGTATTGACAGGCACATGCATAGATAATCACGTGAAATCATTCGGAGAAAATTGAGCGAACTCCTCCCTGTGACAGGAGAGCAACAGGCATTGTTGCCTGACATGAAGAAGAGATGGTTGATTGGTCGCAGAGTTAATAAAAGAAACTACCGATGGGATTCCGTCGAAATTAAACAGTCTGAGCTGGGCAAGGGGGTTCGCAGACTCTTCCATGCTCGCAGCTCGTCTCCATCGAGGCCTTCCTTGCCACAGTGCCACACTGAAGAGACTCTGGGGCTGGGGTTGGTGGATACTTTGTGAAAGTTCGCCTGGCACAAGAAACCGGGCCGCTATTAAGTAATTGGCAACTCCGCGCTCGTGCTGGTCTTTGACTTCCTGATCTCTTATAAGTTTTCTGGGTCAGTCTGGTCTTTGCTTTTCGTGTGTTCGTCTGATTTGTGGTTCCTTCCTCCCATTAACGATCGCGTGGAGCACGAAGCCGGTTCTTCAGTCATCGCAAACTCGCAAAGCCGGATAACGAGAACGAGATGGGCGCGGCAACGTCGAAGGATATGGCGGCGGCCGTTCTGGCGCCGCTGCCGTTCAACATCATCTCAATTATATTGAGATTCTGGATCCGAACGCAAAGAAAAGCTTGGGGACCGGATGACTGGGCTATGGTTGCCACCATTGTATGTTTCACTGGTTACCGACATCGAATCGGCGTGAATCTCGACTGACGGAACGAAGCCCGTGTGGACAGTATCGCAAGTCGGTCTCATTGGGATGGCTTGGAGTGGCGTCGGTCAAAATGATCTGACTTTGACCCCTGAACAAACAGCTAATTCATACTTCGTAAGTCTTTTCACCCGAACGTCTCTAGATTCGACAAAGTTGCTCACGGATAAACAGTGGTTTTACGTCTTCCAAGAGTTCTGGTGTTTCACTTTGGTAACCCTCAAGTGGTCTATCGGATTCACCCTTCTCCGTATCGCCAACGGCCAAAGATGGGTTCAGATTGTTATTTACACCTGTCTGGCCTTGGTCACCGTCTGCACTGGTGGCACAGGCATGTACCTGTTCTTCCAATGCACTCCAGTTGAGTAAGCTATACCGATGTTGACTACAGTGTCTGCAGTTTGCTAATAATCGCAGGAAAAATTGGTTCCTGGACATGGAGGGCAGCTGCCAACCACGTACGATCCAAACCGCGTTGTCCTTCCTCGTTGCCGCTATCTCGATTTCAACCGACTGGATTTTCGCAATTCTTCCCTTCGCTCTAATCTGGAAACTCCAAATGGCCAACCGCGTCAAGGCTTCAGTTATCGGCTTGCTTGGTTTGGGTTTCTTGTGGGTACTCCCGATTCATCCCAAATAACACCAGTACTAACAGCCTCTAGTGCATCTGTCGCGCCCATTGTTCGACTCAACTACCTTCTCAACCTCAACGATGCCTCGAAATTCCTGCAGGGTCTCAGCATCATCCTTGCCTGGGCCCAGGCCGAAGTCGGCATCGGAATGCTTGTCGCCAACCTTCCCGCCTGCCGTCCACTCCTCGAGCGAGCCCTCTCCCGCCTTACATCGTTTACCGGCTCGAAGAACAAGTCATCGAAAGACCCCACGGCCTCGGGTGCGGTGAAGAACAGCTACCTCGAGCTTGGCGAGAGGGACCCGACAAAGAAGATGGCCACAAACGCGAGCCGCTCCGGAGTTGAGACCAGGGTTTACGGAAGGGACATGGACGGCAACAGCAGCGAGAGTTTGCCCGATGATCACAGCCAGAAGCAGATCGTGGCCAAGGGCGGTTTCGGCGAGATTCGCGTTCAGCGAGAATTTGGCATGGCTGTCGAGAAGAACAACCGTGGTAACGGTGGAAGCATGGTGTGAGATCATTGCGATCCAAGCCGGCATAATGAGGCTATTGACGAGTGAATGGATCTTTTCTTCAATAATGTGTACAGTTCCTAGAACGTCTTCCAAAACCAATAGAATTGCTGACAGGTCAGCACCACCAACCAGCACATGTACAAACAGTCCAGAGTTAATTTGTAACGTGATGATCATGATTGTCATTCAAGTCTGTACTTACTTTGATTAACGGCGATGAGGATATGCCCCATGCTCCCTATGGATCTCAATCCAACTATAGCCAAAGATAGAAAGCACTTCACCAAGATCAATAACGCAGAGCCTCATTAGACGGGCGGTGAACTGAGGAATGAGCACACATCTGGTTACATTACCTTCTAATTTCAATCGGCAGGAAGCTTCACCGGAGGGCTATGTCACCCCTGGTTCGGTGGGTGCGTCGCATGCATGGTTCATACTCCGCACCAAATCATCAACGAATCTGAAAAGACCTTTACAACTTCAGCTTTGGGCGGCAGATCATGCGAAGCCTTGTTGTTCCTAAAGTCGAAATAGTTTTAGCGTGGGATAACGGGTATGGTTCCGCCGGACATGCCCGCAGCGCGGGGTCGGCAACACGGACACGACTCGCGCACCAACGCGCCTCGATGGAGTCGGCTGATAGCCTGAGGTGAAGAGCCACTCGGCATTTGTTTGTGCAACCCCCGATTGGTTCTTAATTGGTGGATATGGCGGGTATGTCATGCATGCTCATCATTTGTTCGCGTCGCTAGGGCGCGGGATCTGTGCGAAGAGACTCGGTCGTCGCCCGAGAACTCGGAGACCGGCTCGGATCTCACTTTTTCTGATCATGATTGGTTATTCAGATGTTATGCGACGGACCGTAGACATAACCAGTGAAGACCTTATGAATTGTGTACGAACAGAAGATGGTTAGCTTTCATAATACAATATGAAGAATTTCTGACATGACCGCGATACGTTGTGAACGCGTCAGTGACCAGATGGTAAAAGCTTCAAGCCCCACTCGTTCGGATAACAATTCCGTGCCCGACTGAAGAGTTATATTGCTTTTCCTACATGAAGCAACACTCAACTTCGCGACTCTGTCTTGAAACTCACCTAAGCGTGCACTGCAACTTTTCCTGGGACTCCCCAATACTTCACAGTGCCAAGTTTTACTCTCAATCTAGCGTATATGTCGCGACTATCTTAGGTTAGGGCTTGAATGTGCGCAAGTGAAGGTTAGTGTTCCTCACAGTACTATTCCGGAGATGCTGAACAGTTGCAAGTAACTTGCTTGGGTCATCGTTATGAACTTCTTCCAGTCTCGCGAGTGCTGGGCGCGAGGAAAGAGCGAAAACGCTCATCGTTCGCAATTCAAGGATTATCACATTATGATGCATCGGCCTTAAACAGGCAATCGTGCCATTCCCACGAAAAAAAAAAAAATCAAATCAAGCAGTGCCTCAGCCTTAGCGATAACTTCTAAGTCTCATTCATGAGTACGCCCACGCCTTTTAGTATTGCTCATCCGGCTTACGGCCAGCAGACGCTCCAATTACTAATCGCTGTCGACTTGCCGGCGACCTCATCCGGAACCCCGCTCAGCATATCACTTTTCGGCATCGGGCTCGGCATCGGGCTCGGCCCCACCGGGATACCCCACCAACAGTTCGGTCTGCCAGGCTCCCGATGTAGCCGGTTGGTTACTGAGGCATAGTTCGAGACTGAACAAAGTAACTTTCGGCGGACGTCGACGGAATTATTCACTGAACGGCAAAGCAAGAAGCTCGGGTTGAAATCCCGATTAAATGAACCAATGGGAAGACCTGTTGATATCAATCAGTCACCTACAATGCCCGAGCATCCCAAGAACGTCAGCAACGGCATCGGATGATGCCTGTTCGTAATCCGAGTCAGTACTCCGACAACAAGTTGGAGAAGTCGTAATCCGACTGGACGAAGAAATCACGTCTGATGTATAAATGTCGATGAAAACCAACCCCCAAGAAATGTTTGCGTCGACCAGCCTTGAACCATTTCCACACCACTTTCTAGGCCACATTTTATCACTACACACATATCAAACATGTCCTCCGCTGATAAAGACGCCGTCGCCAACACCGTCGCGGTTGAGACTGTCGCTCGGAAGAGTCTCCTTCGACCCAACGAGAAGCTCGATCATGCCATCGCCAACTCCCAGCAGAACGGTCTTCCTGCCATCGAGGTCTCCCCTCTTCAGGGTCAGTTCCTCGCCATCCAATGCCAACTTATTGGCGCCAAGACGGTTCTTGAAATTGGCACCCTCGGAGGCTATTCAACGATCTGGCTGGCACAAGCCGGGGCCAAAGTCACGAGCATCGAAATCGACCCGAAGCATCGCGATGTTGCGCTTCAGAATGTTTCCGGCCTTGATGTCGAGATCATTCTGGGTGCTGCCCTCGACGTTCTACCGAAGCTGGCCGAGGAGGGCCGCCAGTTCGACATGGTGTTCGTGGATGCTTCATGGGGAGAGCAGGAGAAGTATTTCGATTGGGCGGTTAGTTTGACTCGGCCGAAGGGGTGCATCTTTGTCGACAATGTTGTTTGGAATGCTCTTGAGAAGGGCCAAGCTGAGGAGGGAAAGGAGTCTCTACTGACGCATGTCGGGAAAGACGACAGGGTGAGAGCTACGTTGGTTCCGATGATATCAACGGCCCACACGAGCTTGAGGGGTCGAACCATCCTAGACGGCTTTTTACTTGCGGTAGTGAACTAGTTCACCATATTTCGAAGGTCATTCTCGGCAACAAGTCTCGAAGTCCATATTACTGAAATTATACCAACTTGCATCATTTTAACGTCATAATCATAGTGCAAAGACTATTAACGGCACTGACGATTGATAGCACAAAATGAACTGCATACTGGCCCTCAGACGAAAGATAAGTAACAAAATCTCTCTTCTAATCATGCACTTGAAGACCAACAGTGATCTTGTAGCTACTGGCGACTGGGATAGCAATGAGCATGTTGCGGGGTAGGTCACATATCGAACAAAGCTGAGATGAAGTCTGGGCAAGCAAACGGACTGTGGGTTGAGGGAACCATGACCAATGAACCAAGTAATGCATGGTTCTTTTATCGCATTTACCTAGCTAAACATGCATACAGGAGAATTATATCTGTTATTGCAACAACAATGGGAAATTGGTTTAACAAGACACAAAAAAAGGTTTCTTAGTCGCGGCTTACGTGAAACATGAAACGCGCCCCGTGCGACGTGAGAAAATGGGAACCAAAAGCTTGGTGGTGATGCGAAGGAGTCTAGGTCGGTCTCCAAAACACATGCTGGTTCAATTGAAGCATACCACGTCAGAAGCACATATAACCTTGAGAAAATGGCAACCAGTTGTCTACAACAAATTACAAATTACTTTCCCTTTTCTCTCGGTCGCCAGCCGACTCCCGCGGAGCGTCCCGAGATGCCCGAACCTCAAGTCAACCTCACTGCAGCGGAGATATTGAAGCACCCAGCATACAAGACCACTCAATGGAACCTCAAGCCAACCGAATCAGGGTTCGTAGAGGTTGCAGAGAATAGACCCGGTGGCCCATTCTCCCTCTGGTACGAAGTTCACGGCAATGGACCTTTGAAAATCGTCTGGATCATGGGGCTGGGTGCAACACGCAACATGTGGAAACGGCAAACCAAGTTCTTTGGTCACGAACACGGCGACCGTTACAGCTGCCTCGTCTTTGACAACCGTGGCGTAGGCAAGTCAACGAAGCCAAACACGCGTTACAGCACCGCGGAGATGGCTAGAGACGTGCTTGAATTGATGAAGCAGATTGGGTGGCTGGATTCCGACTCCCCGAGCTATCCGCAGGACATCAACATTGTTGGAATCAGCCTTGGGGGCATGATAGCTCAAGAGCTTGCTCTCATCATCCCACAAAGAGTGCAATCTTTGATTCTCATTGCCACAGCACCACGTCTTGTGCGGACTGCCCCAATCCTGGACCACACCCTACAGCGCGTCTTCATGTTCTTGCCATCAGGACTGGATTCCGAACTCGACAATAAAGCACGCAGAATCTTCACCGATAAGTTTCTAAGGCTTGCGGATACCGGATCGCTTGATCCCGAGAGCAGTTTCCCGAACAATCATGACCGTTTCGTGGCTGAAGAGTTGGCAGAGCGAGAGGGGGATACGGATGTGGCACGCAGGAAGGGGATCATCCTACAAGCTGTTGCCGCCGGATGGCACTACAAGAGCCCAGAGGATCTGGCCAAGATGGGCGACTTGATTGGCAGATCGCGCATCATGGTCCAGCATGGTGATCTCGACGAGACCATCACGTTTCCGCACTTCGAGTTCTTCAAAACAGGGTTCGGTGAAGGACCGGAATTCTTTGTCTGGGATGGATGCGGTCATATCCCATTGTGGGAGAGGGAACACGAGTTCAACGCACGAATTGCACAGTTTGTGTACCGAAATGCGAATCTGCCTGCTTGATTGGAGATGATTAATTTGTATTTAACGGCCACGAGCACATTAATGTTTTGTTATTCCAGCGCCTCTCCCAGACTGTTGCTTCTGCAACGAGTATATAAGATATGCGTTGCAATATGGTATCCATTTGCACAATGTGTCTTCCCGAAATCTATGGAGGCATGTGATCGTGATCTTTATTTGCTTGATAGTTTGGCAGTCGTAAATGAATCATAGATCACCCATTTTGCCAAGGAAAGGTTTCTGGATGTGATGTTGCCACCACATGCAAGCTCATTTGCGAACATTGGATGCGACTAATCGCCTTCCACGCTTCCTCGTTCTCATCGATACCAAGTTGAGCAATGTCGGCAGCTCATCTAGTTCAAGTAAATTTCAGATGACGACTTTCACAGTCCGGATACTCCAACTTGACGGGTCTTATACTCAATTCGATAATGCTAAAGCTGCTCATCATCTCACGGAAAATTCCTAAATTCTTGAGCTCAAGAACAAACTCAATTCAAGCGGGGTTTAGGGATTCAACCCCGCGCTCGGCAGTGTTTACACCGAATTACCCGGTGCAATCTTACCAAACCGCGGATAAGCCCGTTGACATTTATCCGCTTAACAGGCTTGTCTTTCAATAAAGCTAACATGAAGTTTACGGAATACATTTCGCTGAGTTGAGCGGTCGCCATACCTCAGTATTGACATCATGTACGGCTGGGCACCTCTCTTGCTTGCCCCGGCTTTAACACGGGCAGCTATCAACAGGTAGTGCATGATTCTTGAGCTTGTTCGCAAATTGGTGAACACCAGCTGACATCATTGTTCCCGAAGACGAGCAATTGTTGAAAGCTTCAACGTTGTCCGGACCGAGGTTCCCCTGGTCATTGACAACACCACAACACCCCTTCAGGTTGGAAATGGAGACTTCGCTTTCAACCTAGACATTACTGGCACACAATCACTTGTGCCATTCAATACACTGTCCAGCTGGGGTTGGCACAAAGATAGGCTTCCAGAAAATGGGCGAGTGTTCGGTTCTCATTGAGTTGCTTGCCATGGGAGAGAAACTAACGTCTTCACAGCGAAAAGCCAGAAGACTATCACGGTGTGCCCGTTGTGACGCACGGAAGAGAGGTTGTCTACGACGCTGAAGACCCAAACCTTCCCGAAATTTCCAAATGGCTCAGCGCAAATCCCAATCGTATCAATTTGGGGCGTATCATGCTGGCGTACAAGACGCAGACTCTTTCCAACGTCACACACCCACGCCAAGAGCTCAACTTATGGAACGGTGCGGTCACTTCGGTCTTCGAAGTTGAAGGTCATGGTGTAAAAGTCATTACCCAAGGTGACTTCGAGAGTGACTCTGTCACGTTTGAAATCGAGTCAGAACTCATTTCTTCCGGAGATCTTACGGTTGAATTCGACTTCCCGTTCCCTCCGATTCACAAGGTCGAGAAATCGTCCGACTTCGAAGTTTTCATGGGGTCATATGAGTTTCCACAGAATCATACAACATCGATCACGTCATGTAGTGGGAGTGCGGACAGCGAAGCACATATACACCACAGCATGCAAGAGACGTCCTACTATCTAAATTTGCGTTGGGCTCAACCCAAAATGTCCCTGACTAGAAAAGTACCCACAGGATCGAATACGACCATGGCTCATCGATATGTTCTCTCGCCCGATACCCGCATCAAGAACGGAACTGCCTCAAACAAGATATCGCTCACAACCCACTTCGGGATCGACCTCAATACCCCAGATTTGCCATCAGACATTCAAAAGCGCAACAGCCTCGGCTGGCAGCAGTACTGGGAGGAAGGAGGCTTCGTGGATTTGACCGAGTCTTCAAATCCCAACGCCACCGAGCTGCAACGTCGTATCATTCTGTCCCAGCATGCCATGAGGATCAATAGCGCTGCAACCGGCCAGCCACCTCAGGAAAGCGGCTTGGTCTACAACGGCTGGTGGGGCAAATTTCATCTGGAAATGGTTGTGTGGCACTGCGCGCACTGGGTGACGTGGGGACGGCAGAAATACTTCGACAATATCTTCCCGGCTGTCTATGAGACTCTTTTGCCGAGCTCAGAGGAAAGGGCAAAACGAATGGGCTGGAAGGGTGCTCGGTGGCCCAAGATGACGGAGCTCGTTACCAAAGGCATTGCACCCGGCCAAACTCGCGCGTTTCTTCAATGGCAGCAATCTCATCCCATGTATTTGGCTGAACTCGCATACAAGGCTAGTCCGACGAACGAAACGCTTACGCGATGGGACCGCGTGTTGACGTCGACCGCCGACTATATGGCATCGTTCGCCTGGCTCAATAACGTGACGGGTAAGTACGACATCGGGCCGCCGATTCAAGGTGTGACCGAGAATTCTTCTCCAACCGAAATATCAAACTTGGCGTATGAGCTTGCATACTGGCAGTGGGCTCTCAAAGCTGCGTGCGAATGGAAACAAAGACTCGGGCAATCGTGTCCTGCACAATGGGCCACAGTAGCGGATAACATTGCCCCTCCACCACAATTCGACGGCCTGTATGCTCCTTGGGTCGGCGGGGGGTTGAATGCGTCTTGGTGGGACGATCCAACTTTGAAGAAGGATCCGCGAAGTGTGATTATGCTTCAAGGCATTCTGCCAGACACACCGATCGTAGGTGCACCTTACTATCATCTCCGTCGGAGACGCTGTTACCTCTGTTTGCGTCATTGGCTAATAACATTTGAGTATAGGTGGACCCAGAAGTTGGTCTTGCTACTTCAAACAAAGTCTCTGAGATCTGGACCGATGACCAGATTCGAGGTTGGGGACGCAACATCCTGGCGATCAACTCCGCCCGCATCGGAAATCCTGACCGAGCCATCTATCACTTGTCCAATTTCGGGTATTGGACTTTTGGCGACCAGGGGTTCGCCCACCGGTCCGGCCCAAGTGAGTCATTTTACCCATCCAATGTCAAATCGTTGAGATGCGTCATAACGTGCCTCATATGACTGATCTTTGTGACTTTCCAGGTCCATCGCCGCCACCATACTTCCCCGGTAACGGAGGCTTCCTCCTAGCAATCAGTTACATGGCAGCTGGTTGGAAGGGGTCTGAAGGACACGCGCCAGGCTTCCCAAAAGACGGTACCTGGATCGTAAAACATGAAGGATTGATTCAGTCTCTGTGATCCTTTCATAATTCAAGGCTACCATTGATAGCGTGACTTAATTACTCAATGACTACTTTCTACAGAATCGCCGAAAATTCTTTCTACAACCTCCTGCAGAAAATATCCATCATGTCAAACCGCGGATCAGCCTCGTGGACCCTAGGATCTAGGCACCAGTGTATACCGCAACGTGGAGCCCTCCAGGGTACGGAACCGTGGTGCTCTTGAAACCGTTTGATGGATCCTCCAAGTGCGCGATCAAATCCGTATATCCAGCTCTCCCAGAAATAATGTTATCGACGACTACAAGAGCGCCGGGCCTAAGCCGTGGCTTGACGACGGCCAAGGTCGGCATGGCAAGGACAGACCAAACTGAAGGCGGCATTAGTTTTTGACTCTAGGGCAACGACGAAGACCGCATCTTGTCAGCCGGGAAGGACTCGACTTACTATCCAGAAGCAGGAAGTCAATTTGCTCCGGCAAATCTGTCTTCAGAGTTTCTCGCAAATCTCCCTCTCGAAGATCGATCCACTTCTCAACCTCGTCTCCAGCCCGGCTCCAGTGCTCACGAGCCCTCTTAGCCTTGGAAGGCTCGTTCTCTGTCGCGATCACCTTGCCGTCCGCGTTCTGGGCCTTCGCGTTCTGCGCAACGGCAAGCGCAAGCCAGATCGTGCTAACGCCAAACGAGGTCCCGGCCTCGACGACATGCCGAGCACCGCAGGCGCGCAGCATCAAGTACACCAATGCGCACTTGTCTGGCTCCAAAGCAACGAACCTATCGAGGGCAGCCGTGGCAGGCTGACTGTCTGTGCTGACATATGCAGGCTCAGTGAGAGCTTGCGTATGCAAGTCCTTGAGAAGTTCGATTGTTGCGGGGCTGGCCTGCACCGAGGCAAGGTGTCGATCGAGGGTTTCTAGGCTCATGATGGGGGAAAGTTGGTGTGACAAGTGTATGGGAAGCTGGAATTGTATGAGCTATGGATTGAAGCGGTTGAGGGTTGTTTTGGCAACTTATATCGTACTATGATATATAATCGGCAAGGCGTGTTTGACACTCCGCGGAAATAACATATGCTGGCGGCAGAGCGGATAGACTGCCGCTAAGCCGCTCCGACGCAGGTGTTACCTCGGACCCGGTCTTTGGATGAGAAGGCCTGTGGGACCCCTAGCTCCGCAATCGGGCTGAAAAGGCGCATTGATATACCATATGACTGATGGCGCAACTGCAACTATTGACCTGCAAGGCTGCTGCGCGGGCTTGGCCATTTCTTTCTGCTTGCTTCGGTTAGTTACGGGAGGACCGTGATATCTGGGCGCACCGGAAGACGATTATTGCCGCCGGTTTCCGGCTCAAAAGACCGGGCTCGAGCCATACCAGAGCAAGACGTACGTGAAGGAAACGCGATTTCGCAGTCCTAATAGTATGCCGCTAGAATCGTATAGACCAGGTTTTTCAGACGCTCCACCTTCCGAATGCACATGCAGCCGGCTAGAAAAAGGCCGAGCCGGAGCGACCTCGGGACCCTGGCACCGGACCCGGTCCCACAATTCCGGCACGCACGGAGCCTGCTTACCCAATTGTTGCCGCACTCCTCCAAAGCGAGGGTCCCGGTCATCTGCCATATCTTGGTAAAGATGCGTGTCAAACAAGCTTCTGCTGTATTTCTTTGAATCAACAAAGCGCTGCGCATTTACTCCCCGCCTACTGAAGACGACCGAAGTAGAGCACTTTGCTCTCGGGTTCAACGTCAGCTTGGCCAAGTCATTTTATCGGAAAATCACGGATGTAGCGGGCGTCATGAGACTGTCTTGACCACTTAACGAATCAACAATGGGCTACAAGTCCAAACGAAAAACGAAGCCATCGGGTATGTATGTGTACACACTAATGAATCTCCCCACGAATTCGCGCTGTAGCCACGATTATGTACGATTACATCACACCTATCTGCTTCTTCTCTCGATAGAACAAGGCCACGAATGAGGCACAACGGTAAAGTAAGCTTTCCACCGCCATTCCTGACTTTGATCAACTTGGCGAATATCATAGTCTCTGACCAGCGTTGCCGCAATTTTGTACATTTCCATCCGAGCAATATGCTGGCCAGGACATGAGTTGTATCCCACACCCCACTAAAAGCCACAAGTTAGCACACCGCTTGATTCAAGAAGAGCTGTAGTTTGACTCACTGGTATGAAGTACTTCTCCTGTGACGCTATCTCGGGCCTCAACCAACGATCAGGGTTGAATTCGCTCGCGTCCGGTCCCCAGAACTCCTCAGAATGATGAATCACCCAGGGATTGATAGACAAGGTAGTTCCTTCAGGGAAGTGTTGGTCGCCGATGGTAATGCCTCCCTTGGGAGCTAATCGGGGCAGCCCCATCGGCACTGGTCCGAAGATCCGCAAGGCCTCTTTGAAACAAGCCTGGAGAAAGGGCAACTTTTGAGTGTCTGCGAACTGAATGACCTCGTCCTGGCAGATGCCTTGGGTTTTGACTGCCTCGTCAATTTCAGAGCGAACACGGTTCCAGGCGTTGGGATGACGAAGCATGTAATAGATGAATGCCTGGAGCCCGCCAGAAACCGTATCGCTACCGGCACCCACAGCTCCGGTCGCGATGGCGTAGACGTCTCTCAGTTTGACCTGGGCTGGGTTCTTGTCGATCGCTCGGAACCAGTGTGCGACGGAATCAAAGCGACTGTCCCGGTTGTCGAGACGCTGGTCGAGAGCGTTTACCGTGGTATCATAAAGGTGACCCATGGGCAGAATGTTGAGTTTCGTCATTATTGGATTGCCCACAAGAAGAACATGTACCCAGCGGTAGAATCCCATCGTTGCCGCGTAAACGTTGAGGGCGAGGCCGTTGGCTATTGCGTTCCCAATGTCTTTTCCCTCCTTGATAAACCCAAACTGTTTGGAGAAGAGGATCTCGCCAACAACATCGAACGCGGTGAAGGTCAAATATTTGTCGATGTCAACGGGCTGTTTTGACTGAGAGAACTTGTCCAGCCATTCGATGAAGTTCTTGACCACGCTATCAACAGCGGGCTCACTCTGCAAGACGTTTGTTAAAGTGTAGCCTGCGGCGAAATGCTTGGACCTTTCCGTCTTTTTCTTCGGATCAGTCGTAGACATTGGGGTCTGAAACCGGTAGTCGGGGATCGCGAGGAGCTTATACCAGCTCCCCTTGTGCAAAGGAGCTAGCAGGATCTTCTTGATACCGTCGGGATGGCTAACGCTGACCTCATTATGAGCGATACGCACAAAGTGACCTGGAGTTTCATTTATTAGACTGGGCTCCAGGGTGCCACTTCTAGAAGGGCGCTTACCATGTTTCTTGTGGAGCTCAATGAGCTTCAGATTTTGGTCGCCTCTGACGATGTAATAAAGGTGCCACAGCCGGGAGACAGAAGCAAGAGTTGGACCCGGGATTGTTTTGAGCGGGGACAGAAATCGTCGATATACAAGAACACTCAAGAGTGCGACTACGAGCTGAGCGCCGACAAAAGACCAACTGAACGACGTCATGGTGGTAGAAGCCGGCAGATGCGCCGGAACGATATGTGTCCACAGAGTGACAACCTAAATCTATGTTTGCGACAGAAAGAGAAAAAGGGAAGACGGGTGGGAGCCATAACTAGACGGGCGGGAGTAGAGGTTAGAAAACGGTCGGAGACGGGCTGGACGGGCTAGCCCGATGACACCCCACGAACAGGGTTGTAGCGGAAGCGAAATGCCATGTTCCGCGGCCCCGGTCAGGGTAGCCACTGATAATGACGCTAATTCAGCACTTGTTGGTTCAAAGTTCCATTCGCACGACAATTATCTTTTCTTCAATTCGTCAAGCAGCTGCCGGCCAAGAACGGTCTAAACCAAGTTCAGTATTGAATCCTACTTCATAGCTAGGGCACAGATTGTCTCATGCGTCTCGGTATCCCGGCCCTTGGAAAACGACAGGGGAAGAATTCAAACAAAGCAGCTTGGTGAGGATCACCAACAACCGAAGGAACTCGAATTTGTCGGAGTCGACTACTCTTGGAAAACATCCCCGCACTATCCATGGCGACTCGTTTTCGGTTTAATTTCATCAGTTGCCGCTAAAGATTCTGTTGGTGCCGTCAAGATCCCAGCCTGCATGCGAAGACTTTTTAGTATCTGTCGAACAGGGAAGAGACCATGTCTTGTCTGTGAAGAGGTTCAGGTCCCAACCAACAAAGACCGGCCATTATTCCTCAATCAGTCGACCACGAACGAAAGTCCCTTCGGTTAGACTGAAGAACCCCTGATCCGAGTACCTGGGTCGTATCAAACTGGACGTGGCGGGCATGATACCGTAGATCCTCTTGCTGGCTCTTTCAGAATTTGAAGATCACATCTCCGTATTTCCATGAGTTATGGAACGCTGCAAGGCTGTTGGACTTGTAGAGTGCACAGGATTCGCTGGATTTGTCCGACATGGATCGTGCAGTGCGTTAAGTCTCCACGCACGCCAACAGCCGTTGACCGTGTACCATTGAAGACATGCCTGCGAGCAATAAGAAAGGACCACACCTCGCCGGAGTGTTCGCATTCCCGTAAGTCCATGTTCCGTCGCCTCGGCCGCCAGAAGCCATGCCAGAAGCCACCGAGCCCGGGTCGCCGTCAACGGCCGATGCAGGCTCGACCGTCTACTTTCCAATCGAAAGAGAGAGCCAGATTTCGGTGCTTGCGACTTCAATCGCTTTTATTGTGTTGTCAACTACCGCTGTCATACTACGCATGGTCGCGAGGCGCATGGCTCGCAGAACTCTTGATGCTAGCGACTACTGCATCATTGCCGCTTGTGTAAGTCTCAGGTTATCAGCAAGACTGCAGTCATTCAACGGAACTATACCACTGACGAAGTAAACTCTTACAGGTCTGCGCCAATGGACTACAATCAATCGGAATTGTTGGTGTCATCCAGTGCGGCGTTGGCTACCACTTTCAAGAGATCATAGCCATGTTCGGGATGGCGCCGATCACCAAATTTCTCAAAGTATGCATGTCAGATCCTTTCCAACATTCTATGACTGACTTCATCTTCCATCAAACAGATGCTTATTGGGGTTCAAATCTTGTGGGCAACCAGTCTGAGTCTCTGCAAGATTTCAATACTCATTCTGTATACCAAGATCTTTTCCGTTCGAATCATGATAATGGCATCTAAAATGACTGCTGCTCTGATCATCGTATGGGCTCTCACCACCATTCTGCTGGGCTTCTTCATTTGTCGGCCTTTTGCCCTCAACTGGGAGCCGACCCTGGATGGCAGCTGTGGCAACCAAGTTCTATCGTATCTCGTTACCGGAACGTTGAACTTGGTCACGGATCTGATCGTGCTGGTGCTACCACTATCATACCTGTGGAACCTTCACCTTCGACTGTACAAGAAGCTGGTTCTAATAGCCACCTTCTCGATGGGAATATTGTGAGTCATTCCGAGACTAGATCGAGTCAATTGTGCGTCAATTCCTGTTAAGAAGCTTCATTCTGACAACGGCTTTTACAGCACATGTGTGATCTCCGCAATGCGCCTCGTCTCTCTTACGTCTCTCGATTATAACGACATAACCTTCAACATTCCCCACGCGCTGATATTCGGGAGTCTGGAGCCAAGCGTTGGTGTCATTGTCGCCTGTGTTCCTCTTCTGAGGCCTTTGTTGGGCCGATCCCAATACTCGAGCACGGGCACTGCAAGATATCCCGAGCGCACAACTAACGATAATTCTCGATTGAGAGCTGCCACGGGGCCCCAAAAGCAGGGGTTTACGATGATGGATGATGGGTCATCCCAGCATGAGCTTCGTACCGTAGCGCCAGAAAACGGCACCGCCAGCTCGATTAATACCAAAGGAAGTGACGGTGTTAGCGGTCTGGATGGCGAGAGACTATGAGGAGCCCGACAGAACGGTCATCGGTGTGGGTGTATAACAGTCAAAAGTCATGTTATAGATGGAGTTTTGTAACTTTGGACCAAGATGCACAGGTTGGGCGTTACTCCAAGCAGCCCATTTCTCAGTTAGACATGCGATAGAAAAGGGAGTCAAGCATAAATTGCCTTGACTCAATGTGTTACTGCTGGTCTCTATTGCACGTTCAACACGTCAAGAGCCGCGTAACCGAGCCGCCAGCTCAATCCTTCGTCATTCTTCGGTTAAGAAAAGCTGTATTGCCACAATGTCAAGTTATTCAACAAGCAAAATCAGCCAACTTAACAAACTGAGGCTATTATCAATCCCCCAATGAATCGAATTTCACCCCATTCGATGGGCTTGAATTATCTGATGATTTATATACTATAAGACCCGACAATCAGGAGGGTTCTGGTCTATGTAACCTCAGTAGCGAGGGTAGTCTTGAAGGCAGTCACAAGGACCGCACCAAGAGTACTTACATCCCATCGAGTACGGCAACACATTAGCTTTGCCAAGCCCATGTTGATACCGGATATTTCTTTTCCAAAAGAACTTACCTTGAATGATTTAATTAGCTTATGAAATCCTGAGGTCTGCGTCGATTAGCTATACCGTATATAGGGGTTCTCTGGCGTATTGCAGCACTCGATGGGATATATGAGATGATGAGGGTACTCATAGAGATATTCATACGTGTGCGGACAAGCTCATTTATCGCCCGTTTAGTTAGTCAAAGATCATATGATCTTTTACAGTGATTGAATTGAACATGTTGTAAGTTATCTAAGTAAACAGGTAGTATCTATACTCAAACCTATTGTTACAGCTGGATGGGTCACAACTGCTTAGATTGCTCCTCCAAGTTTCGCCGGCGCTAGAAAGAAGTGATTGAAACTGTATCTTCATACCTCGTTGACATCAGACCGACGAAGGCAGAAAGCAGAACCATAGCAACATACGCCGTCACTCTAATTGGTGTAGTGAAGCATCTGATACTCTCATAATGGTAGGTAAACTTGCGAAGTACTGCTCCGCCCAATAGAGAACTCTTATTCTAACAGTTCAAGCGTCAGAGCTTTTGATTAGCTTGGAGAAGTTCCAGCCTGCTTTTGGAGGTTACGGTCGAGTTCTTAAGGAATGAGTAGGATCGAAACTCCGAATGCCCTTGATGTCGGGATCGGCTCTCTTTTTAAGATTTCTTAAATCCCAGCCAACCAGCACGTCAGCCGGCTCAACCGACTACGAGTCACGTGTTCAATATTTCAGTCAGATCGACGAAGCGCAGGTACGGATGGATACCCTGCTATAATGAGCTCCTTGCATGATAACACGAATTTCACATCCGAATTGGATGTGAGAATTGTTCTTGGCATCATAAATTGTTGTTGTGGAGAATGTCTTGGCATGATCGGCCGCTTGAGAGATGACGGCATCATCACGAGCCCGCACTGAATGTCGGATTCCGACAAGTGGGTGGAGAACTGTTCGATCGAATGACTCTGAGTTGATCGCCCTCTGGATTAATCAGAATTGTCTTACTGAATCTTCGGGACCATTTAACATCTCGAGGATGGTGGCATCACGCAGCCCCCTGCGCAAAAGTTTGCGTTTAGTCTCTTTAGACAGCGACTGACATAAGAATTAGAGCAATGGCAGTCTGTAAGACACGTATTCCCTGTCGTAGTTGGAGTGATCAAGAGCTTACGCCTGATGAAGCTTGACAAAACTCTGGTTGACAAGTCTAATGGTCAGAGCTTGCGTGATTTCTACTTGCTTTACGAGAAACATGTAGCAAGTTTAACGCCTTCACAACAGACCAGAAGCAGATTCCCGCATTCCGAAACTTACTCGCCATATTATGCCAGTGTCCGTGTGCTACATGGTCAGTGTGGCCAAATGCTTGTGTTGCATTTGTTCCTTTTCTATTATGCCAAGACCTGGACAATCAACTTGGCACCTGGTTCGTGTCCTGCCGCGCGTTTCAAACACCTGCATGTTTCTTTCCAGACGCAATTTGCAAAGCCCAGCGACTTTGTAATTGAAGAGATGGCTCTCCTCAGAAGATGGAATTGCTGATTGATAAGCTCTTGAGTTGACTGTTGAAGCGAGACCGGAATCAACTGACACAGTCGTCGACGATCGAAATGATTGTGCGAGTGCACATGACTCTTGCACAACGACGAATGCGTTTATGATGTACAATTCTGACCTTGATGGACTAATCTTCCCGTTAACAGCTGTTGTTGAGGTTCGGAAGTCTGAATGCAACTACCGTCGTGGGCTGCATCACCGTGCGTCCGCGCCGGCTGTTGATGCGGCGACCCGGTACGGTACTTCTTCTCGTCAAAAGTCTTGGGTGTTTTCAACATAAAGCCCGCCTCTTCTTGGATTGCAACATACCTCATGACAATCTGCCCAGCGGCGGCCACGGCCAGCGCCGCCCTTTTCAACATGAATCTCTAGTTTTTCTGGGCGCCGGTGCCAAGAGTGGCAGTGCCGAGCCCCTTGGCGCGGACTGGGCAATGATCAACCCCGTAGGTTGGTCATCCATGCCGGCCGCTCGGGGGATCGGGTCGGGGATTAACCCCACTCGAGAGCCGGTTGGTGATCTTGTTCTCTTCTTTTAATGCCTGGGCGGTAAAAAAGACTCGGCGCGTTTCAACGCTTCGATTTTCCCACGTGTAATATCCCAATTTCCAGACGAACCCGCCGGCTGCGAATCTCTCCAGATTGATTGAACATCTCCAGTCTGTGTCGCGCGAGGTTTACCCCAAACCCAATGAGCTGACTTGCCGCTGACCTTTTTCTCCCCACCTACACGTCAAAATCATGGTTACAATCGGTGGATACCGTCGAACGGCTCCATGCGATTGCGACTGCGGAGGGCGAATTCCCCCGTCCTTGGCCAAGACCTCCTTAATTCTTTCGAGATCGTGTTTCTCAGAGTCAGCCTGCAGATTGACTGGCTATCCAATGTTTGGCGGCTGTCATACAAGATGAATGAGTATAAAGAACGGCGCTGATGCCCGTCAATTACGAACTTTAGCCTCAAGCACATCAGCTCCAACTTCAATTGCAACATCGCCTTCCGCTCTTTCAACTTCACTCTTTATCAACTTTCACTCTTTACACTGTTGATCAGTCTACCTCAGTCACCATGCGCGCCTTCCAGTTCCTCGCGGCTCTTGCCATCGCCCTCCCCTCCGTCTCTGCCTGTGTGGGAAAGGACTCTCTCCCTACCGCCACCAAGACCGTCAGCGGCGATGCTCCCATCGAAGTTGCCGCCGGCGAGAGCTACGACGGCAAGATGCAGCGTTTCGACAGAGGAGCCGGTGCCTGCAAGGCCCAGACCGAGGGTGGCCAGAAGGACGCCGTCTTCGTCCTCCGCAAGGGCGCCACTCTGAAGAACGCCATCATCGGCAAGGACCAGATGGAGGGTGTCTACTGCTTGGGTGGTGGCTGCACCATCGAGAACGTCTGGTTCGAGGATGTCTGTGAGGACGCTATTTCCGTCAAGGAGGATGAGGCTGGCACCGAGACCAGAATCATCGGTGGTGGTGCCTACAAGGCCGCCGACAAGATTGTCCAGCACAACGGATGCGGTCACGTCAGCGTAAGTCAATCGGGATCCCTATCCTTCACACTCTCGGCTTACATTGAACTAGATCTCCAACTTCTACGCCAACGACTACGGCAAGGTCTACAGAGCTTGCGGCACTGTGAGTATCCCCACACACATCTACTATTTTGGCAAGAGTCTAACATCGGTATAGTGCGATGCTTGCAAGCGTACCGTCAGCATTGAGGGTGTCTCTGCCTACGGCGGTGGTGAGATTGCTGGCATTAACGAGGGCTCCGGCGACGAGGCCACCCTTGTCAACATCTGCACCGACGCCAAGACCCAGTGCCAGCTCTACGACGGCACCTCCAAGTCTGGCACTTGCTAAGCTGCTGGCCCTGGAGCGAGAGGCTTGGCTCTCTTGGTGCTAGACGAATCCTCGCTGCCTTGATGGAACTGGAAGTTGACTGCCAGATAAAGTTTCGATCGATTACAGCACCGGGGGCTGAGTGGGATGGTTTCGTGTATATGCTTCTTCACGACATGTTTATAAGCTTATTTGCTAGATTCTCGGATGTTCCGGCTGGGGTCCCCCGTGGGGTCCGGAAGACCGGCAGGCTCCGAATGAATTCAACAAGCCCAATTAGTGGCCATGGCAAGATTTGTTCCTTCACTCAGCAATTCCATTAGTGAGCTGTGATGCATGCCTTGCGATTTGTTCCAGTGTGAGCGACCGGCCAATCGGTATCGAATTCATGCCTGGAAGCATATTGCGTGCTCCGGCAGTTTGCCGGCTCCTCTTGCGAAGATCATTTCGATGGGTACCGTAAATTTTTGTCTTTTTTGTTCAATAGTCAAAGCCCCATGAGAAGTGGTCTGGAATAGTTCATAATTGTTGCTGATATCATTACAAATAAAAGGTCATTACATCCATTACATACGCCTAACCCCCAAACAAGACCTTGGTATCATGTCTATAACCAGTCTAGAAAAGCAAGGCTCCCAGAGTAAATGCCAAACTCCACGCAATGCAACCGTAAACAGCTTTGCCAGCCAACAAACTTCCCGCCGCACTATCGTCGTCGTCCGAAGAGTTGTTGGGTTCCCCGGCGGGCCCCGGGGTCGAAGTAGTCGCCGTACCGACTCCCGGAGACGCGGACGTCAAAGCGTCGCACGCCGTCGGATCCGCCTCCGAGGTGCCGACCCGGGCACCGACGTTGACGACGACAGCCTCGGCGTCTCTTAGGGGAATGCTCGCCTTGCCGTCGCCCTCGACCTTGACCGTGATGTCTTCGCTAGAGACCTGCGACTGGGTGCCCTTGTTGTCCTGCTCGAAGCTGATGCCGTTCCACGTCGTTCCGTGGGTGGCGTCGGAGCCGTCGCTGGTCAGGTATCCCAGGTGCAGCGTCTCGCCGGCGAGCTTGGTCGGGAACGTCAGATCGACGGTGATTTGAGACTTTGACGACTCAGACACGTTGGAGATCTTGCCGTTGAAGAGGACGACGGAGGAGAGCGAGTCGCTCTGGTACACAGAGTAGGCCTTCAGGTAGCCATCGTACCCGGATGGCGCGTCCGTGATGTTGGTCTCGGCGATTCGCGCGGTGCAGGAACGGCCAATGGTCTGCGCGAACGCGGCGATGCCGTAGTAAAGAGGCCGGACAAAGCGGTCGCGACCGAACATGCGTGTCGGCTGCCAAACACTGGAATTGCTGTCATAGGTCATGTGAAACTGAACAGATGAAATGTTGAGCGTAGCGGCGTAGAGGAGGAAGTCGAAAGTCCACAGAGCTGCTGCGAAAGTGTCGCTCAGGCCCTCGACACCAAGAGGTCCGACGACGGACATCTCTCTCAGAGCGAACGGGTATGGCGTTGTCTTCGCCTGGTCGATCTGAGTTTCGATCGTGGCGAACTGTCTTTGGGTGTTGATGAAGTGCATCATGTAGTCCAACGTCAGCGGGTATGGGAATGATCCGACGAAGTAGTAGTAGTTATGTTGGTTCCAGCTGGACAGGAATCCGGTGTCTGAGTCGTTGGCCTTAACATCGAGGTAGCTCTCGAGATCCTTGATCTCAAATCCGGTACCCGCCACCCAAGCTGTCGAAGCGGATGACTCGAAGAAGTTGCTGTGCAAGCCGCGCGGCTGCAAAACCTCCTCCCAGATGGCGCGGGCGCGGTCAAGCCACTCCTTAGCGTACACCGACCCCGACCAGGTTCCCTTCCTGAATCCGTTATCGCCATACAGGTCTGGCTCGTTGCCGAACTCGAAAGAAACTAGGTTGATGTTGGTGCATCGCTCGATAATTTGCGTGGCCATAGTCGTGAGCTTCTCGATGTAATCCGACTCTGCATATCCCAGGTTGAGACCCCATGTTACGGGGGTACCCTTCGGCAGTCGGTTCGCGATCTCCATAAATTTCGGGCCGACGATGAAGTTGTCCGCCGGGACGTTTCCGGGCGCTGTGGGTCGCGGGTTCGGCTTGATAAGCCAGTCGTTTTGCGAGTCGTCGTAAATCAGGTAATCCTGCGTGTTGCCGCCCAATCTCATGTGCGGTGGCCGACCGGTGAAGTTGGCGAGGTTGTTGATGAGGTTGAGGGTGAGATCGTTGGGAGTCTCGTCTCCCATGAAGTAGTAGAGGTGGTCGAGCTCGATGCCAAAGCCCGCAAACGACGGGTCCACGGTGGCGGAGATGCCGGACGGAACGTCTTCGGAGAGCGATAGGGTGGCTGCGAAGGCGGCAGAGAAGAGGCCGAAGCCAGCGAGGAGGCGGCTCTGCGTCGGCGCCATTTCGAATCGCGACCGAGAAGAGAAGATTGTTGAATTAGTTAATTGAGTGTTTCCCCAGAACCATCGTGGGAAGCGCAGCGGGGGCGGCCAACCGACTTTAAAGACCATTCACGTTGGAGGAGCACAAAGACCGAAACAGGCGGTTTCATCACCCTCCACACATTTCATCATCTTGGTGGACCAAACGACCCGGAGGTTTTGCGCCTCGCGCACGTGTGTCGGTCCAACCCATGTTCATCGTTCACGTCTGACGGGCACCAAGGCTGGGCGACCACTTCAGTCTTACGCGTACCACTCGGCCCCCAAGCGGTGTCTCTGTCTCTTTGTGCGCTGCCAATTGGCGCCCAGGAGAAAGAGAGAAGAGCGCCGAGTTGGCAAACCCAGTTTTTGGAGAGATTTACCACACTTCAACGGGCCTGTTCACCGAACGACTGGAGAGCCTAGAACGTACGCCGCGAAGGCCTTTGCCTGTTTAGGCGCCTGCGATGCCGTTGTGCCGTGATTGCGACAGTCGGTTGGTGGGTTAATGACATCAGGGATGGATGCGCTCCCTTGCTTCTGCGGGCCAAGCGTTGGCAGTTTGTTTGCGCCCCGCAAAATCTGAGTGAATTGCAGGGAATATCATCGGTGATGTCAAGAAGACGTTGGTGATGGTGACAGGGATGTTTGGGCCGCGCGCCCCCCTCCTTCCCGACAATTGCGGTAAGGGAAACGTGATGGCCTTGTCAGGGCATGGGATTGTGACATTGACGTGAGGGAGGACGGAAGCGAATGCTGTCTGACGTGAGTTTGATAGAGTGGTGTCGCATCCCAAAGGACTGGCACCTCTCCTCGTTTGCTAGCAAGAATCTTCCGATCAGCCACAGAGTTTGGACCTGCAGGAACGGCGTGACGGCTTCGTCGATTAATTGTCGATCTTCAGCTCTGGACACAAGAATAGAAACATTCGCTCCACCGATTTGCTGAGGCAGTACAACTGAATTGTGGTCTACAGATTGGGATTTTTTCGAGGAGAAAAGATCTCGTTCGATGCATGTCAACGCAAAACAAACAACTGGGTAACTGGAGCGTAAGCGAGAGGGCTCAAGAGATAGGGGAAGATAAAGATCATCGAATTAGCCACACGACGCCTCTCTGCAGACCTGAAGGATGATGGTCTGGAGCATTGTCATTGACGCGGCTGACGTCAACCGAAGAGCTGTCTGTTGTCACTGGGCTCTCCTTGGTTTGTTTGGTCGCCAAGTTGAGCCGCCACGAACGAACGAAGTCAGATCCAGATTTTTGCGACCGTGGTTTGCTGGTCATCAGTGATCATCCGGCCGGCATCTCGGCTCCACCTGACGCACAAGATTTCTTGCATTTTGACCAGTCATTTTGCCACAATTAGTTGCTAGGAATCGCGTCTGTTCTTGAGACGCGTTCACGAAATCAACGTCAAGTCAAGTAAATTCTAGTCTCGCCAGAAACTGTCTATTTTTCTCGTTCTTCACATAACGTGGGAATTTGACCGTATTTCAATGTTTGGGTGTTCCCTGCTCTACCTGTCTGAGCTCCGCACCGTATCGATGACATCTCGGCTATCGAGAGTTCACCGGGAGAGAAAACAACTGGGAATATCCGGGAATAGGAAGCCCCGCCACGGCTAAGTCTAGCAGTTTGTTTTTTCCTCTTTTGATTCTCGCCCTTCATTTACGAAAATCCTGAGCCGAACTACGGCTCCGCAACTGTGTCCGTACAGCTGCGGGATGACGGGATTCTTGCCGCGATGATCTAAGTCACCACCCTCCTACGTGTGCGATCTTCAGAGTCCACCGTATTCCTTGGCAATCCGGCTTGAAAATTCTCGAGAGCGGGCAGCTGGATGGTCCGGCCCCCGAAAGTCCCGTGCGCACTGTCCCTCGCGGGCCCGAGTCAGGCATCGTGGGCGGATGCTGTTGCCGGCATCGCCGGAAAGACGGGTAGATCATGATCATCGCGCCCCGATTGGCTGAGATCTGCTGTTAGATGGAATATGACGCATTTTCTTCGTCACGCTCTTTGTTGTAAAAATTTCGACCGGAAGTCAGTTTGGTGGCGGATCGAGCACTCATCCTGAGGAGAGGACTTCGCGTTAACCGTCAAGGTGTTCATGTGTGAATTAGATTGACTGACGTTGTTCTAAGCTTAACTCATGGGCGCGCTACAGCTGAGACAAGCGTGGAATCTTGAGTTCCAAGCTCTTGGACCGTCTGCTTCTGGAATTTACAGTGAATGTGGAATGATATACGATGGGGGGAAAGCATTCCAGAGATAATAAGCCTCCATCAAAGATCGCTGACTGAGCTTTTGATGCTGATTTGAGAAAGAGCCTCTGGTTCGGCGCCAGAATAGCACATTGAACTGTTGTAGACTTGTATCAGGTTCATATTTCCATTCTAGTCTGCACCTTTTCCCCTGCATTATGTCCCTGTATTATATCCTTGCACAACGTTTCGGTGCATCGCTTTCGATCATATGAAATAAATCGGGCATCCTAGCAGTAGGTGCAAGCCCCAGTAGGGCAGTAACCGTGGCTACAGCTGAAGCTGCAAAGCCCCTTGTAGCTGTCATCCAATCCGGCAGCAGGGCATCCATCACGTCCGTCTCCGCCAGGGCTGGTGCTCTGCTCACCAAACTGGTCACACTGGCAGACGCCCTCGGGACAGTATCCGTTGGAGCAGGCAAAGCCGCAGAGGCCGCTGTAGTTGTCGGACAGGCCAGACTTGACCTTGCCGGAAGTGCAGAACGTGCCGGTCGAGGTGGGAGCGGGGATGCTGGAGGTAGCGGTCGCGGTCGGGGTGGTGCCGGAGGGCACGCACTTCTCCTTGATGAAGGCGGCGCCGTCGTTGGTGTAGAGCTCGAAGTAGTTGGTGTGTGCGTCCTCGCCCATCGCGCCGCCGCTGGTGGCAGCGCAGACGGTGTCCTCGCCGTTGCACCAGGAGCGCAGGACGCCGGAGAAGTTGTTCAGGTTCTGGAGGGACGAGCTGGAGCGGGCCATCGAGCCGCTGAAGTTGGAGCCGGCCTCGACGTTGTAGCTTTGGCCGCCGATGTGGGTAGGGTCGCCGAAGAGAAGGGCGGCGCAGACTAAGAGATGAGGTCAGCAACTAACTCCTGCAGGATTCCTGTTCGTGAAATCTTACCCTTGCTGCCGGGAGTAGAAGTAGCAACGAGACCAGAGTCCGCCAGGATATCGCCGACAATGTTGGCACCCTCGCTGTAGCCGGTCAAGACGAGCTTGGAGTTGGGGCACTTCTCGGCGTAGGCCTTGATCTGAGAAACACCGGATGCACGGCCCTGCTCGACGGCATTGGGGTAGCCCCTGGGGTTGGTCGCGTCGAATTGGATATCCTCATAGTCGCAGCTGGAGAGACCGTTGCAGGTAGCGTCGACAAGAGACTGCTGACGGCCGGGGTAGCCCTCGTTCCATCCGCGGGCGAGGAAGAGATGCAAATCGGTGCATGATCCGGTGCCGGTGGCCTGGCGCTTTCCGGGGGCGGCGGATGCCAGGAGCACAAAGTTGAAGAGAGTAGCGACGGCTTTCGGGGACAACATCTTGACTGATTAGAATTAGGGGTATTATAAGTGGTTCGACGGTGGAAAAAGCGAGTGACGGGTCGTGGACGAGGTCGAGGAGATCGTAAAGACCAAAAGAGTCGAACAACTGGTTCTGGGGAAAACGGAGTCTTATTTCATCTGAACTCCTGAAGGGCTGAAAGGTGGTCCGCGGGGATAACGCGTCGGTTCATTGTTGCATCAAGTAAATCCATTGTTACCCCCTGATGCTGCTTTTCCGAGTCAGCCGATAACAAGTTATTGTGGGCTTTCTCGGTGTTGACTTTCGAAAATAGCAAAAGAATCGGGCGTTGGTATCATTAGCAGGGATCAAGAGTGGGACTTGCATGAGCTTAGTTGCTGGGCCTACTCAATACGAGGTAAGCAGCCTGTGGGATATGAATGTTATGCAGTCTGTGAAAAAGGGGAACCAGCAGGCAGCAATTCCACGGCCAACTCACGCAGGTTCTCGACTCTCTAGTGCATTCTGTGAGAGTCGGGTACGAGTTGATCGTTGTGGAACGGCGAGTTGGCAGTGCATACAGTAGCGTGCTGGATCGCAACATCGACACTCGAAATTTTGTTATCGTCGCTGGTTAGGGAAACCTGTTCGTGGGCTACAGAATTGCATAGAATACTCTGCCGCAGAGATTGATTTTTCTGGTTCGTCCCAGCAGAAGCATGTGTTCTGCAGACACGCCGAGAAAGACATTTCGCTAATTGACGGCGTGTTGAGGCTCAAGGAAAGTTGTGTCAACCACACCTGAAACCTGGGGTTCCCCGTAAGCGAACTCGACGTGCAGGGATGTCATCTGGATCATCAAAGCTTGGACGACAACATGGGCAGGTAGGCATAGGTAATCGGTCACGATGCTTGTCATATCGGCACGTGCGCTGAGCGGCCTTAGTTGGAGATGTTGTCAAACCACAGCAGATGTATTCTGAGCCAGTTTTCCAGAAGTCTGATGGCCAGTACAGCATAAATTGGTGAGATCAACGGATAAATCAGCAAAGCAAGGAGTTGAGTCAAGCTTCGAACGTATGGACAGCTTGCACCGTCTCTACCTTATTTTCAAGCTTTCAACGACAGCGCATTGTGTTTTCGCCATACTCGCTGGACACGCTGGGAACTTCCCTGATCATCTCACACCGTTCAGGCTGAAAAGGTATCATACCAACGTCACTTTGAACAAACCTGGAGCGAATCTGAGTTGTAAGCTGAAAAGGCTCTGCGTGATTCATCGTATAAAGCCTGGAGAAACGCTTTCCATAGATGACATCTAGCTTTGAGGGAAATCAGAAACACCTTGAGAGACTAGATACCACTAGATTATACGGTTTAATTATCCTTGTCTGGAAGGAACATTTCACCAAGTCCAAGGACATCTAAAAGACAAATAATTTTACAAAGACTAATTCACTTAGTCTCTTCATGCATTAGAATTTTTGAGCAATGACATGTTTCAGCACTAGGGTACGGTTAAAAATGCGAATTTAATGAGTCTATTCCCGGCATTATTCATGCTATGTTCAACAGATGTTAACGATTTGGTGTCTGCAGCCATTTCCTCGCAAAATCATCGGTGGTTATGTTTAACACAGCGGCAATATGAATTTCGCCGCAACAATTACAGCGTTCGTTTTAAGTGGATGAGCTCGGACTCAAGTCTGGCGAGAGAGCAGCCAGAATGCAGCACAGCTGGGGAACCCATCCAGGTACACAAACCGCAACCCCCACAGCAAAGGACCAAGGTGATCTTAGATCAAGCGGGGTTCTCAAAATCTCTTGCTCAGTATGTAGTAGCAGTATGCTATCACTTTCAAGCGTCCTGACGTCACGCGGGAGATGCTATGATTCTGAGATGATGAGCCGTGATGACATCATGACACAAGCCACGAAACACCGGACCGGAATGGCTACATAAGAGATATCTGAATTCTCTGCTTCATTTGTTGTCATAATCAATCTCCGAACCACTGAAGATCTGAAGGTTTGCGCTATCAAAATCCACATATCACTCTCCCAACAACCAATTTCCACAACCCACATCCACGTGCATCATGACGAACGCGAAGCAAGGCGGAGACCTGTATGACATGGCCAAGGACGGCACCAAGGGTGAGCAAGCTACTGCATCAACTGTTACGATGAAAGGCTCACGACTGGCGTAGTTCCGGGCAATGCCGGAAAACAAAACATAATCACCTCGGTTCCAAACCCTCACCAGAAGGACGGAGAGGCCGGCGGCGGGCTGGGATCGACCACCTTGCACGGGGCCGCAGACAACGCCACACTTGCGGCTGACGAAGGAAGACCTACCGGCGTCGGTGAGGGGATCACGGGCACGGGAAACGAGATTCCGCAGTCGACCGCAGGCAAGCCGGGCGGTCGAGGGGGAACACATGGGTCTGAGGATATCCGGGCAGCTAGCGGAGGATTTGCAACGAAGAACCGACGATCTGACGACGAAGTTTGAGTCTGATGCGAGAGATACCTCCACCGTGATGCAGGGATCAAAGGATTGGGGGGTTGGTATTGGAGGGTTCGTAACAAACCTAACCCTAACCCTATAATGTCAAACGAACGACTCAGCGTCATTTCAACACAAGCGGCATCACCAGCATTGCAACTACTTCAGGCCGATCTCGTTGTGATTCGACTGTTTGATTACATTATATTACATGATCGTGCCGTTAAAGATGCAAAGCAAACAACACTCATTACTTCCTCAGGTCCTAACTTAAGGCTTCGGGACTGAAGTTGGTCCTGTAATACTCCACAACAGGCGCCGTGAGCTTCTCCAACTTCTGCAGCTCATCGAGCACCTTACGAAGCCGCTGAGCAGTAGCGTGAATCACTACTATGCCCACGCTTCCTCCCAAAAAGGGTTCCCGTCCATTCTCATCACCCAAGAGCAACTCCATCGCATCTCCCGGAAGAAATCGAAAAATTTCCCACCGAATTTTCGCGATAGAATTCCTCTCCTCCAACGATAGGTCGCGGAGAGAGTTGTTGTTACCTCGCCACATCCGTTCCATCTCAACCAAAGGTTGGATGACCGTGTCGTAGGCTGGTCTCCTTTTCTGGGTATTTATGAGTTCCCTGCGACGAAAGTGGCTCGTCATGACTGCTCTGTGCTTTTTGAAAAAAGAGCCCAGCTTTGTGCAGAGTGCGCCTGCCTTGATCTCTACATCGAGTTGCTTTGCCATGAGTGCCGACCAGGGACCGGTCTCCTGACTTCCGCGCTCCTGCCTCTCCTTGATAAGTTTACGAGAATATCTTATTAATCCCCTGAAAGACTTGTGGTTCGTCGATATAGTGATGAGCTGTAGCGGCGTTGTGTGCATTGACGACATAACGCGCCAAGCGAGGAGGCGGCGCATGATGGCAGCTTTGCTCATGCCCTCCTCAACAGTCCCAGCAGCTGCACGTTTGGCTAATAAGGCATCTAGCTGGTCCTCTTCGGGAGAACCAGCAGCATAGTATGCATTTGATACGACATGGATTCCGCAGTCGATATCGCCGGGCTTTTGCTGAGGCCGGTTCTAGACATCGATTAGCTATTATTCCTGGGTAGGTTGTAACGATCATGCTTACCGTTCTGATCAAGAATTTGTGTGCTGTCGCCTCAGGATTGAGGCCGGTTTTGGCGAACCACTCTGCTACCTTTCCAACGAGACACCTGGCATGTGAGATTGTTTCGTTCGTCAAGTACGAGTCGAGATATTCAACTTCATTGGTTTTCAGATCCCAAACCAAAAGAGCCCAGTGATCCGGGTGCTGAACAACGAGCAGCAGCTTCTCCTTTGAACACATTTCTCGATGGATGGATCGCACTCTGACCCCAGAATTGAATTGAGAGAGCCAGCTGCTCTCTATGAAGCCCCAATCAGGGCGGAGTTCACGGCAGATCATGGCGACTAAAGCGTTGACAGCGGTGTCGTTGAGCTTTTGCCCGTTGCTCAGCATCTCACTGGCTCTGATCAGGTCTTCCATTGGGTAGGGCTTACGACCTTCGATCATGGCCGTGCCATTCTGAGAGGAATGTTGGTCAGACTGGGTGTTCGAACTCGGCTTGCTCTGAGTCGTTTCTCCACGGCCGTTCGGCAGTCCAATCCCCATTGAAAGCAAAGGAGTGCTAGGTAGAGCCTGTGGATTGGAAATTTTGTCTGCGAGGGTTCTACCGGGTGGAAGTTGGCCTGTCCGCATTCCACGGTCCGCGCTGTTGTGGTTGTGGGAAGACTCGCCACTGCGCGTGGGAGTTACGGCCAAGTTTGTCCCTGCCGAGCTTCCCGGCATTCGCAGACACGAGACAGACTGGCTTGTAGTAGTTTGGGCCGTAATACTCGACTGGTCAGGGCTGTTGGTAGTGGTACTCATTTGGACAGCCGCTGCTCTGGGCGTCGTCTGAGCAGGACTTTTGGTAGTAGTAGTCGTTTGGCCAGAAGCTCGGGGCGTGATTTGGCTAGGAGTTTTGACCGTTATACTCGCCTGGGTAGAAGTTCTGGGTGTGTTGGTCGTCTGCGTAGGTGGTTTGGGCGTGCTAGTTCTTTGGACAGGTAATTTGGGCGTGTTAGTCGTCTGAACAGGAGTTTTGGGCGACGCCAGTGTAGCCACGATGCGAGTTTTGGCCTGCTCCACTCCAGATGCAGGCCCCCGGGATTGATGATTAATAGATGGCCGGCCTTGTACTCTCGGAACCGGTACCGGTGACTGGCGAAGCGGAGCTAAATGCTTCCCTTGGGCAGGCGTCGTTTTCCGACCTGGTACATCCGGAATTGGCACCGGTGAACGGGTAAGCAAAGCAGAATGCTTGGCTTGGGTGGGCATCGCGGTTTGGCTTTGCGATGCCGGCTGCGAGGCGCTACCTGGCTCCGATGGAGCGCCGCTCCTGTCTGGAGTGTTTGTGATATTGCTTGTTCCAGCGTAGCTGTTGCTCTTGAGGCGTTTGGCAGCCTCGTAAGAAACCGCAGCGAGTCGTTTCAGAGATATTGGAGGCCACGGACCCTGTGATCCGGGAGCAGGACTACCAAGCGCAGAGCTACTGGGTGCGGAACTACTGGGAGCAGTAGCACCGGGGGCAGCAGCACTAGGAGCAGCACCACTGGGGGCAGCAGCACTGGAAGTAGCAGCACTGGGAGAAGCAGTATTGGGAGCAGCAGCAGTACTGGGAGCAGCAGCAGTACTGGGAGGAGTAGTATGGGGCGCAGCAGCAGCAGCAGCACTGGGAGCTTTCCTCGACAGAGCTTGAGTCTGTACGGGTGAAGAAGTGTTATCTGTCTGTACAGGCGAAGACGAGTTCCGAGTTTGGATCTAAAGACTGTCAACTCTGCATGTTTAGCTAATATCCGATTGCAGCTTCTTACCTTCGCGTCGCGGGGTTCAGAAGTGGGAACCGCAGGTGTAGGTGAGACTTTGCGGCCGGCTTCATCGTCATCGACTGGACGAAATGTCGACAGGTTCCACTGGGGCGGCGTTGAGTCAGGAGTGCCTGCATCTGATTCATGAGACGCAGGTGATTCCGTTCCGCCTTTCACGACGATGCTATCGTTCTCTGCATCTTTCATCTCCACGTCTTCGTCGTTGGTGGAATCTGCTCCCTCTTCTGCGCTGTCTTCTTCCGCATCTTCAGTCGAAGTACCATCGACTGGAGAGGTCGCCGCGATGATGACATCCTTTGGGCTGGATGATGAGCTGTAGCTGCTGAGCCTCTCTTCAGACGGCGTCGCCGCCGCATCGTGATTGCGTTGATGGGGCATAGGCGGCGGCTTGTAACCTTTCGAAGCTACAGGTTGCGTCAATGATGGTTCGGCTGCGGTGACTTCAAATGTATGGTGATGGGACTTACCTTCCTCTAACCCCTTCTCGATATCGGCAGGGGTGTATGCATAATGAAATTTGCTTGAGCGAGACCGCCCAGGGTGGGGTCTATGAGCAGCCGAAGCTCGAATACCTGAGCGTTCATAGCGAGCGGCTTCAATCTCGGAGAAAACGGAGTCGAAAGAGATGCCTCGGTGAGTGTTCCGAAATTTGCGAAGGGCGGCCCGAGATCGTGGAGAGGATGCAATATTCGTTCCGAAGTACAAATAAAAATTCCAAACGGATTTCAGGCCAAAAGCCAACGCTAGATCTTGCAGTTGGTGACCGTCGTCTCCGAGCTTTTCGTGGTCTTTTTGGAACAGAGACTGCAAAGCGCGTTCGAGCTTCCATGTGGAGGACCTGGCATTCTTGAGCACCCATACTGAGAGAGATTGCTCCTCATAGACCTGTTCGTCGACGTCATCTTTGAAAACATCTCGAAGCTCTCCCCAGAGCTTGCTTATCACCGTGACATCCGGCTCAGAATCATCAGGAACGCTGTCAAACAGATCTCGAAGGACCGAATCAGCGTGACGAACAGGACCCGAGCTGCTCCCTAGGCTGCGCCGGGTGGTGGTCCCTACACCTCGCGACATGAAGCCAAGCATGAATGTCTGTGGTCCTCACAATGTGTTGAAAATGTTCACCAGTGAACTCCGCATTCCGTGGGCCGGAAGAAAGTGCCTAGAGTTCGTGAACAGGCTGGGCGACGTTGAAGACGCGTCAAACTTCGCTCCAAACGGAATGAAACTGGGGACCAGCCCCAGCCTCGCGAAAACCTAACGCCCGGCCCGATAGTCCTTACCTCATCATCGGATCAACCTGACGCCACAGTAGGTGCGGGGTAGGACCGGAAGAAAGCAACCAATCAGATACGCACGGAAGAAAGAGTCGGATGCAATGTCGCCGTCACCCGCAGCGTTCTTCCGGGCGCGTTGTGTACGGTCCACCTAGGACGCAAACTATCTTAGGTAAGCAGTAGAAACTAGTCTAACTACTATATAAAAAGACTTACTAAAATAGAGATTATATAGCTCTATATAGTACTATATTAATATATTTAATTTTTAAAAGTAAGTATAATAAAAGTAAATACTTAAGGTTATAAAAGTATAAAAAATAAAATAAAATAATTTTAACTCTTTATTTTAATTAAAATATTAATATAGAGATATTTTATAAATAAGTATATATATAAGAATAGTAGAATAATTAGTATATATAGTATTAATATATTAAAGCTTTTTTTTATTATATTAAAAGCTTTTATAAGGCTTATTTTTAATTAATTAGTATATATTATATATTTACTTTATTTTATTTTATAATTTATAACTAAATAAAATATTTAATATCTAAAGATTCTAGTTTTAAGAGATAATATATTATATATTTAAACTTACTTAAGCAATTTAATTATTTATTAAATAGTTAGTAATAGTTTTTAATTTAAGGTATATAAGAATAAGAAGAAGAAATAATAATAATAATAATAATCTATTTTAATCTCTATTAAATATAATAATAGAGATAACTATATATATCTTTATATAAAAATATTCTATAAAAAGAGCTCTATAAAATAAGGATAATAAAAGTATAGACTACTATATAATCTATACTCTATAACGTTATATATATAATAATACGTTTTAGAAATACTTCGTTTTTCCCCTGACTTCCTTAGGGTAGATTTAGATCTTAAAAAAAATAATAATAGTTTAATATTCTTCTATATTATCCTCTATACGTTATTCTATTAAAATTAATACTTATCTATACTTAAATTTATTAAATTCTATTATAATATATACTAGCCTATTATATTATATTATATAGGCGCTTTCTAAGCCCCTTTAGCTACTTATATACCTATTCTTATAATGTATAGATACTTTATATAGCTATTAAATATTATAGTAAATATTTTATTTAAATTAATATTAGAATTACTTATATAGAATAAAATTTAATAGAATATTATTTAGTTACTAAGGGTACTTAATAGGTAGCTATATAGTAGTCTTAATACTATAATAAATACTTAGATATTAGTAACTAAACTAAGAAATAGTATAGAGATTCCTAGGTATATAGGTAGATAATTTAATCTTAGTGTGTTTTAATAGATATAATATAAATAAAAGTACTTAAAGCTTAAAAACGTCTTATTATATAAAGAATAGGCTGCAGTAAGATTGTCTATTTCATTAGCTTAGATAGAATCGTTTATTCCCATTTAGTGCGCTGCAGGCAATTAAGCACGGACTTCATAGTGTGTCATCACACAAGGGGATATCACATGAGCTGACTACTTCTAAGTATGTTTTGCGCCTCGGCATAAGTTCCAAAGTTAGGGACGCACAAAAGGGTTTTATGTTTTCACTCCGTATGGTGTATTAGACCTCTCATTGGCTATGGTCTCCCTCAGCTTTAAAGACTGCGACCAAAAGCGAGTCTTTCATCCAACTCCCCGACGCCTCGCTTATTTTGGAAATACTTGTTAGTACAACAGTTGTGTTTTCAAACGTCACACCGGTGATGAAAATAGTACAATTTAACCGGCGCATTGACATTTGCAGGTAATGGTTCATTACCACCGTGAAGATGATACGATTTAACCGGTTTGCATATTATGGAGTAGAAGACGTGCATCTATGCCGTCCAGACTGCTTGTCCAAGCTGGCACTTCGTCTACGAAGCGCTGCCTTCGGACCATGTTCCCGAGTGATGGGAGTATTTGCAGCTTCACACGACTCCATTGGTTGTAGAAAGAGCCTAGATGAAGAGAGCCTAGACGGGAATGTGATCCCGTTGACACATGCCATCACTCGTAGTCTAGGCCTCATGATCTCATTTGTCATTCCCAATACCAAGACATCCCGCATGACACGAGATTGGCAAATCTTATCCCATAGGAGGTTCGATGCTGATAACTCTGATGAGGGAAGTTGGGGAAGTTGGAACGATTATGTCCTATTGGAATGGTGCGCATTCAGGCAGAATTCGTACCCTGTTAGTTGAGTTCGTGATGATCGACGTTGCATGCAGCGTGCATCGTTTTCCGCGTCATAATTTCTCCGCAGGATAAATTGGTTCATCTGGCAGCTTCCAATTGGAAAATGTCCCGAGACCGAGCAGATGCAAGTAGCTGACGCCAGATGCGAGCGTGAGCAGCCGAAAATGTGGAAGGAGCTTTCTCCCAGAAAGATTTCTGTGGCCGCTTTAAACATACTTCGAGTAGGTAACGATTGCTCAGGAAGTTGCAAAGAGAACGCAAAATTGAATACTCCCTTCACTGCACCCTCGAATCCAGATATCTCCTGAACCTTCACTAGGCAGCTTTGAACAATTGCAGCGGATATGTCAAAGTCAGTGAGCTTTCAAAATCCAATACTTCCCGGTTTCTACCCGGACCCGTCCATTGCTCGCGTTGGGGAGGTTTTCTACATGGTCAATTCGAGCTTCCAGTTCTTCCCTGGAATACCTATCCACAGGTCGACAGACCTGGTACAATGGGACCTCATAGGTTAGTTAGTTCCATTCACGCCGAAGCGGTCTCCTGGCATCTGCTAACAAAACCTTCATCAAGGTCATGCGGTGTGTAGAAACACACAGCTAGATTTGAGCAACGCGACTACCAAGATCAATCGCCCGGAGTATGGAGAATTCTTCACCGCAGGCTTGTACGCACCGACAATTCGTTACCACGATGGCACCTTTTACATCTTGTGCACAAATCTCAAAGGTCGTCCCGAGATGCCCTCCACGGAAGACTTCTCGCCAGAGAATTTCATCATCACGAGCAAGGACCTTACAGACCCAGCCTCGTTCAGCGATCCAATATACTTTGACTTTCACGGTATAGACCCAAGCATTTTCTTCGACGATGACGGCAGAGCATACATGCAAGGAAGCTGGATATACGGATACCGTCAAAAGCCAGCAACCATCATTCGTCAAGCAGAGATCGACCCTTCCTCCGGTAAACTTCTGTCCGAACCGAGGGACGTCTGGACTGGATCCGGAGACAAAGTACCCGAAGGCCCGCACTTGTATAAGCGGGATGGGATTTATTGGCTTCTCATTGCTGAAGGTGGCACACATCGTACGCACAAGATTACAATGGCCCGTTCTCAGGATGTTTGGGGTCCTTTTGAGTCGTTCAAAGGAAACCCCATTTTAACATCCCAGGGCAAACACCACCCCATCCAGTGTGTTGGCCATGGAGACCTTTTCTCCGATGCTGACGATGAGTGGTGGTGTGTGATGTTGGCGCGTCGCGAGTACGATCAAGCCTATCCATTGGGCCGCGAGACGTACCTCGTGCCGGTTGTCTGGCGCAGTGACGAGTTTCCAGTCCCAGAGCCCGTGGAACTTCTACAGACGGTGAATTGTGCAAACCGAAAGTTAGGTGCTAAACTCTTAACCGGTAAGCCGAGGGTGGCGTCTCAGAGCATTGAGGTTGATAGTCCCCATACTATCTTTTTGCGGACACCAAACAGAAACAACATCACCCAAGGTCAGGAACCTCACTGGCTTTCTCTCAAAGCGATTCCAGTGGAGCTCGGATGCGCAAGAGGATCACCAACCTTCGTCGGTCAAAGACAAACCGACCTGCAGTCGAGCGCCTCGGTCATACTTCACCTCCAAAGCCTACCTGATGATGGTCACTGTGGATTGACTTTGTATAAAGATACGTACCGACACGTATCGCTCGATGTGAACAGCAAGAGAGAGATTACTTTGGCTGTTCGCCACAAGAGCCAAGACTTCGTCTACGTCGACAACAACATTACTCTTGATGCTGATAGAGTCAAGCTGGTCATCAAATCGACCGTGCAAAATTACGTCTTTTCGTACGAATGTCTTGTGGATGGATCATGGAAGCGAGAGGCTGTTCTTGGAGCTGTTGATTCGGCTGACATGAGTGGCGATGATTTCACAGGTAATGATCACATTCACTTTGAAAATATTGACATGAGGAACTAACATGACTTCTTGCAGGGACTGTGTTCGGCCTGTATGCGTCTGGCAGGTCGGGATCAGCGGATTTTGAGCGCTTTTGCATTGTCTGATGGTGAAGAGCTTGTTTCCAGGATTAGGGTAGCTTTCAATCTTCGAGTATGACACAAAATCGCCACATGTGGTGCGGTCCTTTTGTCCACGTGCACCCTTTGTTTGGTATTGCGAACGGCCGGGCGCGGTGCAGTGTCAAATAGAGACATATTCAGTGTTGGACAGCTTCACTCCGTTAAAGCTTGACGCATACGCTTACTGATGGTCCAAACGTGTGGATGGGCCGATAGAGGCTGGGGGGAACAGCCAATAATAGTTGGCATGCGTGCAATGAACACGGATGTTGCTTTAAGCAATACAACATATTTACTACCACATCCTCCACAGTGCCAGTGACCCAAGTGATCAAATGCCAAGAGCACGCTCATCGTGTTGGCTTCCAATAGTGATCTGAAAATCTGGTCCCTGGTTGGCGGACAATATGCTAGTGTGATTGCCTGCCCAAGCACTGAGGTTGCAACCCGCGCAACCCGCGGGCTATTACCGAAAGCTGCCCGAAATTAACCTAGGATGGAGAAACATGGGGCTACTTGGCTCGAAGTATGTCCAAGTACAGAAGCGGTACATCACGCTGGTCTGCGGGGAAGACAGGCAAGTCCACTACCGCCGGATAAAATGTTGTACGTGTTGTCACATTCAATCTACTGAATATGAAAATATCCACGAATAGGCCACGAATGGGTTGATATCGTCCGTCGAAATGGAGATCTCGGATACTGACTTCGTCAAAATTACTGACTCTTGCTGGACTATTTACACGGCCGCATCGTATGCATTGCAAAAACGGAATCTGGGCAATTCGCTTGAAGTCTTCCAAATTTGTGCCCTCTGATCTGTTGCAACAATGCATTCTTGCCGGTCTTTGATTCCTCTTGCTCTTTCCTTATGCAGTGTTTTCACCACGACTGCTGGTCAGAGTGCTTCCGCACTTGGGGCTGAAGACACCGAGTCGAGTGTATTCGCTTCTCGTACCAGCCCACCAGCTGGGTGCTTAGTCGTCAGGACTTCACCGGGTTCAGGAGAGTTCAAAACCTTCCATGACGCTGTGAACTCGATTACTGCGTCAACCAAGCCGTCATGCATCTTCATTTACGACGGCGTCTATAGGGAGCAGGTTGACATCAAGATCAAGGCACCCCTTACCGTCTATGGGTCGACTTCCAAGTGAGTTTCACCATCGTTTTGTTGTTCAAGGCTAACAACACTACTAGCACCGGGACCTACAAAAGTAATGTCGTCACGATCACGAACAAGCTCGGATCCTACGACGCTGGATCTCTCGATGCAAGCTCTACGGTTAACGTCAGATCAACCAACATCAGCATGTACAACATCAACTTCGTCAATGAGTACACGAGTGGTCAGGTAAGAGCGAGGCTCCACGAGTCCGAGTAAAAGGCCTTTCGAAAGAACGTTTAACTGACGAAGTTGAAATCAGGCTGTGGCGCTAACCGCCAATGGCAATCTTACTGGCTTTTACGGCTGTTCATTCAAGTCATACCAAGACACACTGTACGCTAAGAATGGCTGGCAGTATTTCTCAAACTGCTATATCGAAGGTACGCTTGCTGGGAGCTCTACCCGAGGTTTCACTCTGACACAAGATAGGTGCGGTTGATTACATCTTTGGAAACGGTCACGCTTGGTTCGGCGAGTGTAAGTCGTGGGGAAACTTTAAAACAGCGGACAGGGCTGACTCTGTACAGGTACTATTGCCTCAAGTGGCGGTGGTTACATCACTGCGAGTTCGCGAACATACAACAACGACACGTCTCGATATGTCATTGATCACAGCACTGTAGGTTCTCAGCTATGTGCAAAGCCAGCTTGAGTTTGGAGCTAATGATATGTCAGGTAACCTCGGCTTCCTCTTCGGACCTAACAGGCAAGGTCGCTCTTGGGCGACCGTGGAGAGTATCTGCCAGAGTCATGTACCAATACTCCACGTTGACCAGCGTGGTGAGCCCCGAGGGCTGGACCACGATGGCTGAAGGAGCGACACCGTAAGTTCAAGCCAGTTGGAGTACCGGATTTCGCCTCGTACTCACACAAAGTCTAGCATCTTCCAGGAATTTGAGAACACGGGAGCCGGTGCCAAAACGTCTGCGAGAAAGTTCTTGACTCCAGCAACTGCTGCGGTGACGAAGAAGGATCTTTGGGGCAACAATTGGCGGTGGTATGATGATAGCTACTAGGAAGGAATGTTCAGACAGATCGGTTGGGTTTCAATTGCTTCACTACTTTCTTTAAAACCATATTTCGTAAATCCTGGAGTTTGAAGGACGCAGCATGTATCGAGGCAAATATGTACACAAGCTTGGACGCACACTCGAGTTATCTACTATCATTATCACTGCAGTATTACGGAAGTACTGTAAAAAGGATGTTTTTGTTGATCACCAAGGTGTATTTCTCATGTTGCGGTATTGGTACCCGTTGATTACACACTTGGAAGAAGAAATCAGAGCCTGACTACTCTGGATAGGGAGTTAGATTTGCCTGCATTGGCACCACATTGCTTGAAAACATAAGAGAAAAGCCTTTTGGAATCTTCGATTTAAATACGGAGGCTAAGCAAAATTCAGCAACGTCCCTGAAGTGGCGACTGGATGTAAGACCAATTGAGTCAATGGGCAGGAGTGCAGGACAATCTTGTCACTTCGAAGCTAGACTTATTCGTGAATAAACACCGAATCAGACAGAAACTAGGAGTGACACGCAGAGCAAATTCAAGCTATTGTTGAGGAATGAAGAAAACTCAAATGGGCCCAAAATTCTTATAAGTCTCAAGAGACAGCAGTTGCGCTCCTGAAAGACAATGTTGATACAAGACCTCAAGAGCTTGGGTCCCGACAACGGATGTCAACATTCGACTGATCAAAGTTGTGACATCCAAAAAATGCCTCTCCGCCACCAGCGGGAACGACATCAATGTTGTGGGCGACAATGCCGGTGCAAACGTCAGGAGAACTGCAAATCAGTTCGCCAACTCGAGGGGCATTCTTGCTACTGGTAGTTCCCGAGAAGTCCAGGAAACTGATGTCCTGTATCTTCAAGCTGGCCTAAACATTGACATAAGTTAGTGGCGTTTAGTTCCGGTAGTGACCTGGTATTTGAGAAAACAGGGCTCGAACTGACCGGGTATAAATCACACATGGTCTGATTCTTGCTATAATAGCATTGTGAGATTGAGATGGCGTCTGTGTCGTTGTTAGCTCTGGTAACCGAACTAGCGTGAAAGTTCTCACGGTCATTGCCATTGTTGTGGAAGAGCTCATATGTAACGTTGCGAACTCTCCCGCTGCCGCCTCCAGAGACAGAATCATCGCTTCCAGGAGGTACACCGGGCCAGACTTTGATGCGGGCTCCATCGGATGCCTTGCTCATAGTGATGTTATAGACGTAGATGTCTTCCACAATGTCGACTTGTCCCCGATATTGACCAAGACTTCCAACAGATATTCCATGTGAGCCGTTACAGTCTAGGCCTTGCACTATAACTGCAGTTGAGTTCGGCTTGAAGGATACGCAGTCTGCATGTCAAATACCGTTAGTCACATGAAAGAGATTGAGGGAGTTGAAAGGTACCATACCGTCTGTATTATTGATGCGCGAATTTTGGATGACAATGTTGCTGCTGCGGAAGGTATCCCATCCATCCGTGTTCTTGGCCGGCGCCGACTTATTGGTCTGCAAAACGTTGAGATCAAAATCGCTGATGAGCACGTTTGACGAATTGGAGATGAAGTTAAACCACCCTGGACTATTCCTCATGCTGATTCCAGTGATGGTAGATCTGTGCAGACCATCAGTTCCAAGCAGTGTTGGGCGAAGGACATTCTTGTCAACGACCATCGCATCCCAGAAGGCCTGTCCAAGGCCATCTATGACGCCGTGTCCCCCTCCATAGATGTTCACGTCGGTGCCCCCGAATCTCCAAAACAGACTGACGGACTGGTATGGGTAGTTGAAAGTCTTGCCGGGCCAGAAAGTGACGTCGTTGCCGAAGTTGATGGTGCCGAAAATAGCAAAGTCGATATGATCCAGAAACGTCAGATCAAGCGGTGTCAAGATCTGATATGTTCCGTTTGGGAGATAGACTGTGCCACCCTGGTTGCAGTTTCGGGCCGCCTCAAGAATGGCTGGTCCAGCGTCCGTGTCTCCGGGCTTGACGACACAGACTCGTTCGCGATGGGGGCCGCTCGAGAGCTGGAAGCCGGCAGGGGACTTTGGATATGCCGACGTGGATGGGAAAGGCGGGAGCTCCCCCAGACATCCAGTAGCAGCTGAAGCAGCTGTTGAAGCAACAAGAACAACTACGGTTTCGAGAAACTTCATTTTGAACTTAGACGAGAAGCAATTTGGTATGATAGAAAACAACTGACTGGTGGAAACCGGCTAATGGTGACATCCGCACTGGTTCATTATATACTGTCGGGCAAGGGCGACTGTGCCTGCCTTCAACATCGAGACTTCATGTTGTTACCAAAATCATAAGTCAGCTTATGAGTCTTCCATGTTTCTTTTCCCTAGATCCGCCACAACGTTCTTGAAAGACGTTCGGCGCACAGCTCACTAACAGTCCTGATGTGATGCATGGTGTACATGCGAGTACCCTCAAGTTGTGAACTCTATGTTTCAACATGTACATGTAGGCGCTGGATCGGATTCATGTCCCTCTTTCATACCTGGCCCAATATGGCGAGTAAATCCCGACATGATTGCACATGTTGAAAAAGGGGTTGACCAGGTCCGTAAAAGCAGCGAGGGGCTTGCCAACAATCGGCCGGGAAATGCCAAAATTGCGGGGTTCCCCGCACTGACCGGCGACAAAACGGCATGATGGGGAACATTATCCGGCCGAGATACCCCGAGTCCGGCAAGTCGATCTGGGGACCTACGCGCAGGTTGCCAAAATAAGCTTCTTTGTATTTAGCCTAAAATCTTGAGATATCGGTAGCTTACATTGGGGTTGCTGTCAGTTGAGCCGCCCCCTGACGTTTACAATTCTAACCTGACGTTTACATACGTACATGCATACATTCAAGTCCACCGAAAGCATTCCGCAGTATGACCCCATCTTCTTCTAGTAAGATGAGGTGTGAGGGAACATGGATGGATGGGAATATTTCCTCCAATGACTCGCTTGCTTTGTGGAAGAGATGAAGCCTTTGAGACATGAATACGAACGCTCTGGTATAAGTCTATTCACCGTCCATGCTGATGCTGCAGAGAAGCCTGTGAAGATCATCACATACGTGGGATGTATTCAGGCTAAATTGCTTTCTCAGCTTTGGGTCCTATGTCTGGTTTCTTGGGCAGCCTCGAGAAAACAAACCATGGCACCGGAACGCTAATGCACACCAACCCAAGCCAACGTGCAAGGGAGTTGATTAAAAGATCCAAAGATTCATAAGCAGACCATTCACCCATACTGAATTAATCGTCCTCAACCAGGACATCCCGAGCGGCGTGTGAAGCTGAAAGGCAAAGAGATCTCAGCATACGCATCCATCGAAACTTTCTCAATACCGTCGTTATGCCGAGCAAACAATTAGTGTACAACTGGTAAGTCCACATGAATCAGTTCGCGTTCTTAATAACGTCGCTAAAGATAGGTATAGGTATGTGGCCCTTGTGGCAGCCGGCTGTATGATCCTCATGGGTTATGATGCCTCGGTCTTCAACTCAGTTCAGGTGTCGCCGAACTGGAAAGATCATTTCAACACCCCAAGTGCGCACATGATTGGGCTTATCAACACCACCTACACTGTTGGCGGCATCGTAACTGGATGGTTCTTTGCCGGGCCAATTGTATGTAGCCTCAGAGAACCAATCACTTGTGACGCTGAACATGAACTGACTTTGACGAAAGGCTGACTATCTCGGACGTCGCTGGGGCATGGCAATCGGATGCATTATTACGATTGTGGCCACCCTGATACAGACCTTCACTCCCTGGCATCAAATTGGAGTTTTCATATTCGGCAGGATCCTAATCGGGATTGGGCAGGCCCTTGCAATCAGTCTGTTTTTCAGCATCCTATCCCTGTTCTCTTGTTCTAACACAGCACAGCATCTGGCCCCATTTATATCGGTGAGATTACAGAGCCTGAGATTCGTGGAAAGGTCATGAGCTTCTGGCAAATGTTCTACTCAGTTGGCTCATTTGGTAGGATGTTGAAATCTTGTTCTATATTACAAGCTGACTTTGAATCAAGTGGCATACTGGATTAACTATGGAGCTGCACGACGGCGTGATACCCTGGGTGACTGGGATTGGAAGATGGTTGTGATCTTCCAGATGATGATGCCTATCATCATCACCGTACAACTTCCCTTTATTCCGGAATCTCCGAGATGGCTTATTAGCCGACGGAATGACGTCGAAGGCGCCCGAAATGCACTACTCAAAGTTCGCGCAGATAGTCGGAAGGTCGACGAAGAATTGTTGACGATCCGTGAGGCAATTGAGTATGAAAAGGAAGCGCAATCTGAGGGCTGGAGGGCCTATCTATCTTTATTCAAAGACCCCAGCATCCGGAAACGACTCTACATCACCTTCTTTATTAATGTCGGCCAACAGCTGAGTGGGCAAGGCACTCTGAACAGTTACTCCTCAACGATCTACGCCAAGGTATACAAAGATTTCAACACCATCAACCTCATCAATGCTCTCAACGCTACATTTGGCATCTTATTTACCCTGAATGCCGTATGGACTGTCGATAGATATGGCCGAAGATTCTTGTTCCTAGTGGGAGCTTGTGGAATGGCCGTGTGCACCATGATAATCCCCATCATTGGCCTAACGACTCCCGGAACGAACGACAAGAGCAGGCCAGTCGGAATTGGTATCACTTTCATGGCTTTCCTCTTCGCCTTCTTCTACAAACCCACCTGGGGTGCAACGACCTGGACGTATACGAGCGAGGTTTTCCCCCTGAACGTCCGAGGACCAGCTGTCGGAATGAGCGTCCAAATGCAAGGCGTAGCCAATACAATATTCCAGCAATTCTTCCCTATTTTCTATCAAAACGAGGGATTGTAAGTATTTGCCTGTCCGATGTTGACCAGGGCCCAGCTGACTGCTTGTCTCACAGAAAAACATTCTTTTTCTTCATGAGCATGAATGTGTGCCTTGCTTGCATCGTCTACTTTATTCTGCCGGAAACCAAAAAGGTCCCTCTGGAAGAAATGGATACCCTGTTCGGAGGAGTAAACCATGTCGAGAAGGGTGCAGCTATCATCCATGAGGGTGATGTGACGAGAGAGACTGGCGGGACAGCACAAGGCAAAAATACGCCACCAAACGGCGAGATCGAATTGGTGAAGACGAATGAGAGAAGAGCATAGCTTGCCGTTGTGATGGAACCGAATTAAGACATCCGGACAGCCACAAGCTACGCAATAAGCCAAACGGACAAAGACATACGGAGTCAGAAGTTGTGGCAGCGTCACACTACCTCACGCAGCTGAACAGATATCATGACCATATCGGACATAACGGGAGCTCCAAGAATATCTCAATATGTATTATGCTTGTGCAAGTTGTCTTGTTATTCCATGATATAGCTTGAATGTAAAGTTCTCGGGGTTTCCCCTTCCGGATTTCATCTGTCTCATTCTACTCACGCTTCTCATCTTCCATTTCCATAATCCCCTGTTGTGTCCGCTGGACATCCGTGACGTACTTTCTCATCTTCCATGCCGGGATGCGCTTGTGATACATTTCATCCATCTCTGCCGGGTTGCGTTGAGCTGGCTCCGGAACATGGAACCATATCAATCCGCACATCAAAGTCCCCGTGGCGAAAAACAGCCACGCAGTATTGTAGCCCCAGTTGGCTCGTTCGACGTCAACTGATCAGTTAGTGTCAGCTAAAATATCTGCGTTGGAGGTTGGTACTTACGCATGATTGGCACCGCAGTGTTGAAAGTCAACCCGAAAAGAACAGAGACCGCAGCAGATATACCTGCTGTCCTTGCACGAAGATTTTGGGATGCAATCTCCCCAACAAAAGCCCACCCAAGCATTCCCACTGCCAGATGCCTTTAGCTCTGTGAATGAGGATACGGCGTGGTTAGGTGTCACTTACAAGCATTGCTGAAGAAAGACCAGACGCACGCGGCGAAGATGAGAAGGTTCTGAACAGCGGAAGATTGATGCACCTGTCCCAGAATCCCCACAACCAGCATTGCTGTCGAGCAGGTGAATGAAGCAATGATAACAATGGGTCGGCGTCCCAGTCTGTCTGTTCCAAGAATGAGAAAGATCGAGGTCGCAAAAGAGATGACAGCTGCACCGCGTTAGCTATAGCCTCGGATCGAAGGGTTGTGAAATTCCTAAGCGTACTCATGATGGTTGTGATCAGGAATGCATTCTTAAAACCACTCTGCTTGAAGAACAGACTAGCATAAACATTCAAAAACGCCAATCCAGTCAGCTGTTGAGAGCAAATTGGGAGTGTAGCACCCAATGTGCGTCTGGCATTGGGACCTTTGAAGCATTCCATGTACGAGGAAACGAGCTGTTTGAAGTTACTGGCCTCGGCTTCTTGATGCAGACCCTTTTCCTCCAAGATGGTGTTCTTGATGATAGCATACTCACGCTCTACATCGTATCTGGGAACATTTCCGTTGACTCTGTGGAGCGTCGCTTTGCCTCGATCGTCTTGTCCCCGAATTGCGTAATATGCTATCCGGTTAACCGCGTCAGCCAGCCACTTCATGTTTTCAGGTTGCCGAAGAGTTGGACGGCGGTCTCTTACCTGCGGTCTCTGGCAGCCAAACGAAAATTGGCAACATCAAGCCCAAAAACGCCCACTGGGTTAGGATCGGGAGTTTGTAGTTGGTGGGATCGCTCTCTTGGACAACCGTCAAAACCAGAGGCGGTAAGAACTTCCCAAAGGAGTTCCAGAAACCGTACGCCAGTACCATGGCCCCACGAATATTCACAGGAGACCACTCAGTCACATAAACTGGGAGGGTCGACTGAATGCAGCCGACTCCGATTCCAGCCAGCAGCTTCGCACCCGTCCAGTCTCGCCAGTCGCGTACGGTTGTCTCGATTATCAATGACTAGATACAGTCAAACATTAGCAGGGTCTTTCATTCCACACTGAGGAGAGAAACGGTGGACTCACTGCTGCAAGAATGACCCACAGAGTGTACAGCGTCATCTTCCGGCCGATGGCGTCCGAAACTGGATTGAGAAGAACCATTCCAACCAGTTGGCCCAATGATTGCATTGCGCCCCATAAGGCAGTGTACTGGGCATTTAAAACGTAATTCCCTTGCGCGTTTCTGAACCCCACGTGGTCGATGAATCCTTGGTTTGCAATTATGTTGCCTGCAAACGTGCGTCAGTGACTACATGTACGCCAAAGAAATCACAGCCCTTGCGGCAACTAAATCGCAAGACCGAGGTTGGATGTGATTACCATTGAGGGTGATTTGGTATCCATCCGCCGCCGCGGCTATGCAGAGAAGGTTGCAGACTATTACCGCCTACATGCATTGATTGTCAGTTTACCTTACTATCAGCACGATGCTGGGGACGCCAACGAACCTTCTTGAACTTCCGTACCGTCGCCCACACTCCCAAGCTATCGTGATCGGACTTGAGAACCACTGCATCTGATGATTTGAGATTCTCTTCGACATGATCGGCATCGTTCATCCCATCGATAGTGTGCTTTTCGTCCGAACGAGACATTGTCGCTAAGATACCGGTAGAGTACTTTGAGCAGACCAACAAAGCTAGCAGCTCCTAATGCTTCGTTGCGTAGTGTTAGGTGTGTATTAGGAATTCCGGTTTATTATATATAGCACTAGTTTTAATATATATTTCGCTTAGTCTGTTTTATTATAAATATTAGTAGGTCTTAGCGTAATATTATAAGATAGTAGTAGCTATAGATAGGCTATATATAACCTATAGATACCTATATAGTTAGAAACTACTAATACCTAGGGGTTTTTTATAAGTAACTATATAGAGTTTAGATACTTATAGATTATAATTATATTAAAAGATATAGATTTTAATTAAATAAGTAATAACTATATAGATTTTATAGCTAAATAGTTATAAAAATAAAGATTAACTATTTTAAAAAGTATTAATTATTTTTATTTTAATTTTATTATTTTAATTTTATAATTTTAATTTAGCTATTTTAATTAAATAACTTTAATTTAATAACTTTAATTTAATAATTTAAATTTAAAAGCTTTTATAAAGCTATAACTATAGCTTTAACCTTTAACTTTATTTCTAATTAAGCTTTTATTATTTTATTAGTAATTCTCTATTACTTTAAACTTTTTAGATATTTAAATATTAAAACTTAATTTTTTATTTTTATTATTAACTATTTAAAAGAAATAAATAGATTAAAAAAAGTAATAAACTTATTATATTCTAAAAGAATTATTAAGATAGCTATTAAGAAGCTAATTATAAAGAAGATAAATGAAAAAAATTAATTTAAAAAGGGCTTTAAATTCTAACTTATAAATATTTAGCTTTAAGTTTTAAAACTATAATAAATTAAGATTTAATAGACTTAAAAATAGTAATACTATTTAAAATAATATTATAAATTAGAGAATATATTACTTTAAAAGTATTTCCTTTAATTAAATTAATATAATTAAAAGTATATTTTAATATATAGTTTTATTTCTTTATAACCTCTAAAATATTAAACTATTTTAAAATAAATAGCTTAAGTTAATTAAAAAATAATTAGTTTTATTAATTCTACTTTATAATTAATATAAACTAGCTATAAATAGTTTCTAGAGAAAAGTTAAAATATATATAATAATATATATAGTAGCTAAAGCTAAATATATATTTAAATAATATTAAAGTTAATATTATATTAAAATAGTTATAAGCTATTTAATAAAGATTAATATATTAAGGAATAAATAAAAGATAATATTAAAACCCTAAAAGGGTTTTAAAATTTTATTTATCTTAAAGAGATTAAATAAATAAAAAATAATATAAGTTATAAAAATATATACTTATAGTAGAAAAAGATAAAAATAGTATTAAAAATTAAACTTAATATAAAGAATTACTTTCAATATAATTAAAAACTAACTTACTTTTTAAAACTATTAAATATAGCTATAAATAAAGTATAAAAAGAGATATTAATTTTAATATTAAAATAAAAAGTTTATTTCTAAATAATATAATAATAAATATTTTAATTAATATTTCTAAATTAAATATAAATATCTTTATAACTAATCTTAAAGTATATAATAGAAACCTTAAGGAAGTAGAAATTAAGATTATTAAGATCTCTCTTATCTAAAGAGACTAAAAATAAAGATACCCTATAGATATCTATAATACTATTTTAAAGTTAAATATATTTAGCTATTTAATATTATATAGCTTTAATAGCTAAAGAGAGAGGCTATATCTAAAAGGAGTTTTCTTTATAAATCTTTAAATTTATTACTTTTTAATAAGTAATAAAATAGAATATTATAACCTTATTAATAGTAATAAACTAAAAGATATTAATAGAGTTTTAGCTAAATATATTTATAGCTAATAAAAAAACTTTAATTATATTTAAAATATATTAAAATTAAAACTATTTATCTTTTAAGAGTTAATACTTATTATTAATAGAGTTATTAATAAACTATATATTAATAGACTATTTAAGCTTAACTATATATAAATATATAAAGGTTATAAAGTTTTAATATATCTTAATATTAAAAATTAATTAATAAAGTAGAAATAAAAAATCTAAGTTTTTCTAAAGCTTAAAAAAGCTTATAAGCTTTATTAAATTATATTTAAATAGTACTATAAGTTAATAAATTTAAATATTAATTAATATAAATAATTACTTTAAATAAAATAAACTTAAATAAACCTTTATAATTAACTAAGGGATAATAATTAATATAAAAGCTTAAATCTTAAATTTAAAATTATTTAGATCTTTAAGTAATATTTTATTATATTTTTTATCTATTTAAAAAGATTTACTAAAAGTAAATAAGAGGTTAAAGTTAATAACTTATTTTTTTATTTTAAAGTTATTCTCTTTAGTATTTTAAAGCTGTAGATTATAAGTAATTATAGCTAAAAATAGATCTATAACTTTAAAAGTATAAAAGACCTTATAAATAATAAAGTTAAAAATATAAACTAAATAATAAATATAAATTACTTTTTATTAAAGGATATTAAATACTAAAGTATATTATTAAAAGAATATTAATAAGTTAAAGTTTTTAATATTATTTATAGTAATAATATTAAAATAGATATAATTTTAGCTATTAAGCTTAAGCCTCTAAAGCGTTTAGATTATATATTTTATAATTACTATTTATATATAGTTCCTTATAACACTTAGGGTTCTTAAAAGAATAGCTGTTTAAGTTTAATTCTTTATAATAAAGTAATTTATAATATTAAAAAAAGTATATTTTTAACTTAATATTATTTAAATATTAATAATAAATAATATTTATAAGCTAGAAATAATCTCTTAAAAGATTTAAATATATAGAGTAATAGCTTTATTATAAAGTAAAGTTAAAAGTTAGCTTACTAAAGAATTACTATATATCTTATTAAGCTTTTTAAGAAATAACTTAAAGCTTATTTTTTAGATTATATAGAAGAATAATTATATTTTAATAAAAAAGTAAATTAATACCTTTATAATTTATTTATTAGGGGAACCTTAAAAATAATATTAATAAAGATTAATATAAATAATTATTATAAATAATAAATCTAAAATATATATTATAAAGTAGTTAGAGTAAAAAGCTATTATTATTATTAAGATTATTATTTTAGCTTTAGTTTTACCTCTTTTTATAAGTATTTAAATTAAATTAATTTCTTATTAATAAAGTCTTTAAACTTCTTAATATTAAATACGTAAGTATAGCTAAATAAGCTTTATAAATAAGCTTTAAGTTATTATTAAAATAGTTTATATTTTTAATAAATTCTTTTTATATAGCTAACCTTTAAGAAAAATAAAAAAAAGCTTTATAGCTATTTAAAAATATCTATTTTATATACTATTTTATTAGCTACCTCTAATACTATATATAATATTTTATATATACTATTTTATAGTATATTATTAATTATAAAAGTTAAAGGAGTTAATAAAGAGAATAATTATATTATTATAAAAGAGTTTTATACTAAAAAGAGGTAATTAAAGTTTAAAAAAAGGATTTTTAAAAATAGTATTATTATTAAAAGCTTAAAGAGAAGAAGCTATAATAAAGATATTAAGAGAGATTAATATAAAGAAAGGAAAATAGAATTAAAATATATTATTATAAAAGATTAATATAAATATATAGTAAGATAAATAAACTTTATTTATTATAATATAATTAGCTTATTAAGGAGTATAACTAATTAATATATTATTATTATAGAATTTACTATAAAAAAAACTTAAATTAAATTTTATATTTTATATATTACTATTTAAAATATTACTATTAATCTTTAAAAATATACTTTTAACTTTATAATTATTAAAATAAAGTTATAATAATAAGGTATTTAAAACTCTATAGAGTTTTTAAAAGTAGTTAGCTTTTTTAATTAGTTAAGATTAATAGTTATTTATTCTATTAAGCTTAAAACTTCTATTACTTTTAAAACTAAACTTTAAGATATTAATAATAAAATTAATATAAAGGATAAACTCTAGCTATAAGCTTAAGCTATAAAAGTAAATAGTATAGAAAATACTATAAGTTTAATATATTATAATAGAGAGAAAAAAAATAAAGAGGTTTTAATTTAAAAGTATATATTAAAAAAAAGAAAGAAAAGAAAATAATTATTAATAATTCTAAATAGTTTTACTTTATAAGATATAAAAAGAGTAAAAATTAACTAAATAGATAATTAAGAAAATACTATTTAGCTATTTTATTTAAGAAATTACTTTTATTATATAATTAAACTTAAAGTTCTAGTTATTAATACTTAAAGTACTTTAGGATATAATAGAATCTTTCTTTATTATAATCCTTAAAAGTAAGTTTAACTCTATAGACTTTTTATTTAAGTTAAACCTAATTAAATATAAATCTATATATAATCTATATAAAAAGAGTTATATTATAAAGAAAGGATATTAACTTTTTATAGTAATTAAATAAGAGAATCAAGTTATAAATAAATTATTTAAATTAAAAAAGTATTATAATTAGAATTAATAATTATAATTTCATTATTATAATTTAATTATTATAATTTAATTATACTCTAATTTATAAAGAAATATTTTTTATGAATTAACTATATATACTTTAAAAGATTTAATTTAAATCTTTTAATTACTCTTAAAATACTAAACTCTTCTATCTATTAGACTACTATATTCCTAATAAATATATTTTATAAATAAAAAACCTTTATAAAGATAGCTTTATTAAACTTCTTAAATACCTTAAGGTATAAACCCTTAAGGGGTAATATCTCTAAAATAAAGGGAATTATCTATAGAGTTAGTTTATAATACTTATAAACTTTATTTAGAATAGCTAAATTATAATAACCCTTATTATTAATATAAGCTTAAATATTAATAGGACTTAATAATATTTACTATATAGGATTTTATTTATTATTAATAATATTAGTAATATCTTAAATTATCTTTTAAATAGAGATATTAA